CTGCTAGGTGGGCAGGAGCTGGGACCGAAGACGGGAGCTCACCCTGCCGCGGGGATTCGAACCGCCGACCATGCGACCGGCAAGTCCTAGGCACTGAGGTTTTACCCACAGCGCCACCCGCGTCCCTATGCAAACAGTATTCCTCTACAAAAAAAATTCACAGGTGACATAGCACACCTTAAATGGTTTGTGGTGCCATTTCAATCAGCTGTTAAGATTCTTGTTAAACCCAGATATTTCCACTCTAGCAAGCAGGAACCTAATAGCGGTAGAGCACATCTTTGTCAACCTCTCTCCATTCTCTAAAGGCATAGTTTCTTCAGTTTATAAAGCTATAATAAACCTAGAATATGGCAATCTTTTGTACACAAAAATGCTGTGGGAGATGGACCTAGAGGTGCCAATACCAAGTGAAATATGGGTGGCTTTGTTGTCCAACAGACCACTGAAATTAGTTTCTGCAAAAATCAGGGAATCCTCATTAAAATGTCTGCATAGGTGGCACTATACACCAGTGAGGCTACCCCAAATATCTACAGAAGTCAATCCTAATTGTTGGAGAGGGTGTGCTTTCAAAGATACATATTTCCATATGTGGTGGTTTTGTGACATCATCAAAGCTTTCTGAAGTGCTGTTCTCAAAGAACGAAGCTTGATAGATAACAAAACAATTGAAATGTCTCCTGCATTAGCACTACTTTTAGAAGACATCTGAAGGCAGCCCTGTTTAGGGAAGCTTTTAATGTTTGATGCATTACTATATTTTAATATTTTGTTGGAAGCTGCCCAGAGTGGCTGCGGAAGCCCAGCCAGATGGGCGGGGTATAAATAATAAATTATTATTATTATTACTTGGCCTTAAGATGCCACCTGCTCAAGATTACCCTAATGATGATCTGTTAGGCTTTCTACAGATAGCTGCCCATATGGAGATGACTGCATATTGGAAAGCTGATGTTGGGTTGAACATTTGATTCTTGGTGTACGAGTGTATGGTCCAATAGCATTGGCTGAGAAACTATCATGTCAAGTCAGAGCAGCAAAGGGCAAACACAGTCTCTATTCCTTTTAATCACATATGGCAAGTCTTTGTAGCTACCAATTAGTTTCCAGGCCCAATTCAAAATGCTGGTTTTGACCTACAAAGCCTTAAACAGCTCAGGACCACAATACCTCAAGGACCGCTTCTTTCCATATGAATCTACCCGGACCCTGAGATCATCCTCTGAGGCCCTCCTTCATGTGCCTCATCCTCAAGAGGTCTGGAGGGTGGCAACATGAGAATGGGCCTTCTCTGCAGTGGAATGAACTAGGGAAGTTCACCTGGCGCCTTCATTATACACCTTTAGGCGCCAGGCAAAAACATTCCTTTTTAACCAGGCCTTTGGTTGATTTGATTGACATCCTATGCCATTTTAAAATGTGTTTTTTGGAGGGTGGTTATTGTTTTTATTGTGATTATATATTTTGATGTTTTATATTTTGATTTTGTTCTGTGAACTGCCCAGAGACCTCCAGGTATAAGGTGGATAATAATAATAATAATAATAATAATAATAATAATAATAATAATTTTTTTGTATCCCACCCTCCCTGGCCGAGAGTGGCTAACATCATAAAATAATAATAATTTGTTGATTACATAAATTGCTCAGACTGTGGCAGGAATCCACCCAACATGGGTAGGAAAATGTGGCATTATCTTTTAGGGCAATCAAATTACACCTAATTACATAACTTGTCTTGATAAAATTTCAGGCTTGCCATGCTATCTGTTGTTTAGTGTTGCAACAATTATTTTTTCAAAATAAATGAAAACATTATTCAACCCCCCCCCCCAAATATTGCAAAATACTCTCTGCTGTAGGGATGGGTAACCTCAGGCCAGTGACCAAATGTGGCCTTCCATGCTCCTGTGTCTGGTCCTAAGGACTCTTCCCAGCCTACACCTGCTCCTCGGCCCTAGCCCCTCCCTCAATGGACCTGCTTAGCACCTTCCTTGAGTATTGTTGCATGGCTACAATGTGTCCTTGGATTCTGATTTATGTTTCTTGCTTGCCTGAATGGAGGATGGATGTGGGTGTGGGCAACTGCATGCATGTAGAAACTAGCCTATTGTACAAGGGAAAAATTCACACTTTGTTCTGCCAATTGCCTAAAAGCAAATGAGGGCTGACAAAAGTTGCACACCCCTGCTCTACAGGGATGGGATCGTCACTCAAGCAGTGTGCATCTTTATGCACCATGAGTGGTAGAATAGATCATTGGGGTGTTTCTTCTATGAAAGTACCAAGCCTCTTGGGAGACTACAGATGTAGAAAACTGTGCTGAAGTCAGCAAGCAAGGACCAACAGCTAAGAAATGTTTATAGAAAACTCTTTGAAATATTGCATCTGTCACTTCCGGGTTGGCGCCTCTGGCAATGGCGGATTTCCTCCGATCGGGAGGAATCCGTTCCGTGGAAAACAGGGTCTGAACCGCCACGGCGAGGCGGAGACCCATCAAAAACCACAGGCGGGAGAAGCCTGTGGACGTGGGATTCGGCCGGCACCTTTGCGCCCCCCCTACTCGCGGGGAAACCCGGTTTCGGGGATCCGGAGCGACGTGGGGTGAGTGGCGTGGTGCTTTGAATCAACTGCTTCTTTCACGGAGTGAAGCCGCATTGCTGTTGCCGGAGAGCGCTGACTTTTTCCTGTGGACAATTGGATTTTAAACAACTGCCCGTGAGTAGAACGGAAAATTGGATTAAGAATTTTTTTTAAAATTTGGCACTGAAGCAGGAAGGTCTAAACAGTAAGTCCGCCTTCCGCTTTTGTAGATAGATTGAAGCAAAGACACGGCAAGCTAGAGTTTAGAAAGTCGTCTGTAAAGGATCAAATTCTCATCATTTAAAGTTACTGAACCCCCCTTGGAAGCAGGAGAAGAGGGGGGAACCTTTTTTAGACTGTTTAAACCTGCAGAAGAGAGAGTAAAGAAAGGCCATTTTCCACCGTCTTGAACCTGGGAGCGGGGTGTCAGGACAGACGTTCTGGGGAAGTTCATTGACTATGGACAAACGTTTCTGACAGATAGTTAAAAGAAGAGAAACATATTGATTCCATTGTTCCCCTTCGCACTTAAAAGGAACAAAATATTGACAAAATATCTGAAAAAGGAAAACTTTGTTGCTAGATCTGCTTTAAAAAAAAAAAGAAAGATGGATACAAATAGAAATTGTTTCCCCTAGAAGGAGCTTGTGAAACTGTTATTAAAACCGAACTGGGGAGCTTTGCAGCTGCAATAGATTAAGATCGTGGGACCAGACTTCGACCTTGAACAAGAATGTACTCGGAGGCTCTGGTGCTTGCCTTTTGCAAGACAAGTGCTTTATTGGAACAGTTACATGAGAAGATGGATTTGATGACTGTTGCGATCGGAAATTTTGGACAGGCAGTGGGTACCTATATAGAACCCACTCAGGAATTAATCCAGGAATGTGCTTTGACAGATCAGATGAGGGAAGAGGTTGTTGCTGGACCTCGGGTGGCAGAGATGGAGGGAGCTGTGGCCCAGCAGGAATATGAGTTGTTGGATTCGACGAATGAACCTGGAAAAAGTCAGATTTGGAGAGATGGAGCCCAGTTTGGCTTGGAGATGGGGGGCTGGATAGACCCCCCTATGCAGGGATGTTTTGACCCAAGTCTGGCTTTGGGCTGGGGGGAGCTCGGAGTTGTGGGGGCCTTTAACTTTGGAGGGACCTTGAAACATGCCTTTTAATACCACATGGATTTCAGTGTTGACTATGGAAAAGGGGCTGACTTGTCGAGAAGGGACAAAAATATTGTCAAGCTGGAGTCTCCCCGAGTGAAAGGAGCAGAAGACAAAGTAAAGTACAGGTATAAATATGAAGAAGACCTGCGGAAGGGACATGGAAGAGACTTAAGAGCCTCGGACATAAGGTCACCAGGTTGATGGACTAGATGGATGGGATAGAAAGGACTGACAAAACCCGAGACCAGGAAGAAGAGACGATGGATGAAGATTGGAAGAAAGTTTTAAAAATTCATTTAGAAAAGTATTGTAAAATTAATGAGTATTAGAAAATGTTGGAATGAAATTATTTGGCTTTAGCAGAAATGTTAAAAAGAATTATGTAAGAATATGTTATGGTTAAGAGAATTTGATATAAATAAGATTTAAGTTTTAAGTTTTAGGGTTTTTTTATGGTAAGATAAGGTTAAAATAGATTAAGGTAATTTAATGACAGAATATTGTGAAAGATGGAAAGGATTTGCTGAGATAATTAACAACTAGAATACAAAAAAGGGAGGTATGAGGAGGTCAATGAAATAAGGTAATGACAGTTAAGGATCTGGGAATATTGGATCTGTTTTTAATTTTTTTGTCTATTTTTGCTTTTTGCTTTTGATGTATTGTGTGTTTTGTTTTTTCTTTTTGACCTTGGTTTTTACTGATTTGTATTGTTTGTTACTTTTATCTACTTTTTTCTTTCTTTTTCTTTTTTCCTTCTTTTTTCTTTGTAATCTTAAAATTCTCAATAAATATCATTAAAAAAAAGAAAGAAATATTGCATCTGTCCTGCAGCACCTCTCTTCCCTGAAAGCAGTGGCCAATGTTCTTTTGGATAGACTTTGGATAGACCTACTTCTGGAACTTTTACCTGAGAGCTTCACTGGATAGCACCATGTTATAATGGAAACATGTATCACAGCAAGGTGTCAGAAAAAAACAGGTAATCCACATAGTTTGCAGCCATTTGCCCTTGCAGCCACCCGAAAAGTTGCGGTACCGCACATTAAAGAGTTGTGCACAGGGCTCTCAAAACCCACAACCACAAAACCAAAGTTCAGTAACTAGAATGAAATAAGCAAGTTGGATTATCTACACCTGGTGTTCCCAAACTGTGTGATCTGAAAGCATTCTGGTAGTCTGCTTTGTGTTTGTGAATTTGTGACTGAAGATCGGGGTGGACACATCCAGTGCAATAAATATTCATATTAATTGTGATTTGTATTTTTATTGCTTTTAAGTTCAAATAATTCAAATTGCAATACAATAAAAATGTATAATGGGGAAAATCCCCATTTATAAGAGGGTTCCATTCTATGACACGCACAAGTGGGGATTCCCCCACCCCCTTCTGTTGCCGTTTGCAGTGCATGTGTCAATGGGAATGTGCGTGCTAATGACGCTCAAGTGGGAAAACGCCTCTATATAAGAAACGAAAGAAGCAATACAAATATAATGAAAAATATAGCATCTAGCACAGTGCATTACAATTGTTACAATAGGCAGAAAAATCATTAAGTGGTCCAGCAAGACCTCAGTAATTTTCAAGTGGTCTGGCATGGGGGGAGTTTGGGAATCATTTTTGTACACAGCTATGTATATTATTGGGATGCGGGTGGCGCTGTGGGTTAAACCACAGAGCCTAGGGCTTGCCGATCAGAAGGTAGGCGGTTCGAATCCCTGCGACGGGGTGAGCTCCCGTTGCTGGGTCCCTTCTCCTGCCAACCTAGCAGTTCGAAAGCACGTCAAAGTGCAAGTAGATAAATAGATACCGCTCCGGCGGGAAGGCAAACAGCGTTTCCGTGTGCTGCTCTGGCTCGCCAGAAGCGGCTTAGTCATGCTGGCCACATGACCCGGAAGCTGTAGGCCGGCTCCCTCGGCCAATAAAGCGAGATGAGCGCCACAACCCCCAAGTCGATCACGACTGGACCTAATGGTCAGGGGTCCCTTTACCTTTTATGTATATTATGGACCCAAATAGTTTCTATCAGACGGCTGATACTTTGGAAAAGTTAGCCACTAGTGAAAGGAATGCAGGAGACTGCATCTGGTACATTGGTGGGAATTGAATGGAAGTAAACCATGGGCAGACTGCACTGTACCAATGTACTGCAAAGAATTCATGAAGGCCAAAGAAGCATTTTTCCACACATCAAATTAGATGCACCTGGGATATTTTAAAATTCCCTTGCAGTGAAGAATAGTACAGTTCCTTTGAGTCAGATGGGTTGCTCTCTACATTACAGTGATTTCTAACGCCAAGTTTCTTGCATCCTCCCTGCATTTCTCTCAAACTACTTGAATTATTTCCATCCCAGCTGGCTATTATAACAACTGTAGCTTTTAAAAAATGATTCCTGAGTTTGCTTTCTCCCTACATACCGTATTTTTCACCCTATAGGGAGCACTGGCCCATAGGGCGCACTTTTTTTGGGGGGGGGAATAAAGAAAAAAAAATATTCCCCCCCCCCCAAGCTCCAAAGAGCAAAGAAGCCATGACAGCAAGCGGGATGTATCCCGCTCGCTGTTTTGGCTTCGTTTTTAGCCTCGGGGCTGGGGGTCCGGGAGCGAAGGCGAGGTTGCGCTCAACCTCGCCATCGTTCCCGGAGCTTGCTGCTATCCGAAGCCCGGGGAGCGCGGCGCTGTAGCCCGCTGCGCACCCCGGGCTTAGGGCAGCTCTGCAGGCTTGCGGATAGCTGCCCTAAGCCCGGGGTGCACAGTGCCGCGCTTCCCAGGCTTTGGGCTGCAGGCAGCTATCCGCAAGCCTTCGGAGCCTGCGGGCGTTCCCGCCGGGCTCCGCAGGCTTGCGGATAGCTTCCTGAAGCCTGGAGAGCTAGAGGGGTCGGTGTGCACAACCCCTCTCGCTCTCCAGGCTTCAGAGAAAGCCTGCATTCGCTCCATTGGACGCACACACATTTCCCCTTCATTTTCGGAGGGGGAAAAGTGCATCCTATAGGGTGAAAAATACGGTACCTTTTTCCTTTTGTGTCATGTTGTCAGATTGTAAGCTTGAGGGCAAAAAATATCTTTTTTTTTAAAGAAAAAGAAAGATCTGTAAACTGGTCTAGGAGCACTTTCAGCTCAAGAGCAAGAGGTAATAGTTTAAATAAATATGTAAATGAATACACAAAGCAGAACATCTGATCTTTATTAAACAAAAAACCATAAAGAGTACATCTTGCATGTCTACTCCTCCTCCACCATCCAGTTCTAATCACAAAAGCACACTCCAAGACAATCAGGCTTCATATTTACATTTGTAGAAAAGAGTCAAGATCTGCTCCTCATCCTGGTCTGGCTCATCAACAGATGTGTTCTTCCCAAAGGAATGCCTATGCCATTCTGTATGAACACACTGACCACTTCTGAGTCCCAAGTGATAAATGCAGCCATGTAAATAAATTATCTCAATGAGAAGGTAATTATCTCAGGAGACAGAACTTTAGTCAGTAATCTTGCTGTTGAGAGTGAGCTGAAGTCTGAAAGGATGTCCAGAAGCAGCAACATGCCAGAATATTTCCTACTCACCTTTGGTAGGGATGCATTGAAGCTGATTTGATATTGGTTTTTATGCCGCTGGGCATTTTACCTGGAGAGAGGAAAGCAGCTGGGCTTAGCAATGTGTTAGAACAGTCTACATTTTAGGAGTGATGAACATATAAGTGGGAACATTTCCCCCACTTCTTCCCTGGGGTTCATGTCAGAATCTTCTTTGCACACACTTTCTAGGTGAGGTATAGCCTCTCTCACTGTTTAATTTTTTCCACTTCTGCATTCCCTCCCCATATTCACCGTGTGAAAATTTTGTTTTGATCGATAAAAACATAAGAAGAGCCTTGCTGGATCAGACCAAAGGCTGATCTAGTCCAGCATCCTGTTTCCCAAAGTGGCCAAACATCTATTTCTTGAGAAGCCCAAAGGAGAAAATAAGCTCAACAGTCTTCTCCTGCTGCTGTTCCCTAGCAACTGGAATGCAGTGGGAACTGGTATAGTAACCAAATGGTAGCCTTGCACAATGCAAAATTCCTCTGCAACAGCATGCTCCATTTAAGAGCTCAATTCTTTGAAAATAATCATATGTATATAGGTTATCATACCTGCCCCTTCATCCCCACCCCCAGAGTGTGTGTAATGTAATCCTTCTGGACATCCTCATTAAAAAGCTGGCTGACATGAACCTTTCTCGTACCATCTGTGACTGGATTAAATACTTTTTGCTAGATCGGACACAAACAGTGAGGATTGGACATGTAACATCTAATTCCTTAAAAATCAGCACGGGCACACTACAGGGATGTGTGCTAAGTCCCTACCTGTATTCATTGTATACATACAATTGTATATCATCTGACCCGTCTAATGCAGTTATTAAGTTTGCAGATGACACCACCATAATGGGTTTAATAACAGCTGGAGACGAATCAGCGTATAGAGGGGAGGTCCAAAAAATATCTACATGGTGCCTAGGGACCAACTTGCACCTTAATATCAGCAAAACAAAGGAGATGGTGTTGGACTTTCAGAGGAAGAGAGGAGAACTAGCCCCGCTGTACATCGGGGAGGGCTGTGTGGAGAGAGTCTCTTCCTTTAAATTCCTAGGAGTTTATCTCAGTGAAGACCTTACTTGGAAAATAAATACAACCCAGGTGGTTAAGAAAGCCCAACAGAGATTCCATCTCCTCAGAGTAATGCGAAAGAACGATGTCAATCAACATTTGTTATGATCTCCTTCTACCGGTCAACAATAGAAAGTGTCCTTTCACACTGCATCACGGTGTGGTACGCTGGTTTGACATCAACTGATAGGAAGTGTCTACAGAGGGTGGTGAATACAGCACAAGATATTATGGGCTGTCCCAGTTGTATTATGGGGTGGTTTGCCTCTGTTGGTTAAAGGAATGGATGTTGCTAAAAAAAATACAGATTTGTTGGATTTAGAAGGTTATGATAATAGATTTGGTTGGCATGCATATTTATGCTATAACAAAACAAAAATCCATAAAGGATTTGGTAATCATATATTTCGAAGATCTTTATATGAAGTATAGGATAGGTATAAAAATTTATCAGAACGTAAAACACCGTGGTGGTTATCTCCATTGGAAGCAATGAGTGTGAAAAAGATAAATATGAGTAAAAACTGGGTTACCTATGAGAAACTGTTGGGGGGAAATGGAAATAAATGGAAAATGAAACCTTATGAGGAGGTTAGAGACTATGTGAATGATTGGTTGCACTATTGCCAAGTCAATGAAATGTATAAACAAGATTTTAAAGAGAAAGGATTTGATGATAAAAAAAATCAAAATTTGAAATAGAAATATTAAATAATGAATGTAAAATAATATCTAAAATGTATAAAATACTGTTGGGATGGCATTTGAAAGATGATATATTGGGCAAAAGACTTTGGATATAATATACAGCTTGAAGAATGGGAAAGGTTGTGGAATGAAAGGATAAAATTTATAGCCTGGAATGCTTTGAAAGAGAATATGATGAAAATGATGTATAGATGGTATATTACACTAGGGAAATTAGCTAAAATGTACAAGACAAATAATAAATGTTGGAAATGTAAAGAAAAAGAAGGAACATTTTATCATATGTGGTGGGAATGTAAAAAAGTAAAGAACTTCTGGGAAATGATATATAATGAGATGAAAAAGATGTTGAAATATACATTTTTTAAAAAACCAGAAGCATTTTTACTTGGTATTATACGTCAGGACATTAATAGGCAAGATGTTAAATTGTTTTTATATGCAACAACTGTGGCAAGAGTATTGTTAGCCCAGAAATGGAAACAAGAAGAAATTCTGACGAAAGAAGAATGGCAGACGAAAATAATGGACTATGCAGAATTGGACAAAATGAAAGGATTCAAAGCAGCAGGAGGCCCCATTAGCTAAAGTGGTGCTTCAGGTTAAGAACAGTTTCAGGTTAAGAATGTGGGGCCGCTAGGGAGAGGGGCCACTGGGGCGCCTTGGAAGATGGCCGACAATACTATCTCTCCAGCTCACACGAGGTAATTAAGAGGCTGATATGGGAGTAAATCAACCTCCCGAAATTCTTCCCGGGGAAGGGAAGATGCAGCCTCGTCCGCGGTTGCCCATAAATCACCCCCGAGTTCGAAAGAAGGAGGGGGTGAGGGCACTGGACGGAAAGCCCTCGAGTGAACTTTGGATCTCCCGGACGCTGCTTCTGAGAGCGATGCTAGTTGCATTACTTAAGATAAAATCTTCGATATAAAAGTAATTGCACATGCTTTGAGCGCAGAAAAGGGTTTATCAGCTGCTAATTAAGCCTGCCACTGAGAGTTAAGAGTGATGGAATGGACTGCACAGAAGATAACATCAAAGAATAACAGCTATGTCGGTATGTTGAAATGGAACGGAAGGGGGGGGGAAGCTTCTTCTTTTTATTATGATATTACCTAACAACCCCTCCCCTAGAAGAACCGTCACACGACTGACAGCAAGTGAGATTAGAAAATAAACTGTGTGGAAATAAAAATAATAACTAAAGGTTATTACTAAGCTTTGTTTTTCAGAAGATCTGGAAAGAAAAATGAAAGGCTCTCCTGTGACACAGTTCTTAATCGGGATCTGCCATTATGAGATAGACTATGTTGCGAGATTAACAGTCAAAGGGGGAGGCGAGCCACTGCTTTGATATTTGGATTGTAAGTTTGATTTCTCCCCTGGAAAGACTGATTTATGGTGCAACTGGTCTGGGAAAATTAATGAGCAGACGCTTAGAATTTATTTCATCGGAACTGACAAAAATGGCGCCTGCCGCCCGAGCAGGACTTTGGGATCAGCATGTGATGATTTACTGCAAATAAAAGACTTACCAGCTTTAAAAAGAAAAGAAAGGGAGAGCCTTACAAAGTTCACACAGAAACATAATGATGCTTGCTTCAACTCGCTTGTGGAAACAACTCAGAAGTGATTAAAAAGAAAAACGATAACAACAAGAAGATCGGAAGATGGGACTTGTGAACACCGAAAGCAGCAGAAATATGAGATGACTGGACCCTTTGAACTTGAAGCATGGAAACCCCCAACAAAAATTTAAAATTTGGCCAAATATTTGGACTTAATGATATGTATTGGTATAATTTGGAATAATTAATGTGATATGATTGGATTGTTAAATGGAAAATTTAATAAAATTTATTTTAAAAAAATATGAACGGACCTCTGGAATGAATTAAGTACTTAACCTGAGGTACCACTGTATATGCATTTAAATTCCCCCAGGCACCAATTCCTCTTGTCTCAGCATAGCTCCCCATTCGCTACACCCGTACATTCCACTTCCTCTCCTTTTGCATTTGAGACACTCCAATATGACTGAATGCTTTTATTTACCTGGCTGTCCTGCTTGTGTCATCTGCACTCCTCCAAGCATGGACTGTGGCTGGCTTGATGCTCCAGACATTTGTACCTGCTGCATAGCAGAAGCACCTGCTATGATGGGGTTGGCACCTGGCTGACCGGACTGTACAGGCCCTGATACACCGGGTGGGCGTCTGTTTGACAGACCCTTTCCAAAGGCCACAGCTGCAACAAGTGCATTGGTATCAGCAGGGTTGAATGTCTGCTTGTTCTGCCGTAAGCCTGCACAACGAAGGAAAATTTATAGAGCACAGTCTTAATACCATTATGCTAATCTTGGCTGCTGTTATTCTACTATTTCTGTTTCTAGGGCTACTGGACTGTGAACCCCCTCTAACACCTCTGCTGTCCCTCCTGCTTCTCCAGTGCCATACCTCCACTCTCAGACTCTCGGTCTTCTTTGTTGATTTTCTCCAATAAGTTCGAGCACATTTTGTTTAAGCTTTGGATCTGTTTCTGTAATGATAAGATTTGCACAGTAAAACATGTTAAGGAATTTGTGTTGCCTTAAAAAAAAAATTACAACCTTTAATAGACTGCTCAATAAAAAACCTATTTGTGTATTTTACATAAAATGGTATAAAAGATTTATTAAAATTATTAATAAAACCAACTTTTAAAGGTGCACTTAATAAAATTATCAAAAATATAGATAAAATCCGCAGAATTTTGACTTTCAACAAAACCTCCCGTTATATTCTGGTGGAGAAGCTGGTAAAATGTGGCCTAGATGATGTTATTGCTAGGTGGATTTGTAGCTGGTTGATTGACCAAACCCAAAGAGTGCTCACTAATTGTTCATTTTCCGGGGGGGATGGGGACTGACCAGTGAGGTGCTGCAGGATTCTGTCCTGAGCCCAGTGTTGTCAACATCTTTATAAGTGACTTGGATGAAGGAATTGAGGGTCTGCTAATCAAATTTGCAGAAGACATCAAACTGGGAAGGATAGCTAATACTTCAGAAGACAGAATCAGGATTTAAGAAGACCTTAATGGATTGGAGAACTGAGCCCAAACAACTCCTACTGTTACTGCTGCTGCTGCTATTCCTATACCATCCTTCCTCCAAGAATCACAGGGCCATTTACAATAGAAAACTAACAAAATGAATTTCAGTAGGGACAAATGTAAGGCTCTGCACTTAGGCAGGAATAATCAGACACACAAATATAGGATGGGGGACAACAGACTTGACAGCAGCACATGTGAAAAGGATCTAGGGGTCTTAGTAGACTACAAGCTCAACATGAGTTAACAGTTTGATGCAGTAGCAAAAAACAAAACAAAAAAACCCCCAACCAATGCAATTCTAGGCTGCACCAACAAAAGTATAGTGTTCAGATCAAGGGAAGTAATAATATCACTCTGTTCTGCCCTGCTGAGACCCCCACCTGAAATACTGCATCCAATAGGTTCAAGTTACAAGAAAGGAGATTCTGACAAAAAATTAGGAAGAACTTTCTGATAGAGCTGTTAAGCCATGGAAAAGACTACCTCAGAAAGTGGTGGTCTCTCCTTCATTATAACAGAGGTTGGATTGCCATCTGTCACGGCTTCTTTAAGCTGTGAGTCCTGCACTGTAGGGGGTTCCAGTAAGTGAACTTTTGGGGTCACTTGCAACTCTGATGCAGAATATTAAATGTGAGAACATGGTGGTAGAGAGAGATGCAAAAGACCACAGGATTCCTACATATAAATATTCAGCAAGAGATATTTAACAACAAAAACCTAGGAGTTGAGTATACTTAAGCAGCTGAAACCCTTACCAGTGCCGCATCGGTACCAATGCGAGCTGCGTCTGTGCTCAGCTGCTTCTCTTGCTCCTCTACTTCAGGATCAGGCTTGGTTCTCAGGTGATCAGGCACAACCTCATGGCTGAACACTGGCACTCGGCCTTCTGTCTGCCGCTGGAACATCCAGACCATCAGTGATCAAAGTCATACTTTGCCGCAAAGCTACAGAATACGAAGTTGGCCCTACAGACCTGATGTAGGTTACAGAGACCCAGTTGTTCCTGGGAATTTAGGCCCAGGATACCCGCCAGCAGGATTCTAGCAATTAAATTAAAAGGTAAAGGTACCCCTGCCCGTACGGGCCAGTCTTGCCAGACTCTAGGGTTGTGCACTCATCTCACTCTATAGGCCGGGAGCCAACGTTGTCCGCAGACACTTCCGGGTCACGTGGCCAGCATGACAAGCTGCATCTGGTGAGCCAGCGCAGCACACAGAACGCCGTTTACCTTCCCGCTGGTAAGCGGTCCCTATTTATCTACTTGCACCCGGGGGTGCTTTCGAACTGCTAGGTTGGCAGGCGCTGGGACCGAACGACGGGAGCGCACCCCGCCGCGGGGATTCGAACCGCCGACCATGCGATCGGCAAGTCCTAGGCGCTGAGGTTTTACCCACAGCGCCACCCGCGTCCCAAGGAGCAATTAATTACCAATGCATAAAAAGTTTAAGCAATGAAGGTGAGCAGAAACAGTTACTTCTCTGTGTTGGCATCTTTACCATCAGCTAGCAGCTGAGTACCTTTGTAGCTCCTTCTGACTATCTATGAAGGAAGAGTCTAAAATTGGGACTGTATCACCAGCTAACAGGAGCCAGAACAGACTGCCACGTCTAAAATATAAAGGGTATAATTTTATTGCTCTGTGGATTTGTACCGTTTTGGTGGCAATATTTTCTGAAAAGCAGGGCAAAAATAAAATGAATGTGTATTCTGTGAGAAACTTCAAACTCTGTTCTTCATGTTTATCTGAAGACACGCGCTGCGTAACACTAGTTTGTGGAGAACTGATTGAGCAACATTGTTTAAGACATGCCTAGGAATGTCAAACTCAAGCCTCTGGAATCCAGGAGTTGTAATCAATGTAGAGCTAAGGATAATGTTCTGTCAGCACAAGTGTTTCTCCTTGCGTAACAGAAGGTCCTCCCTTTTTCCTCCCACCCTCACCGGTTCTGCAGGCAGCATGGGTGAGGAGAAGAGCAAATGTCCCATTGTGGCAATTTAGTTGCCCCATAAGCTAAGATGTGACATACTTCCTTTCCAGACTGCAGAGGCACGACACCCTCGTGTTTGGTGTACAGTATACACAAAGTCCTAGCTAAAAGATTCTTCCAGTAGCAAGGTTGGCAAGGTATGAGGCAGAAATCAGCAAAGGGAGGAGATAGAGGCCAACATAGAATAGAGCATGAAGGAACTGAGGCTCAATTTGTTACATCCTTGCTTTCCTAAAGATCCTCTTTTCTCATTGGTTTCTGGCTTAGTCAACATTTGCAGCAAAGTGAAGTGATGTAATGAAGTGTACCACTTCAGCCTACAGGTAGGAGATGCCATTTTTAAAACTCCCCCAAATAAAAAACTGGAACGTGAGCAATCTAGTCCAATCCATTATGTGCTCTGCCATTTATAATACTTAAGTATTGAAGGTGCTACTATTCTCATTTAACCAACCTGTCACTCAACTTTTTCACCAGCACTGGAGCCAAGAAATGACTTGTAGCTATAAAATAGATTGTAATAATCAGCCAAATCCTTACCATGATCTCCTCATCACGATCTGGAGACAGCACTAGTGGAATTATGACCTGATTGCGCAGCAGTGGAGTCTTCTCATGTTTTAGGACTTTATTCAGGGTATTCAGCTGACCTGAGAGCAGAGCGAAGCTGTCTAACACTGAGGGCCTGAGGCAGAGATGGGAAAATGAAAAGGACATGAGGCACACATATAGAGCATCCCTACCTCTGGCTGTGGGAAGTTCAAATCTTCACTGTTGAATTATTTTATTACATTTATATCCCGCTTTTTTCCAAGGAGCTCGAAGTGGCATTCATGGTTCCCACCCCCTGCCCCATTTTGTCTTCACAATAAATCTGCAAGGTAGTTTAGTGAGCTTCATGGCTGATTTGGGACTAGAACCCCAGTCTCCCAGGTCTTAGTCCAACACTCTGACCACTATATCATACTGGCTGTACAGTGGTACCTCGGGTTACAGACGCTTCAGGTTACACCCAGGTACTAACCCAGAAATAGTACCTCGGGTTAAGAACTGTGCTTCACAATGAGAACAAAAATCGCATGGCGGCAGCGGGAGGCCCCATTAGCTAAAGTGGTACCTCAGGTTAAGAACAGTTTCAGGTTAAAAACGGACCTCCAGAACAAATTAAGTTCTTAACCCGAGGTACCACTGTATTGTAGTCATGATGCCATAACAAGAAAGGCAAGTAGCTCCAGCAGCATTATCACAACCCCCTGCTAATTTTAACAGATAACACAACACACTGTGCCAAGAGTGGAATATCTAGATTCCCCCCCCCCCCTTGGAATATCTCTGAGATTTGTGGGTATCTGGGTACAGAAGAACTGTCTAGAGCAGGCATGGCCAAACTTGGCCCTCCAGCTGTTTTGGGACTACAACTCCCATCATCCCTAGCTAACAGGACCAGTGGTCAGGGATGATGGGAATTGTAGTCCCAAAACAGCTGGAGGGCCACGTTTGGCCATGCCTGGTCTAGAGGGTTTCTGCCCCATGACAAGATGGGAGACTTGAAATGCCTTCTTGTTCGGACTTCCGCTTGAGGCGCCATGGAAGATGACTGAAAATTCCATCGCTCCGGCTCTCATGGGGTAATTAGAGGCTGAGATAGGAGTAATCAGCCTCCCAAAATCTTCCCAGGGGTACGGGAAGACACAGTCTCATCCGCGGATGCCCAACAAACTAGCCCCAAATTCGGAAGGAAGGAGGGGCTGGGAGCACTGGATAGAAAGCCCCCAAGAAAGTCTGGCTCTCCTGGATGCTGTCTCTGTGAGCGAATCAAGTTCCATTTCTTAAGATGAAAAATTGGATTTAAGTTTTGGACATGCTTCGAGTGAGGAGGGAGGAATTACTCTGCTAATTAACCCAGCCACTGAGGTGCCAAAAAAGACTTGAGTGGAAGAAGGACTAACATTTAAGTTGGTATGTTGGAATGGAACAAAAAGGGGGGGGGAGCCTCTCTTATTACTGTATTTTGCTTTATTATATTATTTGGCAAAAAAAAAAACCCAGAAGAACCATTTACATTAACTATAACAAGCAAGACTGGAAAGTTTTGTATTTGTTGATATAATATGGCTCTAAAAATATAAACTGTGTGGAAATAATAATACTATATAATTAAGGCTTTCGATCTTTGACTTGCTTGGAAGAGGATAAAAGATTCTCCAATGTGTGGACATCAGGCAGAAGCAGAATCTCATTAGCTGCTGGAGAGATGTTGAAAAAACTTGGACCGATGAAAAACTGGATTTAAGTTTTGGACATGCTTCGAGTGAGGAGGGAGGAATTACTCTGCTAATTAACCCAGCCACTGAGGTGCCAAAAAAGACTGAGTGGAAGAAGGACTAACATTTAAGTTGGTATGTTGGAATGGAACAAAAAGGGGGGGAGCCTCTCTTATTACTGTATTTTGCTTTATTATATTATTTGGCAAAAAAAGCCCCAGAAGAACCATTTACATTAACTATAACAAGCAAGATTGGAAAGTTTTGTATTTGTTGATATAATATGGCTTTAAAAATAAACTGTATGGAAATAATTGTTGTTGTTTAGTCTTTTAGTCATGTCCGACTCTTCGTGACCCCATGGACCAGAGCACGTGGAAATAATAATACTATATAATTGACTTGTTTGGAAGAGGATAAAAGATTCTCCAATGTGTGGACATCAGGCAGAAGCAGAATCTCATTAGCCGCTGGAGAGACATTAAAAAAACTTGGACGGTGTCAGGGAACTGCCATCAGTGCCGGAGGGAGAGAGCAAAATCCAGAGGGATTCCGGAGAGCGTCCCGGGATTGGGAGAGGCAGCCCATCTTCTGGGGAAGAGAATCAGCGTAGCACCAGTGGAGAAGGGGGGCAGATGGGGGAAGCGGTGAGGCGGTCCCATGACTCCTTGCCGGGGACCAGCGGGGAGAGTAGAGGTCCTCCGCTGCCTACGCCCTCCTTGCGCAGAAGGCTTCCGCGCAGAGAGATTAGGCAGAGACTAGGCGTCAAAGAGCTTCTTTGCTGGAAGAAGTTTAAGAAACGCCCACTGACGGATTCTGCCAGCGATTGAGACAGCCACGGGTGAGTGGCTGTCCGGACAGAAAAGGTTCACTCAGGCAATCCAGCCAGGTGTTTGCACCGGCTTACGCACGAGCAACCCCTAGAACCATTACAGACGGTTTCCTGGAATCTATGTGGGAGTTGTGTTGCACTTGAAATCCGCCATAATTGGAAGTCAAGACTGGGCTGCAGAATTACAAATAGTCAAAGGGGGAGGTGAGCCTTTAATATGTCATTATACTTGTGTTTCCAGTTTGATTTGGTAAATCTCCCCTGGAAAGGCTAATGTTTGATGCAACCGGTCTGGGAAAAGCAGACGCTTAGATTTGATTTTATTGGAACTGAGTGAAGATGGTGGCTGCCAGCAGCGAAAAGACTTTCGGATTGATTCGGCAGAAACACCAGTGTGCGAGGAAATGCTGCAAACTTATAGAGGGGAATCATAGACATAAAATCCACACAGAAACATATCATTGTTTGTTTTAACTTGCTTGTGGGAACAATTCAGAGGCTGTGAAAGAATGAAGGTCAACAACAGAAAGAATTAGAGGAACCATCGGAAATGACTATGAAAAGCAGTAGAAGTATGAGATGATCAGAACCCTCCGAACTTGAAACATGGGAAGTCCTATTAAAAATATATAATTTGGCAGAATATTCAGACTATTTGATATGTATATGTATAATTGGGAATATTTAATGTGATTTGATTGGATTGTTCAAGTGGAAAACTTAATAAAAATGAATTTTTAAAAAGGGGGGAAAATGCATTCTTGTTCCAGGATATTAGCCAAATCCTAATGAATTCTGAACAAAGCACCGTATTTTTCGCTCCATAAGACGCACCTGGCCATAAGACGCACCTAGTTTTTAGAGGAGGAAAACAAGAAAAAAATATTCTGAACGAAACAGCAGATGTATGATTTTTGTGGTTCATGCTGTGGCCACAGACATGTTATTTGACGGTGAGTTTGGGGTAGCCCAATGCAAAAATCCTGAGGATCCATGTGGATCCGTGCTTTGTAACCACGTTTTTGCGCCACTGCGGCCCCACTCAACAGTGGGTGCATGGTTTTTTTGGTGCAGGCTGTAGCCATGGACGTGCTATGTGATCTGATGGTGAATTTGGGGTGACCCAGTGCAAAAATCCTGAGGATCCATGGGCTTTTACCTCCCCCCTCCCAGGCAGCCTCCTTTACCAGCAGCCTTATCTCCCTCCCGATCGCTTGCTGATCAGCGGCTTTGTTTCAACACCCACTTCCCTCTTTCACACACAAAAAAGCATGATCTGCTTTTCGCCCCTGGGCAATTTGGCTCCAGGGACCACGCATTCGCTCCATAAGACGCACAGACATTTCCCCGTACTTTTTAGAAAGAAAAGTCGTCTTATGGAGCAAAAAATACGGTAATTGCTCTCATCCTACAATTATGGAAAATATCACATCAAACAGAACTATAGGGATTTCACACAGTCTTCAACAGCGTACCACAAGCAAAGCTGGATGAAAGAAAACTGCTTCATACCTGTTTAACAGTCTGGATATACACATAATTACTCAGAAACAAGCACTATTGGGTTCAATTAGATTTCTCCCAGGTAAGCATGCACAGGGTTACCACATTTGACAAGGGATGCTCCAACAAACTGACAAAGCTAACAGAGATGCTGCAATGACTGTGGGATCATAATCCGATTGTAATGGAATTAAAGAGAAGAGATGAATCATAGTTTACATGGAGATGGAATGAACGATTACTAGATGATCAGAAGATTATGCAAAGGGCACAAGAGACTTTACCAAGAGTATTTTGAATTGAATTTGAATAAAGAGACAGAATAGATATGGTATGGAATGCAAGCAAAGTGGTAATGAGAGGTTTCTTCATACAACAAAATAGCCTTCAGAAAAGAGTAAGAGAAAAGGAGGAGGACATATTAAAGCATATAATTGAAAATGAAAAGCAATGAATCAAGAAACCAAGAAGTACACAAATAAAACAAAATATTAAGATGCTGCAAACCCAATTTTCAATATTAATTAATCAAGAAGTCGAATGGAAAATAAAAATGCTAAGGCAGAGGAATTCTGAATTTGCCAATAAACCAGGAAAATTATTAGCTTGGCAACTGAAAAGGAAACAAGGACAAAATACTATTAATAAGCTAAAAATAGAAGATAAAATAATAGAAAACCCGAAAGAGATCAGGAAAAATCTCCTAAGATTTTATAGAGAATTATATAAAGCTGGAAAAGAAAATATAGAAAAAAATAGAAAACTATTTGAAACAGAACAAATTACCGAAGATTCTGAAAAATAAAAAAGACCAATTGAATACACCAATAACAATAATGGAAGTACAATCAGCAATAAAACAATTAAAAATAGGTAAAGCGCCAGGACTGGATGGACTCACTGCGAAATACAACAAAAAACTGTGTGAACAACTGATGTCACCCTTAAAGGATGTTATGAATAATATTTTGTTCAGGGTGGGGCACTTCAAAGAATGGCAAAAAGTATTATCAAAATTTATCTGGCAGGGGAAACAACCAAGAATTAAATAAAAAATCCTAACAGATACAAAAGAAAGAGGTTTCTCCCTGCCAGACTTGAGAATATATTGTTAAGTGTCCTGTCTATGTTGGTTGAGGAATTGGATTTTGTTAGACAGATCTTTTAGATTTGGAGGGCTATGACAACAGATATGGATGACACGCATATTTATGGTATGACAAAGTAAAAGTGCATAAAGGATTTCTGAACCACACAATAAGAAAATCAATTTATGAGGTGTGGAATAGATATAAAAATTTATTGGAATGTAAAACCACTTGGTGGCTCTCTCCAATAGAAGGAATAATGGTAAAAAAGTTAAATATGAAAGGAGAGTGAGCCACGCATAGAGATTTACTGACAGAGATAGCAAGTCAGTTAAAATTAAAAAACATTTGAAGAAATAAAAGAGTTATTGATGGATTGGTTGCAATATCATCAGGTAAATGATGTGTTTAAGGAGGATAAAAAGAAAAACGGTTTCAGTACACTAAGATCTAGGCTGGAGATAGACTTATTGGCTGATAAGAGGAAGATATTATCGAAAATGTATAAACTATTATTGGAATCGCATACTAAAGATGAAGAGGTTAAAGGGGTGATGATACAATGGGCTAAAGATTTTGGATATAATATTCAGTTAGAATCTTGGGAAAGGTTGTGGAAGGAAGGTTTTAACTTTACTGCATGCAATGCACTTAAAGAAAATGTTATGAAAATGATGTATAGATGGTATTTACCATCACTGGGGCCTGGTAAGGACCCCAAGATCTCCTGCAATGCTTTTGCAAAGTTTTTTGCAGATAAAGTCGCTCAGATTCGGAAGGAGGTAGACTCCACCATGGGAGCAGGGCCGGGGCCGGAGAGTGCTAGAGTCCTGTACATATAGTCATGTTACATGGGATCAATTCCAATCTGTTACCTCCGAGGATGTGGACAGGCTGCTTGGACGAGTGAAACTGACCACCTGTCTCCTTGATCCTTGCCCACCCTGGCTAATAAAAGCGAGCCGGGAAGGGCTGGGCGATGGGCTCTGTGGGTTGGTGAAAGCTTCCCTCTGCGAGGGAGCCTTCCCAGACCCACTGAAAGAGGTGATCATTAAACCGCTTCTTAAAAAAACATCTTTGAACCCAGCCAATATGGCCAACTGTCGCCCAGTCTCAAATCTACCGTTCTTGGCCAAGCTGATTGAGCGAGTGGTTGCTGAACAACTCCAAGCACGCCTGGAGGATGCGGACCATTTGGATCCCTTCCAAGGCCTCACCATGGGACTGAAACTGCCTTGGTCGCACTGGTCGATTATCTCCAGTGGGCTAGGGACAAAGGTGAAAGCTGTTTCCTAGTTCTGCTGGATCTCTCAGCGGCCTTTGACACCATTGACCATAATATCCTTCTGGACTGTCTGGAGGGGCTGGGAGCTGGAAGCACTATTATACAGTGGTTCCGCTCCTTCCTCCTGGGCTGTGTCCAAAAAGTGGTTTTGGGGGATGAGTGTTTAGACCCCTGGGCTCTCACTTGTGGGGTGCCTCAGGGTTCTGTCTTCTCCCCCATGCTTTTCAACATCTACATGCAGCCGCTGGGAGAGATCATCAGGGGGTTTGGGTTGGGTGTTCATCAATATGTGGATAATACCCAGCTCTACCTATCTTTTAAATCAGAACCAGTGAAGGCAGTGAATGTCCTGTGTGAGTACCTGGAGGCGGTTGGAGGATGGATGGCAGCTAACAGATTGAGGTTGAACCCTGATAAGACAGAAGTGCTTTTTTGGGGGGATAGGGGGCAGGCAGGTGGGGGGGGACTCCCTGGTCCTGAATGGGGTAACTGTGCCCCTGAAGGACCAGGTGCGCAGCCTGGGAGTCATTCTGGACTCACAGCTTTGGACTCACAGGTTAATTCTGTGTCCAGGGCGGCTGTCTACCAGCTTTAAAGTTTTAAATATTTAATGCTGTATTGTTTTAAACACTCGATTGGGAGCCACCCAGAGTGGCTGGGGAAACTCAGCCAGATGGGCGGGGTATAAATAATAATAATAATAATAATAATAATAATAATTTAACACCATCAGAACTTGCTAAAATGTATAGGACAAGAACTAATGAGTGTTGGAAATGCAAAGAAAAGGAAGGTATCTTTTACAATATGTGGTGGACTTGTAAAGAGGTAAAGGCTTTTTAGGAAATGATATATGAGTTAAAGAAAATGTTTAAAAATACTTTTGTTAAAAAAACAGAAGCCTTTTTATTGGGTATAGTGGGTGAAGATATACCAATAGAAGATAAAAGGCTGTTTATGTATGCAACAACAGCAGCAAGAATTATTTTAGCCCCAAAATGGAAACAACAAGAAGTACCAACAAAAGAAGAGTAGCAGATGAAAATGATGGACTTTGCGGAACTGGCGAAGCTGATGGGGAAAATGCAAAACCAGCATGATCAAGTATTCCAAAAAGACTGGAGTAAATTTATACAATACGTGAAAGATCATTGTAAGCAATTAACATCACTAGTAGGGCTGTCTGAAGATTTGTGAAGAGAAATTTTCCCCTTTTTTATATTTATTTAAATTTTGAGATATTTTGTAATGAGTGTACTGTATTTAGAATTGAAAAACGTATAAAATGCTATGATAGAAAGGTTAATTTTGAAAGCCATGAGGTGGGAGGGAAGGAAGTCAATAGGCTCTAGAGAGCCAGAGAGGTAATGTAGATAATAATGTAATTATATATCGCTAAATGGAAAACTAATAATATATATATATGTGTGTGTTTTCCAAGATCAAAAAAGAAATAGATGCTGCAATGACTGCTCCCACCAATAACCAAAAGTAGCCACACAACTTTCTTCAAAGCCTCTTACCAGGTAAGTCGGTCATATTCATTTTCCAGCTTGTAAATGAAACCGACTAAGGAATTCTTCAGGTCAGCCACTTGACTGATGAGAGCCTCAAGAGATAGTTCAAGCTGCTTCTCCTCTCTCTGGAAAGGATAGAGTAATAATCAATTTTCTAATTAATGAGTGTTCAGTTTACAGGGCCACTTTTGGCTTTCATATACAGTGGTACCTCAGGTTACATACGCTTCAGGTTATATACGCTTCAGGTTACAAACTGCGCTAACCCAGAAATAGTACCTTGGGTTAAGAACTTTGCTTCAGGATGAGAACAGAAATCGTGCTCCGGCGGCGCGGCAGCAGCGGGAGGCCCCATTAGCTAAAGTGGTGCTTCAGGTTAGGAACAGTTTCAGGTTAAGAACGGACCTCTGGAACAAATTAAGTACTTAACCCAAGGTACCACTGTAGTGAACATAGTAATTATTATAATTATTTTTAGTATTGAAAGATTATTGTCTCTGACAAAGCATTTGACAAATGCGTGGCAAGAGTAAAGAGTGTTAAAAGAAAACTTGCTAGACTGAAGTCGTGCTAGGTAGCAATGATGATATTCTGATTCAGCTGAGTCCAGAGGTTTAAGACATGGTGCCTGGTGCATGACCTTCCTTGTATTTCACTTGTGTTTGCTCCTTATTTTTGGGTGCCTCTGTTTTAACCCTATGGGCTTAAAGATATGTGCACAAACATAATAGACTTGCATCGGGCAAGGAGCTGATGAATTTCCGGATCTCTGCCATGATGTTGTATTCACTCTTAAGAGAAGCAACTCTTAAATATTGGCCACAGATATTTCCCCAACATTTCCTCTTCTCAGGGTTCCCTTTGGGTGCTGTTCAAACACTGCCTTTGCATTGTTCCTTGCTGGTGGATGCAAACACTGGGTATCCCTCTTGCTACATCATACTTGGTGCAAGTATGTCAATAGCATTCCCAATAAGTTTGTTTGCACTGATGAAATATCTTTGAAAGATTATCTAGGGAGGTAATCTTGCACTGATTACTTTTATTTGTAACCTATGTTGTTCTGGTATATGATCATTAATAGCTGTATCAGATGGTTGAAAGGAGGACAGTTGCACAAATCAAAGTTTGTACGGTAGGTCAGGTTCTGACCGTTCCTGATTTATAGGGTTGTTCCCCACCTTTCCTAGTGTAGGGTTGTGCCTTTGATCCAAATTAGATGCCTTCAACAAGCAAAAAATTACTTAGCTGTCATGGTGTGTCTCAAGCACTGGTATGAAAACAAGGGAAGCTGGGTGATGAGATAGATATAAAGGGTTTAAACTACATGATACTACAGTGGTACCTCAGGTTAAGTACTTAATTCGTTCCGGAGGTCCATACTTAACCTGAAACTGTTCTTAAGCTGAAGCGTCCCACTGCTGCTGCGCCGCCGGAGCACGATTTTTGTTCTCATCCTGAAGCAAAGTTCTTAACCCGAGGTACTATTTCTGGGTTAGCGGAGTCTGTAACCTGAAGCGTCTGTAACCCGAGGTACCACTGTACTGGGGTTCTTTAAAATACAGGTCACATTCCAGTAGCACATGCTTTCTGCCTTGCAAAGCCAACATTTCAAAGGAGTTAAGATTTGTTTTAACCACAGTTTTGACATCCATCATATCTGAATCAGCCATTCATGATGAAAGGTCTGGGTATAATTCTGTGTGTTCAGATAAGTGAAATTCCAGAATAAACATTCCAGAAGCAGGAATTGCATGTAGTTATGTTGGAAGAAATTGTTCTCTGTAAGACAGTGGTGTAGTAAGTACTTGGTAGTGTAGTAAATTTTCTGATGTCACAATGCTTACAACCAAGTTCACAGTTGCCTAGTATACCGTATATAATGCACACCTTAATTTTCGCAACATAATTTGGCTAGAAAAGGTGAGCATTAGATTCGAGTAAATACGGTATATCACAAAACATGCCCTTTGAAATTAGGCCAATACTTTTCACAACAATTAGCAATGTACACATTTCCTCCAGACACTTAATTGTAAGCAGGAAAATGTGATTTTACTTTATACTAGGAAGGTGAATAGGATAGAAAAAAATAAGGACCCAATGAAGTCTGGAACATTCCATCTAGAAAAAAAATCTTTTGAACTATAAAGTTGTAGAGAAGAAAGGGTAGGAATAAAGGCAATTTCCAAAATGGAGAGAGAAGCTATTAGGTCTCATGAGATTCTATATCGATTTCCACCACCTCCCGTAAGATTTTACCAAAGCTTCTTCATAATAAATAAGATAGAAGAAACTAATCTAAACAACAACAAAGAAAGAAAGAGAAAAGAAAACACAGAATCCTCTCTCAAAGATAGCTCTAAAATATAATAATAATAATACTAATAATAATAAAATGAATCCCACTCTGGGCGGCTTCCAACAAAACACTAAAATACAACAACAACAACAACAACAAATTAAACATTAAAAGCTTCCCTAAACAGGGCTGCCTTCAAATGTCTTCTGAAAGTTTGGTAGTTATTTTTCTCTTTGACATCTGGTGGGAGGGCGTTCCACAGGGCGGGTGCCACTACCGAGAAGGCCCTCTGCCTGGTTCCCTGTAACTTGGCTTCTCGCAGCAAGGGAACCGCTAGAAGGCCCTCAGCCCTGGACCTCAGTGTCCGGGCAGAACGATGGAGGTGGAGACGCTCCTTCAGGTATACTGGACCGCGGCTGTTTAGGGCTTTAAAGGTCAGCACCAACACTTTGAATTGTGCTTGGAAATGTACTAGGAGCTAGTGTAGGTCTTTCAAGACCGGTGTTATATGGTCTTGGCGGCCGCTCCCAGTCACCAGTCTAGCTGCCGCATTCTGGTTTAGTTGTAATTTCCAGATCACCTTCAAAGGTAGCCCCATGTAGAGCGCATTGCAGTAGTCCAAGCGAGAGATAACTAGAGCATGCACCACTCTGGCGAGACAGTCTGTGGGCAGGTAGGGTCTCAGCCTGCGTACCAGGTGGAGCTGATAAAGAGCTGCCTTGGACACAGAATTGACCTGCACCTCCATGGACAGATGTGAGTCCAGAATGACTCCCAGGCTGCGCACCTGGTGCTTCATGGGCACAATTACCCCATTTAGGGCCAGGGAGTCCTCCACACCCACCCGTCTCCTGTCCCCCAAAAACAGTACTTCTGTCTTGTCAGGATTCAACTTCAATCTGTTAGCTGCCATCCATCTTCCAACCGCCTCCACTCACACAGGACCTTCACCGCCTTCACTGGTTCAGATTTGAAAGAGAGGTAGAGCTGGGTATCATCCGCATACTGATGAACACCCAGCCCAAACCCCCTGATGATCTCTCCCAATGGCTGCATGTAGATGCTGAAAAGCATGGGGGAGAGGACAGAACCCTGAGGCACCCCATAAGTGAGAGCCCAGGGGTCTGAACACTCAACCCCCCCCCAACTTTCTGAACACGGCCCAGGAAGAAGGAGCAGAACCACTGTATAACAGTGCCCCCAGCTCCCAGCCCCTCTAGACGGTCCAAAAGGATGTTATGGTCACTGGTTTCAAAAGCCGCTGAGAGATGCAGCAGAACTGGAAACAGCTCTCACCTTTGTCCCTAGCCCGCCAGAGATCATCAACCAGTGCGACCAAGGCAGTTTCAGTCCCATGGTGAGGCCTGAATCCCGACTGGAAGGGATCCAAATGGTCCGCTTCTTCCAGGCATGCCTGGAGCTGTCCAGCAACCACTTGCTCAATCAGCTTGCCCAAGAATGGAAGATTTGAGACTGGGCGGTAGTTGGCCATCCGATGGTTCCTCTAATTCTTTCTGTTGTTGACCTTCATTCTTTCACAGCCTCTGAATTGTTCCCGCAAGCGAGTTAAAACAAACAATGATGTGTTTCTGTGTGGATTTTATGTCTATGATTCCCCTCTATAAGTTTGCAGCATCTCCTCGCACGCTGGTGTTTCTGCCGAATCAATCCGAAAGTCTTTTCGCTGCTGGCAGCCACAATCTTCACTCAGTTCCAATAAAATCAAATATAACCGGTTTTCCCAGACCGGTTGCATCAAACATTAGCCGTTCCAGAGGAGATTTACCAAATCAAACTGGAAACACAAGTATAATGACATATTAAAGGCTCACCTCCCCCTTTGACTATTTGTAATTCTGCAGCCCACTCTTGACTTCCAATTATGGCGGATTTCAAGTGCAACACAACTCCCACATAGATTCCAGAAAACCGTCTATAATGGTTCTAGGGGTTGCTCGTGCGTAAGCCGGTGCAAACACCTGGCTGGATTGCCTGAGTGAACCTTTTCTGTCTGGACAACCACTCACCCGTGGCTGTCTCAATCGCTCGCAGAATCCGTCAGTGGGCGTTTCTTAAACTTCTTCCAGCAAAGAAGCTCTTTGACGCCTAGTCTCCGCCTACTCTCTCTGCGCGGAAGCCTTCTGCGCAAGGAGGGCGTAGGCAGCAGAGGACCTCTACTCTCCCCGCTGGTCCCCCGGCAAGGAGTCAAGGAGTCCAGCTGTTTTGGGACTACAATTCCCATCATCCCTGACCACTGGTCCTGTTAGCTAGAGATGATGGGAGTTGTAGTCCCAAAACAGCTGGAGGGCCAAGTTTGGCCATGCCTGCTCTAGACAGTTCTTCTCTATCCAGATACCCACAAATCTCAGAGATATTCCAAGGGGGGGGGGATCTAGATATTCCACTCTTGGCACAGTGTGTTGTGTTATCTGTTAAAATTAGCAGGGGGTTGTGATAATGCTGCTGGAGCTACTTGCCTTTCTTGTTATGGCATCATGACTACAATACAGTGGTACCTCGGGTTAAGAACTTAATTTGTTCTGGAGGTCCGTTCTTAACCTGAAACTGTTCTTAACCTGAGGTACCACTTTAGCTAATGGGGCCTCCTGCTGCCGCCATGCGATTTTTGTTCTCATTGTGAAGCACAGTTCTTAATCAAAGATGGGTTTTTTAAGAAGCGGTTTGATAACCGCCTGTTTCAGCAGGTCTGGGAAGACTCCCTCACAGAGAGAAGCATTCACCACCCCGCAAAGCCCATCGCCCAGCCCTTCCCAACTAGCTTTTATAAGCCAGGATGGGCAAGGATCAAGGAGAGAGGTGGTTGGTTTCACTTGTCCAAGCAGCCTGTCCACATCCTCGGAGGTAACAGATTGGAATTGATCCCACACAACTTGACTAGACAGGACTCTAGCACTCTCCCACCCCAGCCCTGCTCCCACAGTGGAGTCTACCTCTTCCCGAATCTGAGCAACTTTATCTGCAAAAAACTTTGCAAAATCAATGCAGGAAATCATGAGGCCCGTACTGGGCCCCGATGTATCAGGTGATTCCGCTAAATTGCGAACCACCAGAAAAAGTCTCCTGGGGGCCTGCTAGGGGCGCCTTGGAAGATGGCCGACAATACCATCTCTCCAGCTCACACGAGGTAATTAAGAAGCTGATATGGGAGTAAATCAGCCTCCCGAAATTCTTCGCGGGGAAGGGAAGATGCAGCCTTGTCCGCGGTTGCCCATAAATCACCCCCGAGTTCGAAAGAAGGAGGGGGTGAGGGCACTGGACGGAAAGCCCTCGAGTGAACTTTGGATCTCCCGGACGCTGCTTCTGAGAGCGATGCTAGTTGCATTACTTAAGATAAAATCTTCGATATAAAAGTAATTGCACATGCTTTGAGCGCAGAAAAGGGTTTATCAGCCTGCCACTGGGAGTTAAGAGTGATGGAATGGACTGCACAGAAGATAACATCAAAGAATAACAGCTATGTCGGTATGTTGAAACGGAACGGAAGGGGGGGAAGCTTCTTCTTTTTATTATGATATTACCTAACAACCCCTCCCCTAGAAGAACCATCACATGACTGATAGCAAGTGAGATTAGAAAATAAACTGTGTGGAAATAAAAATAATAACTAAAGGCTTTGTTTTCGGAAGACCTGGAAAGAAAAATGAAAGGCTCTTCTGTGACGCAGTTCTTAATCGGGATCCGCCATTATGAGATAGACTATGTTGCGAGATTAACAGTCAAAGGGGGAGGCGAGCCACTGCTTTGATGTTTGGATTGTAAGTTTGATTTGGCAAAATCTCCCCTGGAAAGGCTTATTTATCGGGGGCCGCTAGGGGCGCCTTGGAAGATGGCCGACAATACCATCTCTCTGGCTCACACGAGGTAATTAAGAGGCTGACGATGGGAGTAAATCAGCCTCCCACGATCTCCCCAGGGAATGGGGAGACACTGCCTCGTTCACAGTTGCCAATAAATCACCCCTGAGTTCGAAAGGAAGGGGTGAGGGAACTGGATGGAAAGCCCTCGAGTGAGATTCTGGATCTCCCGGACGCTACTTCTAAGTGCGACCTAGTTGCATTGCTTAAGATAAAATAATTGTATTAAAAGTAAATGCACATGTTTCGAGCGAAGGAAGGGTGTTTTATCTGCTAATTAAATCTACCTCTGAGAAGTGAAGAGTGATGGGATGGATTGAACAGAAGACTACAGCAAAGAATCACAGCTATGTCGGTATGTTGAAACGGAACGGAATCGGGGGGACTTCTCTCTTTTTCAATATGTTTTACCTAACAACGCCCCCCCCCGAAGACCCGTCACATGATTGATTGATAGCAAGTGAGATTGGGAAATAAACTGTGTGGAAACAAAAATACTAACTAAAGGCTTTGTTTTATGGAAGATCTGGAAAGAGAAAGGCATTCCTGTTGCGCAGTTACTACTGGGATCCGCCATTATGAGACAGACTTTGTTGCGTGATTTACAGTCAAAGGGGGAGGCGAGCCAACGTTTTGCTTTCATGTGTGGATTATAGATTTGAATGAACAAATCCCCTGGAAATACTGATTTATGGTGCAACTGGTCTGGGAAAATTAAGGAGCAGACGCGTAGATTGTATTTCATCGGAATTGTCGAAAATGGCGCCGGCCGCTGGAACAGGACTTTTGAATTAGCGTGGATGAATTATGGGAGAGCATTACAAAGTTCACACAGAAATATAAATAATGTTTGATTCAACTTGCCTGTGGAAATACTCGGAGGTTATTAAGAAGAAAAAGGATAACAACAAAGAGATGGGAAGATGGGACTTGTGAACATCAAAGCAGCAGAAATATGAGATGATTGGACCCTTTCTGAGCTCGAAGCATGGGTATCCCCAACAAAAATTTAAAATTTGGCTAAATATTTGGAATTTATTGCATATTGGTATAATTTGGAATTAATGTGATATGATTGGTTTGTTAAATGGAAATTTAATAAAATTTATTTTTTTTTAAAAAAAGGAAAGACTGATTTATGGTGCAACTGGTCTGGGAAAATTAATGAGCAGACGCTTAGAATTTATTTCATCGGAACTGACAAAAATGGCGCCTGCCGCCCGAGCAGGACTTTGGGATCAGCGTGTGATGATTTACTGCAAATAAAAGACTTACCAGCTTTAAAAAGAAAAGAAAGGGAGAGCCTTACAAAGTCCATACAGAAACATAATAATGCTTGCTTCAACTCACTTGTGGAAACAACTCAGAGGTGATTAAAAAGAAAAACGATAACAAGAAGATAGGAAGATGGGACTTGTGAACACCAAAAGCAGCAGAAATATGAGATGATTGGACCCTTACTGAACTCGAAGCATGGAAACCCCCAACAAAAATTTGGCAAAATATTTGGACTTAATGATATGTATTGGTATAATTTGGAATAATTAATGTGATATGATTGGATTGTTAAATGGAACATTTAATAAAAATTATTTTAAAAAAGAAAGAAAAAGCCTCCTGCTGCTGTTTCTGCAGATGCAATAGAGGCGATGAAAAAAGTCTTCACCGTTGCTACAGCCACTTGGTAGGCTCAACATTGAGCTCTAACCCGTGTCCGGTCAGCTTCAGAGCGAGTTATCCGCCACCGGTGCTCTAGCTGTCTCAGCGATTGTTTCATTGCCCTCAGATCCGTGGAAAACCACGGGGCTGTCCAGGCTCCACGCAATCGGAGAGGGCGCTTCAGAGCCAAACAGTCAATAGCCCTGGTTAACTCCACATTCTAGCGGGCCACCAGGGAATCAGCTGAAAGGCCATCAGCATGGGATAAAGCATCCCCTACCACTCTCTGGAAAACATTTGGATCCATTAAGTAGCGGGGACGGACCATCCGAATTGGTCCTACCTCTCTGCAGAGGGGAAGGGTCTCGGAGAAGTCCAGTTGCACCAGGAAGTGATCTTGACCATGGCACTTCTTTCGTTTCACTTTTACTTAGTGTCAGATCACCAACATCCATAGAGGTGAACACCAGGTCCAAGGCATGTCCCCGGCTATGGGTTGGGCCAGACTTATTCAGGGACAGCCCCAGGGAGGCCATGCTTTCCATGAAGTCCCGAGCGGCCCCTTGTAAGGTCGTGTCGGCATGGATGTTAAAATCCCCTAGGACAACCAAACTAGGTGTCTCCAGGAGAACATCCGCCACGACCTGAAGCAGCTTGGGCAGGGAATCCTTGGTGCAGTGGGGAGGTCGGTACACCAAAAGGAATCCTGTACTGCCCTATTGCCCAACTTACAGGACATGCACTCCGAGAACTGGGTCTTCCAAATAGGATACCTGGTGCAAACTAATGACTTCCTAAAAATCACTGCAACCCGCCCTCCCCACCCACAAGGCCTGGGTTGCTGTCTGTAAGAGAAACCTGGTGGACAAGCAGCGGCAAGGACAGGCCCATCTGCTTCATCCAACCAAGTCTCTGTTACACATGCCAGGTCAAGGATGGCAGTGGTCTTATGAATCATTGGCCTGGCATTGCACAGCAGCACCTTCAGGTCATGTGGGTATCCCTTGCTGATTCTAGTATCCGTCCGGTCAGGACCAGACCCGGAGGCAGGGATAGTCCTCAAACAATGACTAAACCTGCCTCCTCGGTAATGACATGGTCTGGCCTTAGCGTAACTGCTCCTCCTACCCGTGATCACTGAGATCGGTTGTCCCAGTGCATCCCCCCCCCCCCCCGTGGAACCTGCCCCAGCCATTTTGTAAGATGATGTTGATCAGAAGGTGACATGGGTGGTATCCAAATTTGCCTGTGGTATGGCAAGTATTCAGGATTGAGGGAACCAAAGCAAGCTATGAAGTAATCATCATTTTACTGTTATGGTTTGCAAACAGACACCCTTTCTAGAATATCAGCTCAGAAGAATGGCTTATTAAAACCAGTAGATGAAACCAGATTTATTACTAGCTCAGAAGAATTATGATTACAAAAGACAGATGTGTACAATAAGCCCTCACAAGTCTTCTGAGCTAGTATTATAGTAACAGTACCTTTTTGTAAACCATTAACAGTTAATGATGATCTTTAATCCAGAGAAGGAAAACTTTCCAATGTGAACTGAACATTAACTATGCAATTACATCTGTTTGGATATATAGAACTAAAACTGTTGTTCTGCAGTGGGGACAGCTCTTTACGGTCCTTGGCGTTAATTATGAACTGTATGATTTTTTAACTGCGCATTTTTACCTGGAGCAGCCCACTAACATGCTTTTGCCTTTATTCAAATTTGCAGATGATTATTGAATGTAGCAGAGGGAGGCTGATTAGTTGGGTCCAGAGTGTGGTTAATGAGGGTGGTCCCTGCCACATTGAACGAGGCAGTGGTGCAACTGCTTCTAAAGAAACCGGCTCTGGGCCCTTTGGATTAGAACAACCAGTATTGACCAGTTGCAAATACAGTACCTCCTTTTTTAAGAGAAGCTGGTGGAGTGGGCCAGGGTGGGGCAGCTGAAAGCATTCTTGGGAGGGCAGATTATTTAGATCCATTCCAACATGGATTCAGGCCTGGCCACAGAACTGAGTCGGCCTTGGTCACCTTGATCTCTGCAGAATGGGATGGGGGAGTGAAACTTTGCTCCTGCTTCTTGATCCTTATCTCCAGTGCTATTTAATATTTACATTAAGCCATTGGAAGCCATCCCTATGAGTTTCTGGGATAGTGTTATCAGTTTGCTGATGACACTAAGCTCTTATTCTTCAGTTCCCACCAGCTGCGAGGAGCAGCAACAGTGTTGACATCATGTGATGTCTCTGAGCGTGAGACAGGAAGTCTCAGCCAGTTCTCAGTGTAACCGGGTGGAGTTACTGAGTGTTGTTTTTCTTTCGCTTCCGTATAGAAGCAGAGTCGAGTCGGAGACTCTGTGTTCTGCTGCTCAGAGAGCAGTCATGATTGTACAGTCTTAATAAAGTAGCTGTTAGACTACAGACTGTCTCTTTCTTCTGTGATGAGATGCAAGGAGGAAGTGAGTGTGCTCCTCTCATGAGGGAGGGGTCGCTTATTACCGGTCTCTCTGGACTCAGAGAGAATTCCAGCCAGAGAGTGACCACCGGAGAGAAGCCCCGGCGTCTTGGGAAGCTTGGCACCTTTCCCCGGGGGCGTTTTTCCAACAAAAATCTGAATCAGTAGAGGCTGAGCGGTATTTGAGTCACTGCCTGGACACAGTGGTGAAACAGATAAGGAAAAACAAGGAGAGCTTGAATCCTGGCAAGATGGATGAACTGTGAGTGAGTAGTTCCCAATTCCAATAAATTGGTTAGTTGTCTACCCTGGATGGAGTTGCACTGCCCCTGAAGAAGAAGGTTTGCAGTCTGGGTGTGTTTTTGGATCTAGCTCTGTCACTGGAGTCTCAGGTAGCCTCAGTGGTTAGAAGTGCCTTGTACCAACAGCCATTGGTTCAACAGCTACAGCTGTTCCTGGCAAGCCTGGCTAGAGTAGTTCATGCATTCAAGAATGGATTATTGAAATAAGCTCTCTGTGGGGCTTCTATTGTATTCTATTGCTTCTATTGATCAGGAGGCTGCAGTTAGTGCAGAATGCTGCAGCAAAGTTGCTGCCAGGAGTACGGCCTTGTCAGTATAGAACACCTGTGCTCAGAGATCTGTACTGGTTCCCTATTTGCTACTGGGCCAACCAAGTTCAAAGTATTAGTATATAAAGCCCTTACCAATTTGGGACTAGCTCACCTATGAGATTGCCTTATCCCACATGTGCTCAGTCAACAGCTTCAGTTCGTGGAACTGACAGTACTACAGGTGCCACATAATACCTATTCCACATTTGTAAGAAAATGATTATTTAGTGTAGCAGCACTCACAATTTGATAACCATAGGCAGGGATTTCCAAGCAGGTGCCTTCACTGTATTATTTTTGGCTCCTGCCTGCTAAAAAAATCTTGGTTAGACAAGCCTACCCAGGTGCTTAAAAAGTTAATGTGACTTTTAATCTGTTTTAGTATTTTAGTATTCTTGTATGTTTTAAACTACTGTAAATTTTATTGTTTTATCTTTTATGTAAACCACTTGGAGGCTTAAAAATTTTTTTTACTACCACTCATATACATTTTATGACATAAACATCAGAAATAAGCCTGTAGTTCTATATACCGTATTTTTCTGTATATAAGACTAGGGGGGTTTTTACCAAAAAAATTAGGTTAAAAATTGGGGCTCATCTTATACACGGGTAGTGCTGAAGGGTGTTTTCTTAATTTGGAGTCCCCAAAAATAGGGGGTGTCTTATACATGGAAAAATACAGCAATCTATGCAAATTTGGAAACTGTAGAAAAGCTGGAAATAAATTATGTCTTCACTTGAATAAAACAACTTTATTGCCAACTGTGTGTGGTGTTCCTTCTCTAAAGAGTACTGCTTGTGCATGGCTCAAGGCAGAATCCAGTTTGGATCCAAGTGGAGATAGCAATGGCGAAGAGGACCTTCTTTACTGCCTCTATTGCATCTGCAGAAAACAGCAGGAGGAGACTCTTTCAAGTGGTTTGCAATCTAACAGAATCTAACACCTCCACCACTGGGGCCTAGTGAGGACCCCAAGATCTCCTGCATTAGATGTCAAGGAAATAAACAACTATCTGACTTTTAGAAGACATCTGAAGGCAACCCTGTATCAGGAAATTTTTTAATGTGTAATGTTTTACCATTTTTAATGTGCTGTAAGCCACCCAGAGTGGCTGGGGAAACACAGCCAGATGGATGGGGTATAAATAATAAAACTGCTATTATTACTAATACTTTGACTAATAGGCTCTGGGACCCAAGGAACATGTAACATTTATTTATCTCCTTACCATGATTAAGAGATCTCCATTTCCTTTGAGTTCATATTCTCCTCTGTCTCTCTCCCCATATCCTATGAATTCCCCCTTTTCCTTTTTACTGCTAGACACTATTGGTCTTCTATCTATACCAGGGTTCACACTAACCATGGTTATATCAGGGAAGTTGGGATATAAATGAAAGATATGAATAATTTTAAGATGAATTAGTGAGTTAGGGCATGCAGCTAATTATGAGGAAAATCTCAGCTCCTACAGGAAGAAGCAAAGATACACCAACGTATTTTACATTATGGCTGAACTGTAATTAGCTTTTAAAAATGCCATTTAAATCCACCCAAGAGTCCTATTGCAACTGCGAATACCACTCCACCAATTTAGCACGCCAATCCTTAGCACATTTTAATGGAACTTTCATGTTAAAGTGTTGCTATCTGAAGCTTAAGTTGGCAGATAGTCTGTTAGCTAAAGACGAATCAGTTGTAAAAGACAGCAAGGCTCCAACACTTTTAAAAAACTTGCACAGAAGAGAATTTCAACTTTTCCCAATCTCTTCATAATATGCTGCATCCACTTTACCTCTTCTACTGTTAAGAATTCATCTATACAGGTGATGGACTATATGGAACTGGCAGAAATGACTGGCAGAATCCGAGACCAGGGAGAAGAGTCGGTGGAAGAAGATTGGAAGAAATTTAAAGACTATTTACAGAAATATTGCAAAATTAATGAAGGATAGAATGATGTTGGATAGTAACTAAGTGGTTTCTAGCTGTAATGCTTTAAGAGAATATGAAAAAAAGGGTTATAAATGGGTTATAATCTAATGGTAAGGATTTGCTGAACCAATAAATTGAAGTGGAATACAAGAAAGGGAGGTGTGAGGAGGTCAACAAAACAAGTTAATGAAGGACAAAGATATGGAAATATTGGATGTGTTTTTAATTGTTTTATTTTTAATTTTAATTGCTTTTCCTTTTGCTTTTGTCTTGATGTATTGTGTTTTTTCTTTTTTCTTTTCCTATGTATAGCAATGTATTGATTTGTATTGTTTATTTTTTCTTTCTTTCCTTTTTTTGTAATCTTTTAAACTTTTAATAAATATTATTTAATAAAAAAAAAGAATTCATCTATACATGTACGTTCTTGCTTTTGAAGGCAAGAACGTCTTCACGAAAGGGTTGCATGCAACTTACTGTTATACCTTGCACACCTATTAAGTTATAAAAATGCAAGAACCCTATTCACCTTTGCAGCTGCTTTCCCCAGAGGAGGGGTGGGTCACCTCGGGCACCGCGACCATGCGTAGCCTTCCAACCTACCCTTGGGCCACACCCCCCTCAGCAACCCTGCCCCCATGCCCGCAACGAGTCAATGAACTCCCAATAATGCTTCCTGCTTGCCTGGATGGAGGACACACGAGGTACGTGTGCAGAAACTCCGACTTTCGTCCGGCTAGCACGCAGCTTCTAGTTATGCACACAGTTAAGAATCACATCCATTTCCTCACCCACCACTAGCACGCCCCCCCCCCCCGGGAGGCCTGCAAAAGGAAACAGGGCCCTTGGGCTGAAAAGGGCTTGCTACGCCTGCCCAATCTCTGCAGAAGAGCATTCTCACTATTATTACTGTGAAAAGAGCATTTGTACCCTCCCCCCGCTCTTCAGCCAAAAAGGCAATGCATTAAAACAAGCCAGTCCCTACCCGCAGGCTTACAAAATGGGGGAGGGGGGGACAAGGGAAAGAGGGCAGGGAAGGAAGAGGAAAACAAGGTAAACTAAGGGAGGGAGAGGTTCCTCAGCTAGACTACTAGGCTAGAACTAGAAAGATGCGGTCCCCAAAGGCCCCCGCGCCGCCGACCCACTAACCCCGCCCGCTTATTTCACCTGCATAGTGACGGAGACCGGAGACCGCGATATAAAGAAAGCCTCCCGCGGACGGCGGCTTATTCACGCGCGCGCTGCTTCCTCTTCCGGGTTGGTGCGTCACGAGGTCGGAGGTCACGGAGTTGGAAAGTGCTGGCCATGGCGGCCTCGGAGAGACCCGAAGCAGAGGTAGCGCGCCTGGCTTTCCTGTGCGAGCGGGGCTGGGGAGCGCGGGGGGCCGGGCCGTGTGCAGCGGCACGAGCTCGCTCTCTTGCCTGAGAACGCTCGAGCTTCCTAGGCAAGGGCTGCGAAGGGGGCGAGAGGCTTCGCGGGGATGCAAAGGGAAGTCCCTGCCTCGGGGCGCTGTGTATGTGTGTCGGTGGAGTGAGCGCGTGGATGCAAGGGAGCGTATTGCATTGCGTACAGACACGGGGCACAGCCCTATAACGGCTCACTGCCACTCCTAGATCTTGTTTACTATGTGCTTATGTATCTGTTTTGCGCTTGCAGCCCGCCCTTCACCAAATGTTCCACAGGACAGTTTACAAACATGCCGTGAATGAAACTAGTCGCAACTTAACGTTGCAGTCACAAAAGCAAAACCGTCAAACAGCCTGTGATTTAAAAACAAACAAACCCAGTAACACAGAAAAAAACAACATGGTACAGTAGTGTTGGATAAGTGTCTGGCTGTATATTGCACCTAACCTGAAAGAGATTTCATGAGAACACGTGTATTCGATCAAAAGCTCATCCCTACTTTGACCAACAGTTTGCAGTCGAGGGTGCCACAAGTATGGAGTCCCTTTGCTACGGAGAGGTGCCTTTAGAGAACAACAGAGCCAAATGCTTCTGGCAGAGGAAATGTTTAGACGTAGGGAGATGTGCTGGACTCTGCATGCCCATTGTTTTTACTGCATCACCTACCCACATGCAGCCCTGGTACTTTTTTGGTACTATTAGTGCACATGTGGTAGCATGTTCAAGTCGACTTGCTACTCCTCCACTTGTCTACAGAGCAGCCTTATGGATGCTTGCTCAGAATTAAGGCCTAATAGGTAAATAGAGCATATGTCTAAGGATAGCAGCCTTGATTTGCCATTAAGGGAAAAACAGGCTTTTGAATAAGAATAACTGGCCATTTTTGCTCTTCCTATCTCTAACAGTGACCAGGTATTCCAAGGGAAGTTGATATTAATGTAAGAAATATAAAGTAGGCAATATTATATATTCATTGGATCACCTGTTGGCTGTAAAAATATGAAACCTTTCTAGTTCCAAAAAACTCATGCTGTAATCCTATGTGTTTTGTCCTCTGTAGTTTATGTAGAAATGCATAACAAACTCAGTTAGTTAATGGCATAGCAAACTTATTCTTGAAGAGCCCTGAAAGCCTGCACAGATTAGTAACAAACTTTTCCAGCCAGGCCACACCTGAGTCAGCTCTCCAGGCCTCGCCCAGGTCATAGCTGTTTCTCTTAAAGGGCCCACATGCCAGATAGTTAGATAGTTAGATGATAATGCATTTGCACACAAATTTAAGAGTAAATTCAACTGAAGTAGTTAGAGCTTTTTTTTTAGTATTAAAGAGAAATAAATCATTTACAACATTGTACACTGAACATACCACACAGACTTCAGTATTAATTCCAGTGATTTAACATACTCTTAACCAGCTGTTGAGAAAGAGAAATAATAAAGCGATTGATTACAATTACAAAATCTTGAAAATATTATCATATATGTCCATGTGGAATTCTCACATAGTACTGGAATTTTCCATAAAAGAATGTCAGGTCGTATTCTTTCTCTAATTCTGTTGAAAATGTAAGCTTTAATTTTAGCAATCTGCCAGTGGGACTACTAACTAAACCCTCCTAGGATCACATTGTAAGTTGCACAGTGGCAGCTCCTGTCAAATAGTAGTGGATATTGCTTCCTGGTTCTTGTGCTGCATGGTTCTGTAGGGCACTATTTTGTCCCACTGCTAATTAACACATACATGGAGTGGCCATTAAGAGTTTTGGAGCATGGTTTCACCAGTACAGTTGTACCTTGGAAGTCGAACGGAATCCGTTCCGGAAGTCCGTTCGACTTCCAAATCATGGCTTCTGATTGGCTGCAGGAAGCTCCTGCTGTGGAAGCCCTGTCGGATGTTCGGCTTCCAAAAGTACGTTCAAAAACGAACAGTCACTTCTGGGTTTCAATCGTTCGGGAGCCAAACCATTCGAGAACTAGGCTGTTCAAAAACCAAGGTATGACTGTATACTTATCACACACAGCTCTGTTTCTTCATAACATCTGAATTGGGAGTGGCTGTTCAATCCCTGAACCAGTACCTGAGTGTAGTGGTGGACTGAATGAGGGCCAATAAACTGAGTTTGAATTCTGGAAAGATAGAATCTCTGTGGGTAGTTCACATTGCTAATTGCCTGTTCTGAAAGTACAAGTATGTAGCGTGGGGGTATTTCTCTATATATACGAGGTGCAAGTGACTTCTATGGTTAGGAGTTCCTTTCGTTGGCTTCATTTGTATGCTAGATACAGCTGTATCTGAATCAGGTTAGCTTGGCTTTTGTAGTCCATGCATTGGCAACCTCAGCACTGCAATGCACTTTGTGTGGGACTGACTTTCTGCTTGGTCCAGAAGTTTCAGCTAATGCAGAATGCAGCTACTAGATGGCAGACCCCGTGTGACACCTCTGCTGAAACATCTGCAATGGCTGCCCGTGTGCTAAATGGGCCAACGTCAATATTATTGTGATGAAATACAAAGCCTATGACAACTTAAGGACCACCTGGGCCCTTATATTCCAGCCTGATCACTGAGATCATTCAGAGAACAGCTGTTTGTTGTCTCCTGTGTCTCAGAAACCCACCTGGCTTCAACCAGAGGCCAGGAATCCTAGTCATGAGTCTCATTCTATGGAGAGTGGGTTGGCAGGGGTGGGTGGGCCTTTTGGGATGCCATGTCTCTTGGGAACTGGACAGTTCTGGGTGGGGGCTCCGGCAGCCTCCTTGCCAAGCTGCAAAATAGTCCCTAGGCTGCTCCTGCTCCTCTCCTCACAATCTGGGGTGATTCCCACCTGTCATGAGGAGGTCTCATAAAGTGTCCCTTGTCTGGTTGCAGAACAGTAGTGCCTCTTAAAGTAGTGCATGTGAGTGTCCCAATAATTCAGGGCAGGGCTGAAGAACCTCTCCCTTAATTTACTAGGAACCTTATTTTCCTCTTTCCTCCCTGCCCCTTCTTCCTAGTGTGTTGTGGTTTTTCCAGTTTGTAACTCTGCAGGTAGGGACAGTCTTGTTTTAATGGATTGTATGTAAGTCACTCTGGGAGCCTTTTGGCGGAAGATCAGGAGTACAAATGCTCTTAATAATAATAGTAATAATGCTCTCCTGCAGAGATTTGGCAGGAATCTTTACTGGTAACTTTGGAACATCTCTTGAAGACATTTTGTGCTGACAGGCCCATTCAGCTGTTTTATTTTCACTACCCCCAAGCATAGCGTGGATTGCCAGTGCCCAGGGTCACATGGAGGGGTGGGGTGGGTGTCTGCATCACCCAGGAGATCACAGCCACATAGATAAGAAAATGAGAGATCAATTCCTGGTTCGCATGGAGAAGCCGTTTTCAACAGACCCCAGTGATGGAAGCACGTAGCTGTATTGAGGCAGCACCAGGTGTTGAATTTTTGTGCCCCTAACAGTTTTGCACCTGGAGCAACTGCCCCTGTGGCTGCCCATGCTACGCCACTGCCTCCAAGATTTGCCAGTCATTGTAATGATTATTTTGTATTGCTTTATGCAATTTTATGTTTTATTGTATTTGTATGCACTTTTGTACACTGCCTTGATATTTTATGAGTGGGTGATGTATGTTTCTATAGCTAAAATAAAAAATAATAATAAATAAAATATACCATTTTATTTTATTTTTTTGTACATCTTGCTCTTTGGGCTCATGCAGCATCTTAAGGCAATTGTTGAGTGATATAATCTTTGCCATCCTGTTCTGGCGGTATAATGACAAAGAACAATTTAAGACAACAGGTGAGTTTCTTACGAAATAATCAAGATGTGAGATTACAGTTCTTTTTTGTTGCTTGCAGGTAGAGGAGGCCGGGCAGGTCTTTCTCTTGATGAAAAAGGATTATCGAATTTCACGCAACGTGCGCCTGGCTTGGTTTCTCAGTCGTTTGCATCAGGTGATCTGGGCAGTGCCTGAATCTGAACTGGTAAGCAAGCTGCACGTAAAGTTTACTTCTGAATGATGACCTCTTAGGCCAGTCAAAGTAGGAAAGCTGATGAGCATCTGAGAAGGAAGATGCATCTATAACCGAGCTTTACCCTTTGGTTGTGTCCTGCCTCCATTCCCCCCCCCCCTATTTTTTTCTTTTTGAAGGTGCATTCAGATAATGAGTTGGATATTCTCAGCATTCTTCCAAATAGCTGGCAACCTGACGAGCCTGTTCAGCCCAGGCCATATCTCCTAGTGCCTTCTACACAAGTCACTTTCCTTGCGCGCCAGTACCGTTTTGTGATTGAATTGGATTTGAGCCCTTCTACGGGGATTGTGGTAAGTGTACTAGTTCCTCATCCCGTGTTCCCTGAGTGTTTCTGTCATCCTTTTCCCTCTTCCTTGCCCTAGAAGTGCTTCTTCATTAAAGCTTGTCTTGTCAGCGATAGCATATCTTTGTCTTGGAGAAGAGTCTCCCAGGCTCTATTTTCCTATCTTGATGGAAAATAGAAAACTCCTCATACAGGAGTTTTGTCTGCTGGGTATCTTGACTTATTCCCAGTAGAGAGAGCACTTCATATATTCACTTATATAAGTGTCTCCAGAATATTACATATGGAATGCTCCAATTATTATATATTGAATTTATATACTGCCCTATACCCGGGGGTCTCAGGGCGATTCACAGAATAAAATTAAGATATAAAACCACAAAATACATAATAAAAATAAAAACAACAACCCAATAGCCCCCCCCCCAAAAGGGCATAGGATGTAAATCAGATCAACCAAAGGCCTGGCTAAAAAGGAACATTTTTGCCAGGCACCTAAAGATGTATAACGAAGGCACTAGGTGAACTTCCCTGGGGAGAGCATTCCACAGATGGGGAGCCACTGTAGAGAAGGCCCGTTCTTGTGTTGCCACCCTCTCATGGAGAAGGCACACAAAGGAAAGTCTCAGAAGATGATCTCAGGTGGTCCTTGAGGTATTGTGGTCCTGAGCCGTTAAAGGCTATATGGGTCAGAACCAGCACTTTGAATTGGGCCCAGAAACTAATTGGTGGCCAGTACAGTCGGACCAGGATCGGTGCGATATGCTCAAACCGTCTTGCTCCGGTGAGCAACCTGGCCGCTGAATTCTGCACTAGCTGAAGTTTCCGAACCGTCTTCAGAGGCAGCCCTACGTATAACGCATTGCAGTAATCTAACCTTGAAGTTACCAGAGCATAGACAACAGTAGTTAGACTATCCCTGTCCAGATAGGGGCGTAGCTGAGCCACCATCCAAAGCCGATGGAAGGCACTCCGGGCTACTGAGGCCACCTGAGGCTCCAGTGACAGCAAAGGATCCAGGGGTACCCCAAGCTACGAACCTGCTCCTTCAGAGCAAGTGTAACCACATCAAGAGCAGGTGACCTCCCAGCCATCTGGTCTAGGGAACCACCCACTAACAGTGCCCTCAGTCTTATCGGGATTGAGCTTCAGTTTGTTGGCTCTCATCCAGTCCATTACCGAGACAAGACACTGATCCAGCACTTCCACTGCCTCACCTGCAGATGTAAAGGAGAAATATAGCTGAGTGTCATCAGCATACTGCTGACAACATACTCGGAACCTCCAGATAACCCCACCTGGCAGTTTCATGTAGATGTTAAACAACATAGGGGATAGGATTGAACCCTGTGGAACCCCACATTGAAGGTTCAATGGAGATGAAAAGCATTCCCCAAGTAATACCCTCTGGGAATGACTATCCAAGTAGGACTGGAACCACTGCAAAGCGGTGCCACCCACCCCTAGTTCAGAGAGTCGCTCCAGAAGGATACCATGGTTGATGGTATCAAAAGCCGCTGAGAGGTTGAGAACAATTAACAGGGACATGTTTCCCTTGTCTCTCTCTTGAAAGAGGTCAGTTTTTGTGCCAAAACCAAGCCTAAACCCCAATTGAAATGGATCCAGAAAATCAGTTTCTTCCAAAAGTGCCTGGATCTGGTCTGTGACCACTCACTCCAAAACCTTGCCCAGTAAAGGGAGATTAGCAACCGGCCGGTAGTTAGTTAGCTGGAAACTCCTGTCTCTGGCACAACTTCAGTAGAAGCTTGATACTATGTCATTTTTCTTCTTCAGGATGACTCTACAGGGGAGATAATTTTCGATGAAGTGTTCTATGCCCTGTCCCGGTGTTTAGTAGGGTTGTTAAAGCCTTTTCGGATCCCAGGCTCGGACATTATCTACCAACCTGAGATCTTCATCACCATCCAAGTATATTCTTCCATCATTGGTCTGCAGACACACCAGGTAGTTATTATGTCTTGTGTTTCACGAGGCTGTTAACATGAGAGACTGCTGATAATGAGAGGTTTCATTACATGTCTAAACAATTGAACATTTGAGCCAGACTCTCCTGTGACATAAATTAACACACTAGGGTGGAAGAATATCAGGAGCTCTAAGCAACTGTTGGCAAACCTTTTTTAATTAAGTCATCATGTTCTGTAAATGAGATTGGTTTGCTAAGGATTAGAGTTCTGTGTCTTCTCATTTAATGCCACGCCCATTCCACTGCAAAATCTGTTTTCAATGTCACATTATGTCCTACGGCATGGGTAAGGCTGCTCTTTCTACAAAGGTGCATTTCTGCAGCAAACAGACAAAAATCCCATTGTTGATAAGCTTTACCTGTGTTGAGCAGTGCATTCATACTGAATTACAGTGGTACTGGAGTTACAGATTGGTTAACTCTTTATCTTATACCATGCACATCTTTTTTAAAAAAATGTCAAAATTGGCAATGCGTTTATGAACCCTGTATATACTATGCAAATTGAACAGGATCGCATGTTTTGTCATATTTTGCATAGCCTTTTAAATTTATTTCTTGTTCATTTTCTATCCCACCTTTCCTCAAAGGTGGTGGCACACATGGTTTTCCCCTTCCCCGTTTTATTCTCACAACAGCCCAATGAAGTAGGTTCAGCTAAGAGAGTGACTGGACCAAGGCCACTCAGTCAGCTTCCTGACTGAGAGGGGATTTGAACCCTGGTCTCCCAGGTCCTAGTCCAACACTCTAAGCACTACAACCTGTTCTGCTTCTGCCAGTCATAAGGGGCATAAGGAGTTACTCAGGAGTGTTGCCCCTAACCACTAGAAATCCTTTGTAGCCTCTCCTTTACATACTGAGATCTCCCAGAATGGCCCGCACATTTTCAAGCTTATTTTTCACAGCTATAAGGTCGGGGGGAAACCTGCCTTTTAAAACGAATACGGAGATTTTCAAGTTGCTGAATTCTGTGCACACGATTGATTTGTGAATTTCTGTGTGCACAATCGCAAAGCTTGAATATCCTTAACTGATTATTGTGAGGTGCTGAGTGTAGTTGGACTTTGCCTCTCCTACTCCTGGCTGCTCTTATTAGGCCTGGGTGGCAATTGTAAGTGGTTCAGTTATTATGAACAGCATTTTTGACCACATTCACAGCATTTAGTAAATTGTTAGTATTCATACATTCATTACTTGGAAATTATTATCAACAGTTTCTTACTCGTATATTCATGATTAATGGTGTTTGTGTGTTTGCTCTTCCTGCTTCGCCCTCTAGCTACCAGGATAGCTGTGTATGATTTAGAATATATATTTACTTTCACTTGTTTCCTTGATTTGTTTGATTTATGTATCAGGTTGTATGTATACTTGTTGCTAATTTTAGGAGCCTAAGGCAGACAGTGAAAGCAAATAAAATGTTGGGGTGCTGCAATTTTTTTGGCGCGTAGGTGTCAAAAGCTGTTCTGTGAGTATATGCATAGTCCTGTGTTTGCAGAATGCCAGAATAGCAAGCCAATATTAATGACTTTTCTTTTTAGTAATAGAGCTACTTCTTCATCCCGTTCAGTGATCTTTCTCTTGTATGGTGCCTGATAATTTATTTGGCTTCCTCATTTATTTACATACAAAATGCATGTGCCAGTTTTTCCACCGTGGTGTCCAAAGTAGTTCACAGTATAAAATTTATATTCCACAATAATAACCAAAAGATAAGACCAATAAACACTTAACTCCTTTCCCCCCTTCCCTTCCTGACTGCCATTAGATTGGAGGATTTCCCCCCAGTGTTTTCCTTCTGTGCCAGGAAAGAGTGAACAAGAACCGCTCACATTACAGACTTAGTGCTCCACTGTTCTTTCGACAACCCCATGAATCCATGGGAGCACCAATTCTGCAGCAAACCAGCATGGGAAACTAGCTACAACAGGTCAGCCATCCATGTGTAGGCCTCGTTCACCTATGAAACAGAATCGGAGGAGGTTGCTATTTTAAATGAAAAAGAGCATGGAGTGAACCCCTCCCTCTGCTTTACCACACCCCCACTTTGTGTCATTTTTTCCTAGCCCAATTCTAGTTCCAGAAGTACACTAGGTTGGGAGCAGGGTGGATAGAAAATCTATCTATCTATCTATCTATCTATCTATCTCAGATTTTTTAAAATTTTAATCGGATTTATTTATTTTTTAAATCGGATTTTTAAAATAAAATGCTTTTGGAGGAAAAATCTTTCCAAAGATAGTTTTCTTTGGAATGCAGAATGCTGCAGCGAGACTCCTTATGGGGTCCTCGCTGCAAGATCACATTCACCCGGTGCTATACCAGCTGCACTGGCTCCCGGTGGAGTACAGGATCAGGTTTAAGGTGCTGGTTTTAACCTTTAAAGCCCTATACGGCCTAGGACCCTCGTACCTACGGGACCGCCTCTCCTGGTATGTCCCACAGAGAAACTTAACGGTCTTCAAATAAAAACATCTTGTTTTTTTTTAAAAAAAATGATATTTCTTAACGTTTCAAAAAAATAACAGGAAAATACAGAAAACAGAAAAAAGTATAAAGTTTTTAAGATATAACAAAAAAGTAAAAAATAAAAAGAAACATACAGAATAAAACAGTTAAAAACACGTTAATTTTCCATAGCCTATCTTCCTTACACTTATTTCCCCGGACCTCCTCGTACCTCCCTTTTTTGTATTCCAGTTCAATTTGTTAGTTCAGCAAATCCTTACCATTAAGCTTTTACCCATTTGTAAGCCTTTTTTTCGTGTATCTTAAAGCATTACAGCTGGAAACCACTTAGTTTCTATCCAACATCCTTCTAAGATTCATTAATTTTACAATATTTCTGTAAATAGTCTTTAAATTTCTTCCAGTCTTCTTTCACCGACTCTTCTCCCTGGTCTCGGATTCTGCCAGTCATTTCCACCAATTCCATGTAGTCAATCACCTTCATCTGCCATTCTTCCAGAGTGGGTAGATCTTGTGTCTTCCAATACTTTGCAATGAGTATTCTTGCTGCTGTTGTAGCATACATAAAAAAAGTTCTGTCCTTCTTTGGCACCAATTGGCCGACAATGCCCAGAAGGAAGGGCTCTGGTTTCTTCAGAAAGGTATATTTAAATACCTTTTTTTATTTCATTATAAATCATCTCCCAGAAAGCCTTAATCCTTGGGCACATCCACCAAAGGTGAAAGAATGTACCTTCAGTTTCTTTACATTTCCAACATTTATTATCGGGCAAATGATAGATTTTTGCAAGCTTGACTGGGGTCATATACCACCTGTATATCATTTTCATAATATTCTCTCTTAAGGCATTACATGCCGTAAACTTTATACCTGTGGTCCAAAAACATCTTGAAGGTCCCAGGCCACAGAGAGGTTAGGCTGGCCTCAACTAGAGCCAGGGCTTTTTTGGCTGTGGCTCCGATCTGGTGGAACACTCTGTCACAAGAGACTAGGGCCCTGCGGGACTTGACATCTTTCCGCAGGGCCTGCAAGACAGAGCTGTTCCACCAGGCCTTTGGCCAGGGCGCAGCCTGACTCCCTCCCTTGGCAATCTTCGCGGAGCTCTGGCCCAATGGTTGCCAGTGGTTTGTTTTGAATTAATTTTATAATGAATGGTTTTAGAGTGTTGTGTTGTACTGTTGTTCTGTTTTATTGTTGTTAGCCACTGTTAAGTTGTGGGCGAACATATCAGACATAGTGATTCTTCCAAAGCTGCTCTTTATTTGTAAGGTGGAACAGAACTAACTGAGGAGCTCAGTCAGCCTGCTTATATAGAGCTCCAGAACAATGTAACTGTTGCCATTTTCTAAAACTATCCAATCACTGAACGTCACTTTCGATCCTTCATTTGCATACAAACTATCCAATCACTGAATGTCACTTTCAATCCTTCATTTGCATAACTATCTACAGTATCCCCCTGCTGGCCCAGGGTGAGAACTTCAGTACATAACAGCCGCCCTGAGCCCGGCTTCGGCTGGGGAGGGCGGGATATAAATAAAATTTATTATTATTGTTATTATTATTATTATTATTATTATTATTAATTCTATTTAAGTTACATTATAGTCCAAAGGCTATTCATCAGGAAATAAGGATTTGTTTTAAGTTTTTCATGTGTGCTAAAACTCAGTCTAAGTCTTTTTTTTTTAACCACATCAGTTAACAAACATGGATACATATGGTATAATGTTATTTTTTAGTTAAATAAATTGTTTAAATTGTTATTAAGGAAATGATTATTTTTCTCTTTCCAATAAAGTACAGAAGAAAAGTTGTCCAAATATAAGCAGTTAACTTATTAAACCTTGCAGTAATTTCCTAATTTTCTGTCTATGTATTTCTAATAGTATAACCAAATCAGTAATTTTTGATATAACTGTAAAAGCACTGAAAATTTATTATTCTAAAAATGAAATCTTCATCTGGTTTTAAATATTAAGATTATACCAGCAAGCAGTGGCGTAGCATGGGGGGTGCAGGGGGGGCCGGCCGCACCGGGCGCAACATCTGGGGGGGCGCGCTCGCACTCGCAGCTCTCTGCCCCTACTAAAATCCACGGGTTAGGGGGCGCAAATTACTTGCCTTGCCCCGGGTGCTGACAACCCACGCTACGCCACTGCCAGCAAGAATGTCTTTCTGTAAAAAAATGATTTAAATCAAGTCTTACTGACTAGTGATTTAAATCAAATCCACCCTGGTTGGGAGAAAGTTGCATATAGCAGCAGAACACGGCACACTTGCTTTCATCTAAGGAATAGTTCCCACATTTTATAGGCAAATGAAACAGTTGCATGAATTAAGCTTACATTATCAGTCCTGCAACACATTATATGTGGCTGCCCTTCCTTGTCTAGTTAGGTTCAGGGAGACTGGAGAGACAACCCTAGTTTGTTGGCTTCTTTGCTCAGTGGGGGAAACACAATTGTTCCAAGTGTCTCTAAGAAACTCTGTATGGGTTGACTGCGCACGGTCCTGAGAATGCATCTTAAGGTTCTTGAAATCCAAAGATTCTCACCCACAACAAGGAATCAGGTTGAAATAGCAAAGCTTTTGTTAATTACAGGGGGGTAGAAAAGGTACTCAATTTTGAATTTATTAATGCAGTGCAGCTTATAAAGATTAAATCTCGGGTGTATTTGATCTAATACCCCATATGCATTTGTAACCTTAAAGACAAAAAATAAGTTCTTTCAAAGGAAAAGTTAATATTATATTAACAAAATATTTTTTAAAAGGATGGGGTGAAAGCACACCCATTTGATGTGGAAATCCAGAAGACAGAACAGAGATTCAGTTACACATCCAGTGCTCAGATGATAATTCCTGCAGCTCTGTGCGTGTGTTTGTAAGCCTGGACCAGAAGCTCGGTTCCAGAATCTTTGCCTTTTAGGATGATACTCAGCTGTTTTGGTGGGATTGCAAGCCCTTCTCCTAGAAGCACAAGAAGACAACGGAATCCTTTACCTAAGCTGTTTCATCAAGTGCTGCAATGAGATGCAGAGCATCTCGTAGTTAGGAGAAACTGGTATTACTGTAAGGGGCCAACATTTGCCCTTGCTCTAGGATTTTGGGTCTTGTAGGTTTGTATAGAAGAGGGGGAGGGGTTTGGTGATGTTGGGGAATCAAGAAGAACAAGGAGGGGTTTCTCTCAACCTTCTAAAAAAGGGCAAGGTTCAAGAAGTTAAAAGGTAAAAACATCCCAGAATACCCATGTGATATATTTGATGTTGATGCCTGGTTTATCAGGAAACTTGAAGTAACTTCTGTGCGTATAGCCAGTTCTTACCAGTTTCTGCCTTGTTGCAACCAAGTCAGGCAGTTTGATTTTTAAACTCGTGTCACGAAACAAGAGTAAGGGTCAAAGTGGGAGTGATCCTAGCATGCTGCACTGGTCTTGCCAACTTCTCAGACTGTCTGTGAATCAAAGAATAGGCTACCCAGACTACTGTGATAGTTCTCTGCCCATGATTCTCCACTTCTCTTGTCTATAGAAGAGAATGAGGCGGCAGGCAATAGGAGAGGTGAGACTCTGATAGCTGGCTTGGATTCCTGGGTTATATTATTTCTGGCACATCTTCTAACTTAGTCATGCAGTGCTTTAGGGGTAGAATAATAGTGTTCTTTTAAAAGATTCCTTGAGGTTGTTAACATACCTAGAGCTTAATTCCGCTGGCACAGAAAGTAGGTTCCTGGCATGGTGCAAAGTAGCAAAAGTGAGAAACTGCAAAAATGTGGAAGTCTTCGACGAGCAAAGGAAAGTCTTAGGTTTCATTTCCCATATCTGTCACCTGGTAACTCTGCTGAATGTTGAAACACCAAAACGAACCTTGGGAAAATTAGGTTGTAAAATGTACATGCTATTTTGAAATTCTGAAACATGATGAACCCAATTTCTAAGGCAGCCAGCCAGCCAGCCAGAGGAGAGAAGTTGCAACACAATGGCTTGTTTGAAGACGGGGATATTTGAATGAAAATTGGCGTTCATTTTCAGGACATAGCCATGTATTTCAAGTTCAGACATCAGGTTGACTCCCATGGCTATTTTAAGGAGAGGGAAGAGAGGTGCAAAATATACATCTTCATCGTTCTACCTTTCTCCTGTGTTCAGGCATGAGTGCCCTTGCTTGTATATCTAAAGCAGCAGCAGCAGCAGCAGCATCCATACACAAGCAGATTTGAGGAAAACTCAATACTTGCAGTACCAATAAAAAATAAAAAAATCTTTCAGAAAACCCCCCAAAAAGGCAGACCTCTCAAGCAGCCTGAGGACTCAACATGCTTAGTTGCCAGGGAATGTGGATTGACTGGGTTGGGGATGTGGAAGAAGGAAAATAGGTAGCAGGGGGAATCAAAAAGAGTATCCTGGAATACAGGGTGACTGGCTTGCTGGAACACTGAACAAGAACATTCCACACTGCAACGTTTCATGGCAGGTCCCACCTGCAGTGTTATATTTAAAGGAACAATTCTTGAAAACTGATTTGCTAGCATAATATACAATGTCGTAGATAGTTTATCTTGATGAATTTTGAGCTGGAAATTATCTCCAGGAGGTATAATTTACTGATTTGTCCTGGGAAACCTAGTTGAAATTTGCCTATATGCCACAGCAGCTTTTGTAGGAAGCTTTTATCTCCATAAAATTTTGCGCATTTCTGGCTCCAAACATCATTTGTAGAATTTGTAGAATTTCACCTTTTTAAAAAAGAACAACAACAAAACCAACAACTGCTTGCTGGTGAATTGTTGCAATCCACTGTTCAGATTTTCTGAGGTTTTGATGGTGTATCACTTGCCTCAGTATGCAGCAGAGTACTTTAATTGGAACAAATAAGGATTTCCATTGTCTCTGGCCCAGGTACTATTCCAAGGTTGTCTGCTGGATGAGACCAAAACAGAGACCTTCCTGCAGCAGGTTTATACACGGCTGTGCACCTTTGAGAACAAAGTGGCTGAGATGCTCCAGCAGCAGTATGAGCCCAAAACTCAGGTGAGAAGACTACTTTCTGCTGCTTTGAATGGGTGGGAGTTTTTGTATTATTTGCTCATCCAGTCTATGAAGCCACCCATCCCAAGAGTAGCCAGCATGGTACACTCTGGATGTATGCCATTGGCTGTGCTGGCCGGGACTTGCATAAAGGACGAAAGACCTGAACCAGTTATTTCCATAGAGAGAGTGGGTTCTTTCTTCTTCTTTTCTTTTTTAAGGAAAATGCCCTTTGTGTAGGATTCTTGTGCAGCCTTGCAGATAGGTGTTACCATACTTTTCCATGTATAAGACGCCCCCTATTTTGGGGGCTGCAACCAATCACCAAGCCCCACAATGCGCTGCCCGTGTATAAGACGAGCCCTGTTTTTAAACATTATTTTTGAGTAAAAAACCCTAGTCTTATACACGGAAAAGTATGGTACTTATTTGTTTCTTGTATTTACTAGCAGCTTTTCTGAGAATGTTAAATGCATATGTATTTGTCATTTATGACTAAGTGAGTAGCTGAAAAAGAAGGGTTACGAACTAACTTGCTAGTATACATGATGCAAATCTCACCCTAGCCATGAACTAACTAGGTGCCTTTTATACAGGCTGCCATCTTTCAGCCTATGTTATTGCAATAATAGAAGCCTACCTTACAGGATGGTGCTAAGGAAACTGAAGATGGCATTGTAAACTGCCCTGTAATCTTCAGAGGAAGGCCTGTAGAGAAATTTAATAAGCAGCAACCACAACCACAACAACAACCACAACCACAACATGTGGAAAAGGGTTTAAACACGTTTAAAAGTACTTTGTAAATGCTATGTAACAGTAACTCTCTTCCAGTTTACAACTGTTTCCCTGCTTGGTCACATGTAGGTGATTATTGCATCCCCATAACCAACCAAATGACTGCCCTGCCCTGTATAAGCATAAAGTTTGGAGATACCTGGGAAAGTGGTGGTGTCACCCTCACTTTCCCTTGCAGCTTAGGCACTATATTTTACATAATTGAATGTCATTGCAGCAAAAATTGCTTCCTGTTAGGAGCAAGACACATGCTCATCAGAGATGTTCCATAGAAATGCTGACTAGATTACTGTGAGATCAAATTGTTGGCTGGAGAATAGGAAAGTTCTTCAAGTTCCTGTTGAGAATTAGAATGAGCCTGTTCGGAGAAGAGTTTTGTGTGGCAGGCACAGCACTGCACCTGAAACAAATGATTTAGCTGCATGTGTGTGAAGAGGAATTAAAAAGCAAGAAGGGATTTTTAATAAGATCCTGAGAGCAACCACAAATGTTTTTTTTTTTTATTAAAGGTACCTTGAATCCTCTCCATGAGCACATGACTTAACTGTCATTTCATTTTTCTGTGCTGCAGACAGATTCAACACCTCTATCCACCCTCATTTTTGGAGCTGGCTTACAAGTTGTTGTATAGAGAGGTAGCTTCCCCTGTGGCTTCTGGAGCAATTGCTTTGAAAGCAGAGTTAGCTCTTTCTAAGCACAGGATCAACATAACTGAAACTTAGTAGGATGGGATGTGGGGTTGTTGGCCTCAGGCAGAGGCTGTGCCTGAAACTGTTGAAGCATGTGCTGACACCAGCAACCGGCAAAAGTAGATGACTCTATGATTTCCCAAATGAAAAAGCTTGTGTGTCTGTCTGAGGGCTGTCATGTGTGCTGGGGTGGGTTTTCAGGTTTTTGCTGATGCTATTGTTTCCCTGCAGAAATCTTGCAATAAAAAACCTGAAAGTAATTGTGGATACTAACAATACAGGTTGGGGCTGTCAGAGGTTGCTCAAAACAATCCCTCTGTGAAGGAAGACTTGATTGATTTGATTAAAAACTTGCTTCTCCCTACAACTACCTCAGGCACACTTTGGTATAGACCAAACTCCCCTCTGTTTTGGGGACTGTGGATCAGAACACCAGGGAATGTCACTTCATACGATGCTAAGCAAAGGTGGTCCTGAAAATTCTTTACCATTCACTTTATAAACCTGATTTTGGAGTCTACCAGATGTGCAAGAGGCACTTGTTGAGCCTGGGTGTGTGGAGAGCAGGGGAAAATGGGCTTTACTTGGAGGAGAGGCCTTTGGGCACTTGCAGGTGAGCGAAGGGGAGGCTGACAGTTTTAGCTCATAAGAACTTGTCTTGTTACAGGTGGACCTGTCCTCCCTTAACCAGGAACGTCTTTGTGACCCCCAGGAGCCCTCTGGGAGGAAACTGGGCGTCTCTATGGTCACTGCTGACGTTGGACTTGTCACTATGATTCGGCAGGGGATTCTGGCACTTCAGCTGCTGCCATCCAACTCCAGTGCAGGTTAGTTTAAAGGTCTTCCTGAAGGTGGGATTGCTAGAGAAAGCATGGGGGGGGGAAGAGTTGCGGAAGTTTCAAAGCCATCCGTTACGTGTGAATGACCCAAGGGAGCTGAGAGGAGCCTTAGCCTGGCTCTGCCCAAGAGTATACAAGACTGAAAAGGTGATCCACATTTCGAGGCTTAACAAATCAAGAGGTTTTGAGTCTTGGCCTTTCTTTCTCTGAAAGTCAAGGTTGTTCCCACTACAGCGGACTTTACCGCTTGATCGTCTTGCCTCGGGCTGCTCCCTAAGTGGTATCTGAACAACGTAGCAGAACTTTTCTTACAGCTTTCAGTCTACCTGGAGAAAGGTAGAACTTTTCCTTTCTTTTTTCAGAATTGTCACATATGCATTTTGTGGGTCTTTCTTGGAATGATTATATATATATATATATATATATATATACACACACACACAGAGAGAGAGAGAGAGAGAATGAATCTTGTGAATCTGAGGAAGCTACTGCATGCCTCCTCTAGAATTAAAGTAGCCATTCTCTAACCCCTATCCATCAATTGTATGTCTCCCTTGGGATTTAACTCTTAGATTCCTTTTAGAATGCCTGCCCTCTCCCATATACTGCTAATATTTGTTTGTTTGCAGGGATTATCGTGATCACAGATGGTGTCACCAGTGTCCCAGATGTAGCAGTCTGTGAGACTTTGCTCAACCAACTGCGCAGTGGGACTGTGGCTTGTTCCTTTGTTCAGGTACTGTGGAAGTGTGCTGGTGACAGGCATATTAGTTCTTTACTGTGCATGCACTGTGATCAGAGCTAACCCAGCCAGCCTTCAGGGGAAAACAAGGCTGTTGCCTGTGGTGCCCAGCATTCCAGAAATCTCCACCTTTGCCACATAACTCTTGGCAACAGTTTCCTCTTGCATTTCTGGATTTACCTGCTTTCCCAATGCCTGCTAGGAGGTGAACTGGGACTTCTAGTAATGCTGCCTAGGAATCTGGCGGAAACGCTTATTCCAGGTGGATTTTTGTGGTACACAATTGTGTGGTAGCTGAGGCTGAAATTCTATAGTTGCGTACAATTCTATAATCCTTACCTAGGATTAAGTCCCAGTTGCAGCCCTGCACTTGCCTAAAAGTAGATCCCGTTTGAAATACTGTATATCGGGCTTGCTTTTGAGCAGGCATGTATAGGATTGCACACCTAGCTACTGAAAAGAAAAGCCTAAGTAAGAAAACAGGTTTTTTTGTCAACCCTTGATTTTTTAATATGCTGTAAATTTTACCCAATATATGGTAGAACATGGGGAGACCAGTGCTTCCCCCCCCCTAGAAAAATAGGTGCCAGTAATCACTGTGAAGTTGTTACAGTAAGTGCCACACTTTTTAGCAAGGAAAAAAAAGAGGCGCTGGGATTGCGTACCCTTGAGTATCCCCGGGGGGGGGGGCACTGAGCAGAGGGATTTCTGTTTGCTTACAGCAGGGGGGAAAATTAAGAATGGATGGGGCAGTGACCTGACAGCTATGTAAATGTTGCTACTACTAGTGCAGGGTTGCATCAAGGTTTAGACCTGCACAGACACCCCAGATAACTTTGCAGGTGTGTCCATGAAGCTTCAACCACACTGCCGCCTTGACGCTGCCATGTCCCAGTAAATGGCAGTAACACTAGTCTTGGAAGGCCAGTGGCACAGCACAGCTCCTCCACACCATCTAGTCTTGGCACCAGTTGTTCAGCCTATGTACTGTTGAAAAATGAGTGAGTTCACCTATACGCCCTTCTCCTGTATCCTTGAGAACATTGTCTTGAACAATCAGTGAAGTTTAGAAATTTGAATTTGTGCATTGCCTATTACCGAGGTAATGCCGCCTTTGGTTTTAAATACCAAAGCTTTTTAAAAAAATAATAATCAAAAAATCAAACCCAACTACTCAGATGTGACAGGTGTCAGCAGCTGAACTATCCTCCCTAAAGCAGTTCATATTTTAAGCAGCCCACTAAATAAATTCCTAACCATTTAAAACAGCAGCCTGCACCCTGTTCCAGGTGAATTAGTGAACTGCTAAAAGGTAAAGGTAAAGGACACCTGACAGTTAAGTCCAGTCACAGATGACTCTGGGGTTGCGGCGCTCATCTTGCTTTACTGGCCGAGGGAGCCGGCGTTTGTCCGCAGACAGTTTTTCCGGGTCAAGTGGCCAGCATGACTAAACTGCATCGGCACAACAGAACACTGAAACCAGACCAGCGCACGGAAACACCTTTTACCTTCCCGCCGGAGTGGTACCTATTTATCTACTTGCACTTTTTTGCCGTGCTTTTGAACAGCTAGGCTGGCAGGAGCTGGGATCGAGCAATGGGAGCTCACCCCGTCATGGGGATTCGAACCGCCGACCTTCTGATCGGCAAGCCCAGGAGGCTGTGGTTTAAACCACAGCGCCACCCACTGTGCTAGACAGTTAAAATTCTATTCTCATGCCCAACTCCCTGGATCATTGCTCCATCCAGTATCATTGCTCCATCCAGTATCAACTAAGCAGGGGCCTATAGTACCATACTTTTCAGGCCTTGGTCTAAAAGCAAGAAGAAATACCTACAGAAGGAGCTAGGAGTTGCAATGCCCATTGTCACATATAAAGCCAATCCTCTTCCTGTAGTTTGGGAGACAGGATGATTGCGTATATGTAGACTAATGTGAAATGGGCTTGATGAGAAAATTGCTTTGTGTGTTGCAAACAGGAAGGTGCTGTCGTCTTCACTTCTGGAGCACAAAGTGAAATAATTGCATGGGTTGAAGCTGTAGAATTTTATTTTTTATTTTTTTTGCATTGTGCACCCAGCAGTTTGGCATACACTTCGGCAGGATGGGATGAAATTGAGTTCATTACAATATAGGTGGCAGGAGCTGTTTCAAGGGAAAAGCGTCATGTGATTTTCTTTCCCCAGGTGGGTGGAGTCTACTCTTATGATTGCAGTTTTGGTCACGTTCCCAATGTGGAGCTCATGAAGTTCATTGCCATGGCAACGTTTGGTACATACCTCTCCACGTGTCCTGAGGTGGAGCCTTCTAGTTTGGACCTAAATGTCTACCACAAAGCTTTTCTGCTGTACTCCTTTCTGCGCAGCGGGGAATCGCTGAACCCTGAGTATTACTGTGGTGAGCTTATTCTGCATGGAATTCAGAAATACTCCCCATCTTACCCACCCTGTCTTCACTAGTTCGAAAGGCCAAAGAACCTTGAACATGTCTGAAATGTGTAAATGCATAGTAGACCACCTTTGCAAGATAGTGGGTGTGATGGATTTTGCATGAGATTGAAGGATGAATAGGCAGGACTGTGGAAGCTCTCAGCTATTCTTTGCCTCATTTTTAAAAAACAGTTGGCCTAGAACCGAACAAAACCAAACAAAACAGCACGGTTTTGTTTCGTAGACCTTTTTTCAGTTTCATGCATTTATATACCACTTAATATTTAATATATTATTTTATATGTGTGTGTGTATGCGTGTGTGTGTGTGTGTGTATACACACACACACACACACACACAAACACACACACACCATAGACGTATCACATCTGAAATGCAACAGCACCATATAATATAGTGAAATCTTAGTAAAGCAGAAATGTAGCAGCACACTTTTAAAAACATCTTGAGGGTTGAGTATAGCTTGTCAGAACAGATGAATCTTCATTTGAAGCTCATCAAATGTGGTGCCTGCCATACTGGGAGGGAAATCCAGAGGGTCAGTGCTGTCACAGGGAACACCCGCTTCTGATAAATTATTAGATGACAATCTGTTGGTGACCAAATTGTTGGCAGGCCCTCCACTAAATATCCTAAGGTGCAGCTGATGCTGAAGAGGTCTGCATTTCAGGAATAGTTCAGGGCTTCTCCATTCTGCTCCTTTTAAAGAAGAAAAGTGTGGTCAATTCTAAGCATGTTATTTTAAGCATCCTACCAAGTACAGTTTGTCTCCATCCTAGACTTCTAGCCTTAGCATTTCAGTTGTGTGGTTGACTCTTCCTAGTAGCTGCTGGAGGCCCTTGCAAAGTGCCTTGGGACCTTCTGTTAAGGGTGGGAATAACTGGCGTAATTGTCTACTGTCGTTTCAGTGTCCCAGCACAGGCTGTTCAATGAACACCTTGTTTCCGCAAGCAGCAACCCTGCCTTGGCTATGAGGCGGAAGAAGCATACGGAGAAGGAAGTACATGCTGATCTTATCAGTATCATCTCTGTCCGGCTGCGAGAAGGTTATAGTATCCGCGAGGTCAACGTCACAAAAGGTGACTTCCAGTAATCTTACTCTGCTTTGTGAAGTGTGGCCAGTGTTCATCTGATGCCCACTCGGACATTACCCAGAGCAGGTTCTGGGGGCCAAATGGAGTCCTCCAATCCCCTCAGTTTGGCCCTCAGGACTTTCCTCTGGCCACATCCCTCGATAACACAGCTGAGTGTTTTTCGAGTTTTGCCTGGCTGGAATGTGTCCTTGGACTCTGATTATGCTTCCTGCTTACTGGGATGAAGGATAGGGCAGGGGTGTATGAATGTGTGTAGGAACTATCCTCCTGTACAAAGGTAAAATTTGCATTTGCTGCTTTTGCTTCTGTCCCCCACCCACGACTAGTATGTGATCCCTGGAAAGCTGCCCCGAAGGTAATGTGGCCCTTGGATTGAAATGTTCCCCATCCCTTATCCAGAATATAGCTCAAGCCCACCATGTACCATCAGGGGTCTTCTTACTGCCCCCTAAGAGCTAGTGTGGTGGGACGGATGTAGTATTGGGTCTGAATGTGGTGACCTCAGGTTCACATTCTAGCTCATCGGCGAAGCTTGCCAGAATGTCTTGGCTCTGTTTGTCTATCCATGTATCCAAGAACTTCATATAAATCAGCATAAATATTGGGCACTCATGGACTATGGGCCAGTTTAACACACCATCAGTGTGCAAAAGCTTGTAAGCATGATGGAACTGTATATATCTTCTCCCCATCCCTCCCACATTGTACTCAGCTTAAAGCTGCTGTGGGAACCTGTGGCCCTACAGATGACCGTAGACTCCAGATCCCATCAGCCCCAGTGGTCAAGGGTGATAGGAGTTGTAATAGAACAACATCTGGGTGGCTGCAGATTAGCTATCCCTTTCTTAATCCCATTTTCTAGGGGTTTTTTGGGGGGGGGTTCTGTTAAGAAAAAGATCTTGTCTCCATAGAAGCTAAAAATATCTTTTTTTAAAAGAAAAGGAAAAGGGGGCAAGGAGCTGAGTTTTTCATCATCAAATCTTGTGCCATGCCATATTTTGACTAATATGTATATGCACACAATGGAGCTTTTTTGGCTGTTAGTGTGTGAATAAAAAGTAGAAAGCTAGAAAAGAGACCAGAAACCTGATGCAACGGAGGCCACGCAGTGCACAGAAACTTCTTTTTCCAGAGTCCCAGCACATTTTGTGCTGTGAGGCCAAGTATTCTTCAAGGGAATACTTGCTGCCAAATGTAGCTGCATGAATAAGAAATTCAAGCATGCACAGCAGATAAGTGGGTGTTTCTGTGTTAGATTCAGAAACATGCAATTTGTCTCAAATGCACTGGGATTGTTAGTCTGTTGAAATAATAAATATTATACTCTCCCTATGTGGTCCGTGGCCCATGGGGTCTAAAAACGAGATAGTTGCTATCATCTGGGGTGAATGAGCCAAGTAAAATTATTGACCATGTTATCTTTCACGGAAAAGCACTTTAATTGTGTGTTCCTGATCTTAGTCGGCTCTGTTAAAGGTCCTGAATCTGTGCCTCTTTGAGAAATGATGCATGCACATCCATCTCAAGGCGTAGTGCAGTGAGGGTGGGGGCAAGATGGGACGCTGACTATAACCCGTTCTCACAATCTTACTGCATGCATATAGGTGGCACTCATCTAGAAGTGAAGTTAGTCCTGTTGTGGAAGCACAATATGAGAATTGAATACTTGGCAGTGGCCCCATGGCCCTTGGACCCTTCTAAACGTAGTACATGGGTGGAAGTGACTATGGAGGGCAGCTATGACATTTTGCACGACATCAGCTGCACCATGCGGAAACCTATCACCAGCTTGTACCGCACAACTGTGATACGCCGCTTCTGGAACACTTTGCAAAGGTAAGTCTGCTGGCGCCTGCCCCGTTACTGGGGTGGTGGCCCTCCATATTTCCTTCCCAAAGGCATCATGGGCAGTATGTATCTTCTTCTTCTTCTTTGAAGCTGTGTATTCACTCTTAAGAAGCAGTGCTTCCACTGCTGCTCTTAAACTTATTGTTTTCCATCTCTGGTGCTGGACAGTGGCTGGGCACAGAAGACAATTTCATTACATGAGCAAAAGAGTTATCGCTGCTTGTAAGGAAAGTATGAATAGGAGATGGTAATTGTCTCTGGTAGATCAGCATTGACAATGCACTGGTGTAATGTAAATGTCACTGGTGGGGGTGATGTTGTCTTTTCAGCATCAACCAAACAGATCAGATGCTGGTTCACCTACAGTCGTTTGACAGTGTGCCAGAACACTTCACAATCCCTGAAAGCACTAGAAATGGAGTGCCTCTCTTCTACATTCCTCCAGGATCCACAACACCGGTATGTTGTTTGCTGTCTCTGATCCTTGACTGAGATAATAGAGGCACAGCTCTTATATCTAATTTAGCTGCCTGCCTGCTGAGCTCTTAGAGTTGACTGCCTTATGCTGATTTGCATGTCGAGGGGGAGAGGGAAGTACGGGTATTTTGTTCATCCTACTTTCAGGGGTGGATGATATTCTGCAGTATTGTATTTCAATTATGTTGTATCTCTTTGGTAGAGTACTGCATGAACCTGTTCAGTTCTACTGTGTCTAGTCATATAGTTTCTTAGGTATTCCCTTCTGAGTTATCCCAAGTCAACCTGTATAGATGTGTATTTTTTAAGACCATCAAATAAAGATGGTGTGTGTGTGTGTGTGTGTGTGTGTGTGTGTGTAGGTTCTTGACTATATAGAGTCATTGCTTCTTATGCAACAGCAGGTTGCAAGCAGTAGACCAGGGGTCACCAACATCTGGCCTGGGGGCCGGATAAGGCCTGAAACCCTCGTTTATCCAGCCCGCGGTGACCACCCCCCCGCTCTTACCGGCGCGGTTTGGGGACCCACTTCCAGGTCGGAAGAGCACCGGAAACAGCTTGTGCGCATGCGTAGGGGCCTCCTACACGTGCGCACACGCTATTTCCGGTGCTCCTCTGACCCAGATGTGCGCTGGAAATAGCCTGTCTGCACACATACGGGCACATGCTCCCCTGCCTTTTGGCCCGCTGTGCGATTGTCACCAGGCCGAGGCAAGAAAAGCTTGTCGACCCCTGCAGTAGACTTTATTAAAATGACAGTTGCAGGCGTAGGTTAATCCATCAAAACCTTGCAGAAGCAGTATCTAATCTGAATTCAAATACCAAACAAATATCCTGGAAACCATCGGTTGACTAGGTAAATAATACAGTTCTTGTTTGCCTGTCCCTTACTGTGCTGCTTGATGTGCTGTTCTGTGTAGCCTTTGTATTTGGCTACTGCAATAGGGAAAATTCCAAAAGATAAACTCTATTCCTCACAATCCTTTTAACCTTATTATTTGCAATAACTTTGCAGCTAATTTCTGTTTATTTGTTTTTAAATGCTCATTTTCTTAATTTTTTATACAGTAAGCCCAGATCAATTGTATACAAATAAAAGGTAAAAAATTGTAAAAATATATAACGAAACCAGAGCTTCAACCTAGCATGCATGATCACTTCTAACTGCAAAATAAATGTTTAATATAGAGGAATGCAGATCTGTGTAAGAACTCTCAGTGCAACACATTTGTCAAACCTCCAAATAACAGATGTCTGAGTAATAGGTCTAACCAAAAAGTTTTGTGAGGATCCGGGGTCTTGCAGGTACACCTTGACCCACCAGATAATGCAAAAACAGACCCCATGCACATACCAAATTATCTCTCTTTATTTTGCCTCACAACACACAATGACATTTTGTCAATTTTTCAGCTAATGCAATTAAGCATACCTTTGCCTACCAGCCTTGCATAGTGAAAGAGAAAACTGAAATATAAGGGCAAGTCCTGGGTCAGGAAAAGCTCTGGTTAAGAATATCCGTGATTTCTTGGAGTAGTACCACAGGTCAAGATCACCACAAATGATACATTGCGCCAGTTTTACCGCATCCCTTCCCAGTACAGCATAGACACAGTGTTATTCATGCAACCCAGTTTAACCAGGATAACGTCCACCTGTGTATTAGCTCCAGTGTGGTCTCTCTTAACTTTGCAGACACAAACTTCAGTGGCGTCTTTGACCACACAGCATTCCAGACATTTCCCTTGATTTCGGGTCCACCTCCCAAGCTCTGCATAGGCCCTTAGTCGTGCCATGTAACTTGGGAAGCAAAATCCTGTATACAACATGGATATCAAACACTTGATGTCTTGGCCATCATTAAGGCAGTGATTTTCAAATAATGTCAGACCTCTAGGGACTTCCCCTGAGCACTTTAACGTCATACCGAGATATGGACCTCAGAGAAGTTGATTTCAGTTGCAACTAAGATGTCCCAGCATGGTGCAAAGCTACTTCCCATTTAATGTTTGATCTTTGGTGAAAAGAACAGCTGCTCTATACAGACCTTTATCGTCCCATCCTTTGAATTGGTTTATCTTTATCTGAAAAACAGGTGAAACAAGAAGGGGTAACAAAGGTAAATGGGTGGAGCGGGAGTCAAAAACAAAGCCCATTTCTTCCACATTTTCAGGGTCACTCAGTGGATTGGCTATTGCTTTCCTCTTTGCCAAGGACAGTTTTTGGGAAGGGTGTGTCTCTGCCCTTGGGGCAATCTGGACGAATTTCAGTCAGAACCAATGCTACATCCAGATTGTCATTTACTAAATAAGATAATTGTCGGAGTGAGGCGTTCACAAAGTAAAGGAAGGATTGAACTCTGATTAATAAGAATACACACAGAGGCTTGAACCAGCAAGACTCTGGGAAGGGTGCGTATAATAGTCTCTGTCTCTCTCTCCCTCCAGCCCCTGGCCCAGGTCATTTTATTCACAAAAGAGCTTTTTACAGAGTCTTCGTATGAACCAATCAGATTTCTTCTGAGCATTTCCACAAACCCCATGTGGGAACAAAGTTAAACTACCAAAACTAATTAAGCACACATATTTCTGGGGTGAACAAAGAACAGAACTACAAAGGAGAGCATTTGGCAACCCCAGAGGTGATAAACAAGCAATATACATGATAAGAAGGATGGCCAGGAGAACAGCGATCATTATCACCTTTATGTGAGATCTGTTTCCTGGCCCTAAGATTAACATCCTAAGATTATCAGAAAAGCTACATCAAAGAAGCTGCCCACTGTCTTTGATGACCCAGGAGCCTGCCTGGTGAAGCAACTGGGCTGTGTACGTGACTTGTGAAGAAAGAGAAATGGAACAGGGATGCAGAGGTGTGGATTGATCAAGAATCATATCAAAATAGTTTAAACCCAGTCAACGCAATGCTTTCATTGCTGACACAGATGGCTTACTCTATATTTGTTATAATTCCTCTTGGTAATCCCACCTGACCCCACACTCTGGATATTTGCACTCCTACATCGGAGCTGGCATGATTCATAATAAAACTGAAGGTTTGGGACCCCCTTCCACCCCATTCCTTGTTTGATACGTAATGATTTTGCTCATTAGGGGCCTCTGCCTTCCCTTAATAAAGCCATTAAGCAACTTTTGCCATTGTCTAATCACTCCATCATCCAACCAGATGGGGGGAGCATGTGGAATAAGAACAAGAATCAAGGTAACAAAGATGCTTTTACTGCTGAGATTCTCTCTAACTAGGTGAGATTGAGAGCTCCATCTGTGTAAGTCGGTTTTGCCATCTTTCACTAGTGAGTAATAATTTTTCCTTTTGAGTTGCTGAAGCAGTTAGATGATCACTGTCCCCAGATACTTTAGGCACCTGAGCTGCAAAGTAAAACTGCAAGTGCTTTGTAGTTTATCAGCTAGCGGTATGCCTATACATAACATAACATACTTACCACAGTTCACTTCAAGACCAGTTGCAGAGTGAAAGGGGTCCAAGACTGTTTGGATCTCAGGTCAGACTTTGATCGGATCTTTCAGAAAAAGGAGGCTATTGTCAGCAAACAGGCTGAGTACATGCTCTCTGCCATTTACACCTAGGCCTTCCACGTCGTTATTGTTGCGTGTTAAAATTAGTCAGAGTTTCCATAACCATAAACAGCAATGGCGAAAGGGGGCATTCCTGTCGAGTGGCTCTGCAGAGGTAGAAGAAAGGAGAATCCAGGCTGCTCCCCCTCATTGCCACTTGTGATTCAAAAACAGAGTTCCGAAGTTAACTTAGTCAGCTGAAAGGGCTGCTATATCCTGTCCATTTCCTTGAACACAGCTTAGGAGACTAACACCACCTATGTCTCTTGGTGTTGACTAATCTCTGTCAAATTAAGAACCCCATAGATCAGGTCAGACATGTGCCTCTGAGGCACAAGCCCCTTTTGATCTGCCCCAATGTAATGGCCAAAAACAAGTTCAGTCAGGATGCCAAGACCACAGACGAGTAAAGGCGTCCTGATTAAGCAGTGCAAGCTAATCTTTATTTGATCTTCTTGAGGCCTCAAGGCAGCTGTCTTGAGTTTCTGAGCCGTTGTTCATCTCTCATATTAATGCTAGCCATCTGTCTCCCACATGCCCTCTCTTCCAGCTTCCCCTATAGGTTTTACCTCGCAGCCCATTCTTAGCACTTATTGTTCTGTTTATATGTAGCATTTTCATTGAGTAAGTACACTTGTTGATTTCCTGCACCATGCATTGACAATCTAGCTTGTTGCAGTTCATTTTGACCATTGCATATATAATGTCAGGCCCTCATGGGGTCTGTTTTAGGCGAACACTCAGAGCTGCTTTTTTCATTGCTGGTTAAAAACAAATGGGGTGCTAGTTATTCTCTCAGTAGGAAATTTTGGGTGGTATTCTACTAACTATTTCCATCAGCACAAGGATTACAGTTAACTGAATGTGGCTTCCCCCTCTCCTCTCTGCAATATGCCCTGTGCCCTCCCCAGATCTGCTCCAGAGAGTTGGAGGAACCCTTAGGGCAGATTTGGGGGGAGGAGAGGGAGGTAGTTTCATTATGGCACCCAGGCACTGCGATGGCAGCAATTTGTGAGTTTGTCCTTGGTGTCTGTAACTTCTGATGAAGATGATTTTGAACTGTTTCAGGGGAATGGCATAATTTGACCAACCTTGTGCTTAACCACCTAGCATGACGGCTTTGGGGGGCAGAATGTGCTGCACTCCACCGTAGAACCAAAGGGAAAGGCACCAACAGAGTACTATTTCCCTCCCTTTTAGGTACTGTCGTTGCAGCACAGCAGCTCGGACTCCTGCCACTCGCAGTTTGCAGCCTATTGGAAGCCCATTCTGTCTATGGATGCCAACTTCTGGCAGAGGTGGCTGCACATGCACCGCATCGTAATCCTCTTGGAGCATGACATGTATGTGCACGCTGGGTTGCTGGGTGTCTCATGGTTGGGGGAGCATGCATAGAGATAGCTGAAGTACTCCAGCCACAGTGCAAATCTTGCTAACACCCACAGGTGGCTTAGCCTGTGGTTTTGCTTGTTCTTACCGATAGCATCCAAATGGCTGAGGGAGAGCTCTCACATGTGTGTTTTGCCCAAGAGTAGAAGGATGAGGAACCAGCAGTCTATCCTGGACCATGAGTAGTAACCCTTTGATGTACTTCCCAGGCCAGTCCCCAAGCATTTGCACACCCCAGGCAACAACGGCCGCTACAGCACTATTCAGTGCCGCATCTCGCACTCGGCGCTGACTTCCTTGCTGCGTGACTGGAGTAGCTTTGTGCTTGTGGAAGGCTACTCCTACGTCAAGCTCATGCGCAGGTAAGGCACATAATAAAGGGGTGGGGCAGCTGGGGATGAGACATTGTATAAGGTGAGCACCTTAGATTGGGGGTTAAGGTAGAAAAAGTTGTCAGTGCTTGTGTTGATGCTTGTTCCACCTGCTGTTTGTTGTTCTCCATTCTGCAGTTCTGATGATCAGCCTCCTTTTTCATTCTATGTGGTGCGGATCATTTCCAAAGCTCCCTGCATGGTCCTTCGTCTGGGGTTCCCCATTGGGACGCTTGCTAAGATCAGGAACAAAGTGAGTACTGGATTTCCTCGGGTCATAGTAAGCATTTAGCAAAACTGCAGGAAAATGCATTTACACAGCAAGAATCAGTGGGTATTTTGGGGGGAAGTAAATCCTTCAGCACTACCAAGCAGCAATATGTTCTCCTGTACATTCAACAGCATCTGAAGTCCTCCTTGGGCTTCATAGACTAGAAGCCTTGTTTCTAGGCCTAAATAATATTGCGGTTGGTGGGCAAAGCTAGCTGGAGGGCCCATCCCTCCCACTCTCCTCCAGTAATGCAGCAAACTTGTCTAAAATTGCCTAGGCATATGGTATTTCTGGAACTGATCCAGGTCTTGATGGACATCTAAGAGGCAAGCTGTAGTCTCCTTCTGGGCTGCTTTAAGTAAGGAGGCTTCCATGGGGAATTCCCTCGTGGGGCTGATGTCTTAGTTTTTGGGACATCAGGTAACACTGCTGACAGAGACAGACCAGTACGCCTGGGGGATTTTGGAGCCAGAGTTGCAGCTTCTACAGAGAGAACAGCAGGGCCCAAGGAGCTATGAGGGAACAGCAGGTTCCACAACAGCAGCTGTTCGTATGTAAGGGGCAGGCAAACGTTCTGCTCCAGTGTTTGTGCCCATCTACTTCTCTCCCAACAGATAGTAGAAGAATTAAGAGATCGTATCCTTCAGCTGCGCTTCCCCCACAGAGTCCAGAGCAAAGAGGCAACGCCAAAAGTGAAGCGGAAGGCCCTGGGCAGCAGCTCCCCATCGAAATCTCCTCCTGTGCCTGGGGCCCAGCCAACCCTCTCGGACAGGCCTTGCCTTATTGTGCTGCACAAGCCTCTGGAGAAGCTCCTGATTAGGTAACAGGGACAGGACATGCAGAACATTCGGTACCTTAGAGCTTCAGTAGGCCTGGAACAGGCAGACCCTGGCATATGATTTGGCCACTGTGGAGGTTGTAAGTATCAGAAGTTGGACTGGACCCCAAAAGCCTTCAGGGGTAGCTAACCCGGTGTTTGGGGCTACAGCTCCCATCACCCCTTCCTTCAGTCAGTATGCCCAATGGTCAGGAGTGATTGGAGTTGTAGTCCAAAACCTCTGGAGGACACTGTGTTAACTACTTGTTGGTCTAGGTCAGCAAGCTATTTCCCACAGGGAGCCGCCTAGCGCCTACAGGGAAAAGCACAACCAGGGTATGAGGACATCAGTGCTCTCTCGCTGTTGTGGCCCAGCAGCCGCTATGCAAAGGCATGCTGCCTCTGATCCTGTGGATTAGTACTAAATTGCTGTTATCCTCCATTAATTTACCTAATTGTCTTTTGAAGCCAACCAATTTTGTGGCCAGTCCCATATTATGTGGCAGCAGACTATGTAACTTAATTGTCAGTTGTGTGTAAAGGTACTGAATCTCTCGCCCTTCAGGCTTGGTGGAGAGCCCTGGATTCTTTAACATTATGAGAGAGGGCGACTAACCGGCTTGGGCTGTGGGAATTTGACACCCTTCCTGCTTAGGGGCTGCAAAGGTTGCAGGCAGGTGTGGTAAACAAAGCAGAGTATGCTTTGTAATTCGGGGAATCTTTTCACTTTAAAAAGATGTTTTTGCCCCTAGACAATTAATTTTTGGTGGGAAAGCTGAAATGTTTAATGGAAGTTGAGCATGAAAGGCTCATCGGATTAGACTTCTGGGCTTGTTTTCAATCCTTCTTCAAAAAAAAACCACCCCACTTCTGCTTTCCCATATTTGCCAATCCTTTTCCTACAGGTTCCACAGTCCTATTATCCATGCCTGCCCTCTCCTGTGTTATGCAATCTGTGGTTTTTAATTTGTTTTTACTTTTAAAAAAACCTCCAATTCTTTGTGGAATTTAAGAAGCACTGCTGATTATATGCCCCTCCAATAAGCCTACATAAATTCCTTAATTAAAATGGAAATTTTGTGCCTGCAGGAAATTCTCTTAATATATTGTGTGTTCTTTTGTGATGTCTTTGCCATTGTGTACACAAGCCTTTTTTTTCTGCACACTGGGGCGGGCTTGTGTGGTGGACTTCAGGCTGAGAAGGCGCAGAGATGACTCACTGGCGTCTCAAAAGTGTTCTCCATGGGGCCAGTACGAACGCAACAGCCTCACAGCTGTAGTCATGTTCACTTCCTCTCTCCACTTCCTAGATATGAGAAGTTGCCCTTTGACTATCGTGTTCCGTGCCTCCTGCCTCTGGAGAATCCCCCCATGTCTGGCCCTCTCACCATGGTGGCCAACCGCACAGCTTCCTCCACCCTGGCTTCCTTGTCTCGCTACTTCTACCACCAGCGCTGGATCTGGTGTGTGCAGTCAGGGCTGGTACCCACAGTGCCCATCACAGCCGTGGCGCAACTGCTGTCCACGCTCACAGAGTAAGTGCCCATTTCATTGCAAAGCCTGAATCGGAGCCCACCCAAAGAGCTGCAGAGGAGAAGGATAGTTGTCCTACTTAGGTTATTGCTGTCGGTGTCAGATAGATGGGTGTGACTGAGCTCTTGATGATGGGGGGGGTTGCATTATTTTGAGAGAGATTACGAAGTGTTGGAGTGTGAGGCATACACAGGTGAGGGTGTTGTAAGAACCTGGTAACCTGCCATAGTTTTCCTCTGGGGTGTGCAGGGTTCGTCTGTCCGAGGGCTTTCACTTTGCGTCCAGCGGCGATGGAATTATCAGTATGGTGCTGGAGTTGCCCATGAAGGTAAACACGGTTTGCTCTTCCCCTTTGGTTTGATACCCTTCCTCTTGCCTCCAGTGTTGCCACATCATCGTGCTCCCAGTAAGGGCTGATCTCAATCTGTGGGGGTGGCACGGGGTGGATGCAGAGACACCTGTGGCCAGGCCTAATGCACCTGTGTTAACTCCCTGACCCTGACATGTCGAAACCTATTTTGTGTGCCATTCTCTCAGGAGTTTTCTGTTGGTCCTGTTTACAAGGGTGGCTGCCCCGTGACCTGCAGGCCACATCTGGCCCACCCACCCCCAGAGATTTTCATGGTGCTTGAAGGCCCCCCCAAATTTGTCATTAAAAACATGATGCCATGGCCCTCAGCCCCCAAAAGGCTAGTCCACCCATAATAAAGAAGGTCAGCAGGTGGAAATGGCATCCAGCTGATGCTCCTCCCATGGCCTCTGAGGAAAGGAATGAGAAGTTTCCCAATGTTACAGCCCAGGGAGGGGCAGGGAGTTCTCCTGATAAGATTTGCCTGATGAACATCCTCCCAGTTCTGTTCTGTCTAGCCCCCTCCTCCATGGAAAGCCAAAACCAAAAGAAACATTGAGCCCAGAGTGTGTGCTGGCTGGGCCAGATGTTGGCAAGTTGTACTGCTTGGCTGCTTCTCTCCTAGCCTCAGACGTGCCTTAGGAGAGAGGTGATGCAGCAGCAGGATAGGCTTACGTAGATTGTTCTTCCACAGAGTGACTCCTCAAGAGAGAGCGGCAGTGAGAAGCACAGCTGCATTGTCCAATACGTGCTGTTCCCTCCACATTCCACTTCAACCAAAGACAGGTGAGGGTAAGGGATCGCCGACCCTGGGGACATGGAAGAAGTCCTGCTACTACAGGCAGCTTGCAGGATCAGGGACTTCTGGGTGCAGCTGGAGGGTCCCCAGGAAACGTTGGGGTTGTGGATTAAACTGCCAAATCTCAAACATTACCCCTTGCTTCTGGTCTGCCGCTGCTTACAGCGGCAAGGGGGCTTCTGGTTGGGAGTGCCTGGGTGTCCTTCCTACCCAGACAGGCTGCAAGCATCACGTTGTGAGAGCTCAAAGACTTTCTCTGCTACGTGCCTTGCTGGCACCCCAGATTGTGCTCCCCAAAATAAGTACTGTATGTATGTGTGAACACTGCCCCGGTCTATCTGGGCTGGAAGCCAGTTCTTCCAAGGCCTTTATTGGCAGTGCTTGTCCAGAACCCAGAGTTCTCCAAAGTACATGTAAAGAACCAGGGGAAAGAATCGCTGGCTGTGTCGTAACTGGAAGTTGATTAGCTTGCCTCAGCTTCCCTTTGCACAGCACTCCATGCCTTATAGTTGTCCAGCAAAAATGTGGGGGTGGAAATCAGCTGAACAGACTAAGAGGAATGCATAACAGCTGCACAACAAGTATAAAGCGGATGTCCCAAACCACTGAGTGTTCCCTTGGTGTGGTATTTCTTGTATTAATACCTCATCGCTCCAAGGCTACGTAGGCTTTAAAAATATTTGAGGCATACTTGTTTTCATGGCCCTGATGCCAAGCCAAAGAATGTGGAAGTGGCCTCCTTTTTGTGGGTGCCTAGTCTAGGATCTGGGACGCGGGTGGCAATGTGGGTTAAACCACAGAGCCCAGGACTTGCCAATCAGAAGGTTGGCGGTTCGAATCCCTGCAACGGGGTGAGCTCCCGTTGCTTGATCCCTGCTCCTGCCAACCTAGCAGTTCGAAAGCATGTCAAAGTGCAAGTAGATAAATAGGTACTGCTCTGGCGGGAAGGTAAATGGCGTTTCCGTGCGCTGCTCTGGTTCGCCAGAAGCAGCTTAGTCATGCTGGCCACATGACCCGGAAGCAGCACGCCGGCTCCCTCGGCCAATAAAGCGAGATCAGCGCCGCAACCCCAGAGTCGGTCACGACTGGACCTAATGGTCAGGGGTCCCTTTACCTTTAGTCTAGGATCCAGAGAGAGCTGGGAAACTTGTGAGGCATTTACCTTGATGAGGCATTCTGAGAAGTGTCGACTCCATGCGTCTATCCTTAACGTTAAAGATTATTCCATCTGGGTGTAAAGCTCCCTTTCGGCTACCTAGGAAGAAAAACTTTGTCAGCCCTTCACACAACCTAGTTCAGCCTAGTTTCCTTTCCACAAAGGCCCGAGGCCCATTTATGCCCCTTAAGAACATAAGAGCTCTGAGGGATCAGGCCAAAGGCCATCCTGTTCTTACAGTGACCAACCAGATGCCTATGGGAAGGCACACAAGGGCAGTAGTGCTCACCCCACTTGTGGTTCTCCGCAACTGGTACTCAGTGACATACCACGTCTGGCACTGGAAGCAGAACACAGCCATTGTACCTAGTAGCATCACAAGACAGGCTAAATGTTGACTATGCTTATGCGCAGTGGCCTGGCCAGGTATGCTCAACAGATGATGGAAAAGACTAGTCCCTGGACAATTCAATACTTTGGGGATTCAGGCAAATAATAAGCAGAAGCCAAGGAAGTGTGAGGAGCACTCACTGATGCTCAAGCCATGCTTACAATGTTTTGCTTGCTCTCCAGTTTCTCCACAGATGATGACAACGATACAGAGGTGGAAGCTATTGAGGTGGACATGGAGCTGAACCTTGTTACAGAGTGCTGGGTGGAGCCACAAAGTGGCTGTGTGAATAGTGCGTCAGACAGCTGGCGGCACTTACATGGCCTGTCTTACCAGAAAATTCCCAAAGCGGTATGTTCCTTTGGTGGTGAGGGAAAGGGAAGGCAAACTCTGGGACCATTACCTTGCAGGGACCATGACTCACAGCTGATATTTCCTGGCTTTTGGTCTTGGGGGTCCAGAATGGGGGCTGTCCAAATGCTTTATTGGTGAGGAGCCTCTGTCATGATGATCTATCCAGCCACCATTATTGTTTGTTGTGAAGACACTACCTGCTCCACCTTGGGGAGGAGTTGCTTTTTTCCCCATTAGGATTTTTCTCATCAAATACAGTGGTACCTCGGGTTACATACGCTTCAGGTTACATACGCTTCAGGTTACGGACTCCGCTAACCCAGAAATAGTGCTTCAGGTTAAGAACTTTGCTTCAGGATGAGAACAGAAATCATGCTCCGGTGGCGCCGCAGCAGCAGGAGGCCCCATTAGCTAAAGTGGTGCTTCAGGTTAAAAACAGTCTCAGGTTAAGAAGGGACCTCTGGAACGAATTAAGTACTTAACCCGAGGTACCACTGTAATTATCTGAACATGAATTTTACTCCCATTGGAGTATATATGGACAAGATTTGTATACCTGGTTCAAGTTTATCCTTGGCATCTCTGTGTCTTAACGGAGTGGTATTTCTGAAATGGTAAAGTCTTTGTGTTGCCAAAGCCCTGTGTCTTACTTCAGATCCCTCTTCCAGCTTTACCCTCGAGATCTAATGTGCATCCATACCATGCTTGCCTTTGAGTATATCAGCCAGCTGTGCCAGAACAAGGACTGGGTCTTCCCAGCATGTGATCCAAGGCCCACTACTGCTGAAGGTGATTCTCCTAGCATGGGCTTTCTGGGCATTTTGAGATGGGGCTGTTCCTGTGGCTTGACAGAGATTATACTCCTACTTTTTGCCGTAGGTTGTGGTGCTGGAAGTGGCTCCCGGGTACATGAAATTCCATTCCAGTTTGACCTCATGAAGCTATTGCCAAAGTGTCAGCAGATTGAAATGTCCTTCCTGATGCTGACAGGAGGTAAGTCAACTTAGGCCTGAAACTTTTGCACATTTCTCCAGGGAAAGGGCATGGCCGGGGCTCAGTGCTTCTCGTCTCCAGAATAGCCAAAGCGCGTTAACAAAGAGTGCATCTGGGCAATGCAGACTATGTGTGCCTTTCTTCTGAATTACCACAGTCTACACTTCTGGGTTTGTAAACCACTTTGAGGGTATTTTCCTTACAATCATCAGTATATACATTTTTTACATATACGTATAACACAACATAATAATATGTATAAGTATATGCACTTATATATAGGCAACCCCCAGTTTGCGTGGGGGTTGCATTCTAGGTCATTGCGCACGATGGCAGAGCACGTCTAAGCCTGCCCTGTTATGCCCCCGCCCTTGCCTTATTCTGCCTCCTTTTCCTGCCGCCTCCAGGGTCACAGTGATGCATGCATGCACTATCGTGCATGCTTTGAATGTGTGCAAAATGGTTGTTGCCTGTATATGTCTTCCAGTCAGATGGTGCAGGAGACCTCGTCCCTCTTTTTAAAAAAACTTGTATATAGGAAAAATAAGATGAAATAGTGAAACCAGTAGAATTGGAAATAAACCTCATAATGGGAAAGATTAAGGAAAGTGATGGATGATGAAAATAATAAGAAGCAAAATGTATAAGGAAATTAATATAACAGTAGTAGTAAATGAATACAGACAGACAACAAGAATTGTATAAACAGGAGGATTTGTTTATGGATATACTATGGACAAATATGGAAAATGAATAACAATATACAAAATGGATGGAAATAATGCAATAAAATTATATGTGATATAAAAAACCAGAAGAAGGAAGGAGGGAAGTCAGCGCTTAGGAGCAAGTATAAATGTAAAATGCAACATATTATGTGCATGTGGAGTATGCAACCGGAAAACTAATAAAGATTATTGGGCGGGGACGGGACTTCTTGCCATATCTGCCATTGAACATGAGATGTAATGAAGCAGTAGGAAGGGATCTTTGTTTTGAATCACTGGAACGCCTTCCAAACCCCATTCCTATTGCTTTAAGCTGGGCCAGGGAGGTTGGATGCTCTTGTCTGACTTAGTCCCACGAAGCTGTCAGACCTGCATGCGCAGTGGGTGGGTGTGCTAGGCTGGGGCAACAGAAAAATCGGTTTGCTCGAATTTTTGGTTTTCCACCTATAATAGAGGATGATGGCATCGCAAAGGACTCTTCCTTCTTGCCCAATGAAATGCTCCTCAGCCTCTTCCATGGCTGCCTCCAGCATGACCTCAGCGACAGGGAGATCATGCTATCTGGCACAGATCATATAACCTTCATGGAGCAGGTGCTACAGCGGGACAGAGATGGCCACCCGGCCCCATTTATGCTCCCAGTGGTCCAAGGTAAGAGGACATGCATGCAGCTGTTTCTGCCTTTCTCCATTCCCCTGCTGGCTTCTGACCATTTTACGTCCCTCTCAATAGAGCCTCCCAAGGCCTCTGTGCTCCCTGAACATCGAGATCCAGCCAACACCTACCATTCTGTTGGCAGCAAAGACAGGGCTACCTCTGCAATTACACAACAGGTACAGCATCCCCTTGACCTCTGTATCAAACTGCCAAGGATGCCAGACCCCAGAGAGCCCCCTGAACTTGAGAGCTTCCTTCTGCTATTCTCTTCTGAAGGAGATCTCAGTGCACATGGGCAACAGTGAGTAGGCAACTGAATCCGCTCCAGTAGCTTGACTGAGTTGTAACAGTTCTGTCTCAATCAGTCATTATGTTTTTGGATCTAAAGGGCTATGTGAATGACTCACGAGAGAGTTATCTACCTTTGCTACCAAAAATGTGTGTCAACACACTTTGCTTGTTAAATCTGGGTGAGGAGCAGGGTTCCTATGTCAAAATGCCATGGCCATGTTCAATTTGACTTTACTGTCTTAGGCTCCAAACAATGCAGAGGGGTCAAGAGATGAGATCTTACCAGCACCTGAGGACCTCTTCCCCCAGTGGCGATGCTATGCCAAGCTGGTAAATCCACAGCATCTTTTCCTCACCTTCCTACCAGCCACATTTCCAGGTAAGGCAAACTATATCAGAAAGGGAATTGGACACCTGCCTGAGGAAATGAAGTCATACAGAGATGAGACAGGTGCTCGCCAATATTCTGTAGACTGTAGGCTGTGCCAAGGGATGCTGAATCCTGCCACAGGTTTAAATTCTCACTCTTTAAGGACTAGAAGCTTGTTGCTTTGTTTTCTTTAAGAGAACCACCTGATTGCTTTCTTGTGTGGTACAGTAGGAAGATTACGGTAGATGCGATGTTCTGACTATGTCGGTTGCTATATATCCCATGAATGAAGCCAGGTGCGATGACAGCAAATAATGTGCAATAAACTCTTACCATCTTTTCCAGACATACAGAGGTTGATGGCTCATGGGACAGATAAATCTTCCAAAGAGCAGGAACCAACACTTTCCCAAGGAGAAAAGGAGCTGGGGACTGCAGGGGTGCTTCCAACCGTCAGTGTTACACCAGCCAATGGTACCAACTGTGTTTTGGGCTTCCTTGCACCACAGGCAGTCTCCTGTGTTTGGAATCAGACGGGAGGTGAAGGAGATAATGGAGGTTGCATTAGGTTCTGGTTGTAGGTGTTCAGGATCATACACTTTTAGCCAAGGGCGCAAACTTGAATAGGGTATACTTAATAATTTAAGATCCATACACAAGCGTATCATTGGGAAGATGTGCATGTTTATGTCAGTCTCTCTTGAACCCTGACACAGGCTTGCTGGAGTGGGTTGGGTGAAGACCCTACTGTACCCCAGAGGGCACTGGGGATGTTTACACGAGCTGGGTGGGGCTGATTGTAGTCGAACAACATCTGCAGGGCACCAGGCTGGGGAACATCAGTCTATGTTTCTTGTGACTGCCAGCAGCTCTCTAGCAAGTCACCAGCAAAAGTCTTTCCTACTACCTGCCCACAAGATCATTTTAAAACTGGGAATCCCTTAATACCTTTTGCAGGCAGAGCACATGCCTTTCTGCATGTGCAGAAGGGCAGGGGGAAGTAATCCCTTAATACCTTTTGCAGGCAGAGCACATGCCTTTCTGCATGTGCAAAAGGGCAGGGGGAAGTAAAGCACTACCTGAAGTGCCTTGGGGCAGAGGAAAGGGTGCACATTTCAACTGTGCTACTCTAAGTCACACAAGGTGCACTGTGTGCCATGTCTATGTGCATAGAAAGAGCATCATTTCCTTCTTTTTTGAGCTGTGAGCTTGAGGCTGCTTCTCACCCTCCAAGATGTATCCCATCTACAGAAATTGGCCAGGACTCGGGAGATCCAGACACAGTGCCGAGAAGAGAAGGGCGTATCTCCTTCAGCCGCCAGACATCTCAGCTTGACCTGGGCGAGAGCTGCCGAGCCCGCTGCCCTGTCTATGTCTACAGCTGCTCCTTGGAGCTGTTGCGGGAGCAGATGATCAGTCCCAGGCTAGATAAGCCTCTGCGGGACATCTTTTTCAGGTGAGCTCAGGAGCACAGGAAACTCGACAGCACCTCTGCACTTGTTGGGCAGATCTTGGCCTTCGCGGTTGTACAGAGACAATCACTACTCAGTTTCCAGCCGTTTGGGCAGGGATATGTATAAACTCATGTATATTAGGCCAAGCGCTAGTATTGCAGGCAGAGCCTTAGGAGAGTGTGCGATCTGGAGGGAGAACTAAGGTGAGGGAGGAATGTGGGCCTTGTCCTAGAATCTAGATGGTCAATTTGGATGATTTTGTCTTCCAGAAGCCAGTCAGTGGAGCGCCCCACCAGCGCTCCCTGGCTAGATGCCAAGCACAAGGAATTGCTGAGTTTTTGTACCTTGCTGCAAGAGCATTCCCACCAGTGCTATGTGAAAGGTAAAGGATCGATATTCCCAGGTTGGGTTGCTGTCTCCAGAGTGGGAGGAAGCTGGCTATTCTGTTACCCCTCTGGGCCTGACTTCCTTCTGGAACACCAGGAGAAGCCCATGCAGCTGTGGCAAACTTGCAATTCCCCATACTTAGAGTCAACCTGATTGGCAGCTTGGTGGTATTTAAATGGGCCACAGCCTCCGCTAGCAAAATCTGCTGTGTTTTTCGGCCCCCCCCCCCCCCGGTTCATCATTTCTGCTGCTTACCGTGTTGCTGTTTCTGGGTGAATCTGCAGGGCCAGCTAACTCTCTGATCCTCTGATTCTTTGCAGGGCTGTTCCAGAGCCTACAACAGGGCCACAGCATTAGCTGCCCTGATCTGCTCATAGCCATGGATTATTGTGAGGAGCTCTTGCAGGAGATAGACATCACGAGCTTTCTGCTTACTCTGTGCAACCACGTGCGATCCTTCTGTGAGCGCCACCAGCACCTGCCCACCAACTTGGAAGGGGAATTGACGCAGGCCCCCCGAGCACGGGGTGTGCTAGTCTCTGTTTCCAGGTGGGATGGTTGCTTCCATATAGAGAGATCAGAATGAATTGTAACTCTGGGGTGGCTTTGGCAGTGCTGGAAGAAGATTGTATCTTGCAGGGCTTCCCTCTGCTGGTCTTGTATGTAGTGGGTTGTAGCCTAATAGGTTCCTTCATCCGTGGCCCCCAAATGTCAGAAGTTTGCCAGAGTCCCATTCTGCGCACTAAAATGGCTCTCCCTCTGTAATGTTCCAAGCAGGATTCTGATTCTGGAGCCATGCAAGGTTCTGTATGGGGAAGGGAAAAGCACAACCAAGTCAAATGCACATAAGCAACAAAGAGGGCTTGCGGACACTTTAGATCAGGGATGGGTTTAAGCTTTTTCAGAGCTGTTTTTAATAGGGTTCCTTATTTATTTTTTAAATATTTCTATTTATTGCATGTTTTTAGTTGTGTCTGTTTTAATTTATGTTGTGAGCCTTGTGGGCTGCATTGGAGAAAGGCAGGGCTATACATAAAATAAATAAATAAAATTAATTGGGTAGGTGTCAGTCTATAATGTCGATTGGCCTTGGTTGAATTATTGAATATCCAGCCTTCTGTTTTCAGTCAAATAAGCAGTCAAATAAGGATCAAGACTGAAGCTGGGCAAGGAGTCAGATTACCAGGTCACCCAGTTCATGTGCATTTTTGTAATTGCTATACTTAAGGAATTAATTTGCATCTCTCATTCCGTCATTTAAAGAATTTCACCTCCTTCCCCACCTTTTTTAATTAAAAAAAAAAGCTTTTAAGTTTGTTTGGGGTTTTTTTGCCTGTGGAAAATGAGCTTGCAAAAAAGAAGTGTAAACAGTGCAGGATAAAATCTCACAGGGCACAGTTGGGCTGCGTGGAATTTCCAGCAGTCAAGGAGCAGCATTTAAAAGCTTTGCATAGCTTGCAGGAATAGAATAAATTATGCAAAATAAGCAAATAATTGCAGAGTCTCTTAACATTTGAATGATCTCAATATATAGTGCAGATATGTTTATGCAGATCAGATGGTCCTTGTGTATTTCCTTAACCTATCAAGGGCAAATATTACTTACAGTCATAACATGGTGCAGAAAAACTGATTCTTTGAACAGCAATCTCATATTTTTTTCCCAGGGGCAACAGCTATTCCAGTTGTTTTCACTGAGTGGCATGTAAAAGCAAATGCAGTAAATGTCACTGCAAAAAATGAGGAAGGACATATATTTTGTAGGAGAATGAGATTCTGTAACCCGAAGTATAAATGATCCCAGGCTGACTGCCACATCCCTCTGCACATGAAGAAGATAACTCAAGCAAACCTGTAGAAATGAAGGAATTTGTGCCTCTGTAGTGCAGTAGAAGAGAGCAGGAAGGTTTGGCTTGCAAACTGAAAATGGGGCAGCCAAATGGAACTAGAATGAGAAAGGAGAGGCACTGCGCCAGTTTAAAACAGTACAATTAATAAAACCGATATAGGGACACAATATCACAGGTGTAACTGATATTTATAATCTGTGGAAAAGGACAAGCCATATGCCAACCATGAATATGATCTATGAAAGCAGGTGCCACAAACTAACACCACCACCCCCTTTCACCAGAGAAGCCCCAAGTGAGATGGATTGGTTGATGGCCTGTCTGTCTTTTCCCCAGAACCTAAGGCAAGGCGGCTCACAAAAATTAAAGCAAAAACCATCTTTACACTCCCATGTTCTCTATGGGCTCTTAGAAAGGCTTGTGGTGCAGCAAGCCACTCCAGCTTTCTGGTTTGTGGATGCATAAATAAGTAGGAAGGCTGAGCACATCTAGCTACAGTAGAGATTTATTAAACCACTCTTTTCCAAGTGCCCTGAACTGGAAAACTGTGGTTTTAAGGATTCCCTAGAACAGGCATGTCCAAAGTCTGTTACGGGGGCCTAATCTGGCCCGCCGGTCGGTTTAATCCGAACCCTGTGGCAGTTTAAAAGGTCAACAACTTTGGTCGGCCCTCACGGCCCTTCACTTCATCAAATCTGGCCCCCTTTGAAAAAGGTTTGGACACCACTGCCCCAGAAGTTAAGATTGGATTAGATCCTGGTTTGTAGGGAGCCCTTAAACCAGAGGTTCCCAGTTCAAGCATAATGGGAAAGAGTGTCTGCATCCTTTTCCCCACCCACTCTTTCAACATTTTATATTTCCAACTCCAGGTAAATTACATATGAAACTGAACAAATCAATAAAGTTACAATGAATAAGTTTAATTACAATAAACATAGTTTTATTATTCAGCTTATTAAAACACATTTAAGTGATTGCATATCAGGCACTACAACTCACCTTCCTTCACTATTTGCATTACTGCCTTCCGCCAGTTATTCTTCCTCACACTTTCTATTTGGCTGAATCAATAAATGCACATTGATCTGCATTTAAGGCGTTTATCCATTAATCCTCCCCTAATCCCTTCATAGCACATAGGTTCTTTTAAAAATCAATCGACTAAACTTCCATCAAATTAGTTTTAGACAGGTTTGATAGAACTGTAATTTAGATGATTTTTGAGATTTTCCTCCCATCTCTAAATGCTATAAAATGGCTCTCTGAAAAGTGTGGCCTGAAGGGGGCATTTAGGGGAGAGGTATATATGTAATTGTTTTGTTTTGTTAGTTGGTTCGTTCATTTTGACAGGAGGAGAGGATTGGAATGCCCATGCAGGTGAACCAAGAGCATACACTATTTATTGGCCACACTTAAGGCTGAGCAAAGCTGATTCAAACACAGTATTTTATGCTCGTGTGTTCATGGTCAGAACTGGCTATACTTGTGGAGTGAATCTGTGAGCAGGGCCCTAGATTTCTGCTGAGGTTCAGTTCACAGACCCAGCTCCAATAATTCCAATAATATTTTTTTTGCACATGAAGCAGTTCTATGTGCTCCTGTGCATAACTCTTTACAGTGGTACCTCGGGTTAAGTACTTAATTTGTTCCAGAGGTCCGTTCTTAATCTGAAACTGTTCTTAACCTGAAGCACCACTTCACCGCCGCTGCACGATTTCTGTTCTCATCCTGAAGCAAAGTTCTTAACCCAAGGTACTATTTCTGGGTTAGCGGAGTCTGTAACCTGAAGCGTATGTAACCTGAGGTACCACTGTATTTCTGACCCATTGGGGATCTTAGGATGTATGGGGGAATAGAGGCGTGTAGGCTGCTTCTGACTGAGGAGCAGGGGAGTTAAGGTTGCATTATTTGGAGCACAAGTAGACAGAGCTGCTTGTGACTGACTTCACTCTTCCTTGAACCTGCTGTGCAGTGCTGAGACGGAGGATTTTAGTGAGCCAGAGTCCCATGTTTCGGCCTGCCCTCCCCAAGAACCCAACCCTAGCTGCTGTTCAGAGTTCCCCCTCTCTCTGCTAAAGAGCAGCCAGCCTTGCCAGGAGCACCCGGACTTGCGCAGGATCATCCAGGTAAGGAGAAAAGTGCTTTCTCTGGGTGAGGTGAGAGGGTAGCTTTGATGGCCCAAGTATGTTTCCCACTGTTCCTTCTTCCCGTTCTAGGAAAAGTTCTTGGAGATTGGCAGCTTGCATTTCAAGCCAGTGCCGTCCAATCCTCATTATTACTTCTACTGCCCTCCTTCTGCCAAAAAAGAGGTAGGGGGATATGCTTGTATCTTTGCCTCCTTGCCCTGGGAGGCTCCTTTAAGAGGGTCTGGAAGGCTGTATAAGAGCCAAACTTGGAAGGGTGTGGCACCCAGACTTGATGCACGTTGCACATGTGGCTTCTTGTCTCTGTTTTAGGAGGAGGCCTCTCGGGACCATACAGATAGGAAAGGTAGTGAAGACGTGGAAAGTTCAGAAACTGAACTGGTGGCGGATGAAGGTAAGGGAAACTCTTCCTCACTCTGCTGTTCTGAGGACTGCTGTAATGATTGGAGATGCCATGGCACTTGTAATCTAGTGATATTGGATTTCGTTTTTTAAACCCTTAAGTGGACTAAGGAAATTTTATGTATGCATATGTGCTGGGGAGAGTGCAAGAGTCCTTGAGGACCAGTGCACTGTTTCCCCCTGGAGCTCAGCAAACCATAGAGCAGGTATGTGGTCATACAGATATTCCTGGCCCCCACAGTGTAGCATCCATGGCCGAGGGGTGTTCATTAGGTTTGTTGGGAGTCCATCAACATCTACAGATCCCTGCTATCAATGCAGGGGAGAGAAGCGTGGAGGATCCTAGCTTTGAGCTTTCTGGAATAGTTGAGACGAAGGAATTGCTAAGATTAGGTCCCTCCTTTTGGCTAAGAGGCACTCCAGTTCTCCCAAGCTGCAAATATTTTGCATAGATTTCTAGTCCATAGAGCTAGCTGTATAGTTTCCGCTTTCCTAGAATTGCCTGTTTCTAATTTAAGAGGTTTAAGAACTCTCAAGTGAACTCCATTCACAATACGTCCCATAGTCCATGGTGAGGACCATGCAATGTCCTCTTTGGCAGCCAGCCAGCTAGAGCCCAGGTACCTTCCGTTGCCTGGGCCTGAGTCTTCTTTGCATTCTTGCAACCAAGAGAGGGGACGTTGTCAGAAAAGAGTGCAGGATTGTCCAGAGGGAGGTTTTCACAATGCTTCATAGAATCATAGAATTGGAAGGGACCATGAGGGTCATGTAGTCCAACCCCCTGCAATGCAGGAATCTTTTTGCGCAACATGGGGGTTTGAACCCATGTCCCACGACCCTGAAATTCAGAGTCTTGTACTCTTACCCACTGAGCTGTCCTGCTTGCGGCCTGTTGTACTGCCAGGCCTTTACTGTTGCACTGAAATTTACAAAGGCCAGCTTTGCCTTCTGCATGGGAGAATGCACATCCAAGCTCGGACTAATATTCATTACCACCTCTCTTAAAAAAATAAAAATCAATCTATTTACTTATATCTGACCACCCAGTCATATTATCAGTGCATATTCAAGTAATTACCCAATATTTTGTCTCAGTGTTTTTCCTCCTTATGCCCATAAATCATGCTTGGTGATAATTTGACACTCCTGATGTTTACTATTACTAAATATATATCTCTCTATATGTTTATTTTATATACTCTAATTAAACCACTTGATATATTCCTAACAAAAGACTCCCACATTTTACAACGCACAAGGCTTTTCAGTCTAGCTTCGGGCATTTCAGGAACTTGGCCAGCCAGTAGTGCCAGCCTCTTGTGCATTCTGCTGGCAGGGCTTCCTGTAACATCCAACGCCAATCTGTCTCCCTATTCACAGAGTGAGTGCAATTGTAGTTAACCCTTTCAGGATAAACATTCTTGAGGCCTGGTGCCTTTCACCAAAGCTCCATCGCTTCTTGAAAGCACTTTGGCTTTTTTCAAACTTGCCCGTAGGCAATGCTTCCGGCTGTGGCATTGGAACGGAGAGTGACCCCGAACTGGAAGTAGAGTATCGGGAACGGCTGGACCACGAATTTCTAGAAGCCGACTCTCTGTCTGACTCCAACACTGTTAACCAGGACGAGGACTCCTTCAGCGTGCTGGGAGACTCTCTGGCAGAGCAAGAGCTGCTGGAACAGGACATGCCACCGCTCTTTTTGCACATGACATGCTCTGTGAAGCTGCGCAGCCAGCACAGTTCCATGCCTGTTCGCTCACTGCCCACCTGCCTAGGTGAATGGAAATGAGCCCTGGGGTTTGAGGTGGGGGGGAGGGGTGGCATGGCTAGGGTGGATGGGCTGCCGGAAGGGAAGATTGGTTTCAGCCTCCAAGCAAGGAGTGGTGGGTGCTGGGGAGGGAGGGATCATATGCTGAGGCCCAACCTCCTTGGGCGCTTGGCAAGGAAGGCTAAAGTAGCACTGTCTAACTCAAGTAATATCTGTTGCTTTCACTAGGGGAGGTACTGGGCTGCTTTGAGAGCTGCAAGGCGCTGCACACCATTGACCTCTCGGACCTGTGTGTGACACTCGACATTTTTGTTCTGACCCTCCCCCTGGAAATCGAAACGGTGAACGATCTGCATCACAATAGGTGGGACTCCAGGGTTGCAGTGTGGGCAGGGGAGTCGGGAAACCACAACATGCATGTGGCCTTGGCCAGATGCGAGGGCTGAGCCTAGTAACTCTTTCCCTGTCCTCGCTACAGGTACACCTCTGAGAGTAGCGTCTCCTTCACCCGTTCCCCAGGGCGGCCCTCCTCCTTCCGCTCCGATGAGGAGCTTATGCACACCTTGGACAGGTTGCCCTCCACTGTGGACGATGGGTATTTATCCTCTCCATCATGTTGTTATACTGGGGTGCAGAAATAGTGAGCCACTGTCCTTGACCATTGCATTCTTTTTTTTCCAAGGCACCCAGCACTTTCCAATCTTCCTGGAGTGCACAGACAAGCTGTTGAAGCTACCATGACAGAGGTGAGTTCATTTGGCCCTTGGAAAAAGAGACTTGCTCTGAGACTAGATTAATATTCCTCCCACTCCTGAGCACCCAGCACTGTGTCCTGACTAAGCACCAGCATTGTGAACCTTGCTAAAAGCAAGGCCGCAACAGGGTTTTCACTTTGCTTAGGATCTAGACCACCTTGCCTGCTGTCTTTACTGTCACAGATCCGCTGGCTTTTGGATGACGAGATTGTGTCTGCATTGCGCCATTCACGGACAATTACCTCTGGCACTTTGAGCCGGGTGGCTACCCATGTTTACAGTTCTCAAGGCCGTCCAAGCTGCCACTGCGAAACGGTCCCTTTGCAGTTCGTGTTTGGGCCTGAGAGCTCTCTGGAAAAGTTTCGTGAGGTGAGTGATCTTTCAAGCTATTGGTATGTGAAGCACTTAACTTGGGGCCAGTTTACTTGAGCAGCCACCACTCTGATATTTTATGGGAGGGTGCTGTATATAAATACCTTTATAAATAAATTTTGCTGCCCCATACTTGGTCACTTAGATTTGTGGAACTTGCACTTTCACAGGTGTCACATAATGTAAATCTTTAGCATGCTTTGGAACTTCCTGGCTATTAATATTAGACTCACGCCCTGTCTATACTGCTGTACATTCCTGGTGAAAGCTTTTTTATTTCAGCAAACCTACTGAACCCATATACTTTAAAAATAATTTTAAAAAGTTTAACTCATCACCAAACTGGGAGGGGTAGCTAATTCTGCAGAAGACAGAATCAGAATTAAAAATGACCTTAACAGATTGGAGAACTGGGCGCAAGCTTACAAAATGAATTTCAGTAGGGACAAATGTAAGGTTCTACACTTAGGCAGGAAGAACCAGATGCACAAATAGGATGGGGGACACCTGGCTTACTAGCAGTACATGTGAAAAGGATCTTGGGGTCTTGGTGGACCACGAGCTTAACATGAGTCAACAGTGTAATGCAGCAGCAGCAAAAAAAAAATCTAATGCTATTCTAGGCTGCATCAACAGAAGTATAGTGTCCAGATCAAGGGAAGTAATAGTACCACTCTATTCTGCCTTAGCCAGACCACACTTGGAATACTGTGTCCAATTTTGGGCACCACAATTTAAGAAGGATGTTGATAAGCTGGAACATGTGCAAGCCAATCAGGGGTCTGGGAGCTAATCCTTATGAGGAGCACTTGAAGGAGCTGGGTATGTTTAGCCTAGAAAAGAGGAGACTGAGAGGAGATATGATAGCCATCTTCAAATATCTTAAGGGCTGTCACATGGAGAAGGGAGCATGCTTGTTTTCTCCTGCTCTGGAGGGTAGGACTCGAACCAGTGGCTTCAAATTGCAAGAAAAGAGATTACGACTAAACATTCGAAAAAACTTTCTGGCAGTAAGAGCAGTGGAACAGACTCCCACAAGAGGTCTCTCCTTCCTTGGAGATTTTTAAGCAGAGGTTGGATGGCCATCTGTCATGGATGCTTTAGCTGAGGTTCCTGCAATGCAGGGGGTTGGACTTGATGACCCTTGGGGTCCCTTCCAAGATTCTATGATATTTTTCCTGTGTCTTTAGTGATGATTTTACTATGTGGCCCTTTTGTAGTTTTCAGACTAAGCAGTCTATAAATCTTTATAAATTTGTTTTCCCCCATATGACTTCAGTTTTCCACAGTCATTTGACCTTCAGCTCCTAAACCCTAAACAACACGCGCCCCCCCCAGCGACACACACACACACACACACACACACACACACACACACACGAGCTACCTTGATGCTTCTCCATTCTCAGCCATTCTGTCTTGCTTTATGCCTAAGAAACATGCACCTGCCTTTTGCTTGTTTCTAGACAGTCACCCCGTTCTTCTTTTTTTTGTTGCAGGAGTTCCAGAGAATAGCCCTACCAGGCTACGTGCTCAACGCTGAAGACAGTGATTTCTACTATGTTTCCATCAGTCGCCTACATGCCCCCAAAGATGGGCCTAGCCCCACAGTAACGCTTGAGAGCACCATGACTGGAGGCAGGTGTGAAAGCAGCATCAAAACAGAAGGCTCTTTGCCCTGCTCCCCTCCGCCCGAGGAGGCTCATGGTCTCTGGGCATGGCCAGCGAGTGAGAACAAGCAGGAGACAGAAGAATTCCTGGACGTAAGTAGCCATGCACATGCTGAGTTGGTAGGGTGATCTGGAGACGTGGTTTTTTTCTTCTTAGATGGATTATTGATGCTGTTTGGTAAGGGTGATTATTGGGAACGGGATGTTATGGATTGCATTCTGGTGATCTCTGCCACAGAGAGGTTAGGCTGGCCTCAACCAGAGCCAGGGCTGTGGCTCCGATCTGGTGGAACGCTCTGTCACAAGAGACCAGGGCCCTGCGGGACTTGACATCTTTCCGCAGGGCCTGCAAGACAGAGCTGTTCCACCAGGCCTTTGGCCAGGGCACAGCCTGACTCCCTCCTTCGGCAATCTTCGCGGAGCTCTGGCCCAATGGTTGCCATCAATTTGATTTGAATTAATTTTATAATGAAATGATTTTAGAATGTAGTCTTATTTTATTGTTGTTAGCCGCCCTGAGCCCGGCTTCGGCTGGGGAGAGCGGGATATAAATAAAATTTATTATTATTATTATTATTTGCTGTGATGCAGTTGTCAGATGAAGTTCCACAGCCGGATCAAGCCCATACTTCGGAGTGTGGCTCCTTGGATGAGGAATCTGCAGTGACCCAGCCACAGCCTCTGCCGTGCTCCTTGGAGAAGGGGAACAGTGAGAAATCTCCCTTAGCAACACCATCTGTAGTGAGCCTGGCAGACTCTGTGACTCCAGGTAGGGAAGATGAGCTGGCATCTCCACCTGAATTTTGGAGCAGGGGCTGGGGAGTTCAGCCGTGTGGGGCTGCTTTAGCTTATCCTGCCCCAAACTGGTGCCCTCCGAGGAGATTTGGACTTCAACTCCCATAACTCCAGCCCACATGGCCAAAGGAAATTGTAATCCACAGCATCTGGACGGCATTGTGCCATAGACGGCTGATTTAGACAAACACTAGGTCGTTATATTACCTTACTAAGCAGTTCCTTTTTAAAATAAATAAATATACTTTTCAAGTTTATACATTTCACTACTTTTGTACTTTACACTAATTTTAACAATCATTTTAACATTTCAAAACTTGACTTTCTTCCCCCTCTTTCTGCGGTTCCTTACATTTATTTTTAATATCCTCTGCCTATCCAAATTAACTGAATTTGCTCATTTATTCATCTACTTCAAATATATACTTTTATAAAACTGCAGGGTAGTACAGTAATCCTGGCAATGGTCTTATCTGTTTATAATTTATCTTCATTTCTTATTCTTCTGGTAAGTTTCACCATTTCTGCGTATTCCATAAGTTTTTGTATCCTTTCTTCCTTTCCTGGGACTTCTGCTTCTTTCTATTTTGGGGCAAGTAACATTCTAGCCACTGTAGTAGCATACATGAATAAGTTTCTATACATTTTAGGTAGTTCTGTCCCTATAATTCCCCAAAGAAAAGCTTCTGGGCTTTTTTTTTACAGAAGTTATTTTATAATAATAATAATTTATTATTTATACCCCACCACTTTGGGCAGCTTCCAACAGAATATTAAAATACAATAGTCTATTAAACATTAAAAGCTTCCCAATATAATAATAATTTATTATTTTAAACATCCTTTTCATTTCATTATACATCATTTCCTAGTTAAGCTTTAATCTTACTACAAGACCACCACATACAATAAAAAGAACCTTCTTTCTTTTAAGCAGTTCTGTTTAGCTGAGCTATAATTGGTAAGATTCTAAAGTGCTGGTTATGACCTATAAAACCCTATATGGCTTGAGCCAAGGCTACCTGAAAGTTCATATCTCTCTATGGGAACCTGCCCAATGTTTGAATCCTCAGGTGAGCACCTTCTCTTGATCCCATCAACATCAGGACCCTTCTTGGTGATGGCACCAGAGAGAGACATATCTGTGGCTGCTCCCACACTGTGGAATTACCTGCCAAGAGAGGCTCCCTCTTTGTTATCCTGCTGACAGGCTGAGACCTTATTCAGACAGGTCTTTGAAAACTAAGATGCAGATGATGCTGACCACTGGACAAAACTGTACTTTGATTTTGATTTTAAATGTGCTTGTCTTTTGAACTGTTGTTTTAGCTGGTCGGGGGTTTTTTTTTTATTAACTCGGCATTTTATAATGATTTTTAATGTTGTAAGCTACCTTGAATCCCCTTATAGGAGAAAGGTGGGATATAGATATAATAAATAATGATGAATAATACTTGGGAGAGGCAAATAAAGGAAAGTGCCCTCATGTATCTGGGGCAATGATCCTTTGCGCTCCATGCATAAGCATGCGTGTTGTGGGGGCCATAACCCTTATTTTGCCCTAATAGCTCATGGCCCTCAGCCAAGGTGTTCGAGGTCTGCTTCTCTAGGTTATATAGGCATAACAAGTTACTCATGCTGCCCCCTGCCCCCTTTCCAATTTCAACAAGTAGTATAAAAATCCTGCGGTTTCCTAGTACTGTCCAAAATTTGCAGAAATTACAGAAATTCAGGAAAAGCACATTCTATAACAGGAAGCCATGCAAAACCAGTCTGTGAAACTGGTCAAAAGGAAGAATTCCTGGGGCCAAGCTAACTCAGTTTCCTCAAGCTCTTCATGTTTCAATCCTAGATATATAAAGCCAGCTGTAATAATATTGTACACCCAATCTGCTAGCGTTTTAAAAGGGATGTGTGTGTGTGTGTGTGTGTGTGTGTGTATATATATATATATATATATATATATATATAAAAAACCGAAAGGCTTTTCAGAACCTAGAGGCTGGCTGGGTGCTTCTTCTTCAAGGGACAAGTGCTTCCATCAGTCTCTGAGGCTGCAGTTGATTGTCATTGCAGTTGTGCTGTCAGTCCAAGATGGATTCTCCATACTTCTGCTGGCACTGGGAAGCTGTAGGAAGGTGGTTATATTTGTTGAAACATCAGAAGAGTATTGCCGAGGTTTCGTGTGGAATTTGGCTCATGATGATCCTCTGAAAGCGATTAAGCGACTGCCTTTTAACGCCATATAATGGAACTTCTCTGCCTTACCAGTTCATTAAGCTGGCTTTATTGCCACTCTGTTAGGTTTTGTTTCAGTATTCTGTTGTGTTCAGGTCAATCAGCCTCTCTTCAGAGGAAAAACGCTTTTCAGCTCTCCCTTTTGTGGAAATAGGATTAGAAATGTAAGGATTACATGGGGAAGTGCCAAGTACTTGTCCATGCTCCTTTTTAATATGCAAATGCCTTCCTCGTTCCAAGGAGTGTGTTGGTTTCACCTACTTCATCATTCTTGAGAGGCCTTTTGGTGCCTTTTACTTAAATACACCATTTGTTCCCTCATATTTTCAATTGTGCATTGAGATTGAACAAAAATATGCCATTTCACACTTGCGAGAGAACGGCTGTTTATTCAAGTTAGCATTTTCACCCCAGGCCTGACTGTAATAGCAAAGTCTCTCCCTCTCTTAGGGGTGTCCATTAAAGTGCCTTTCTTTGTAACTATGCTCCAATATTGATTTTTCTGTAATCAAAACCACTTTAGTGCTGTTGGGCTCATGAGATTGTAAGCTCTAAAAGGCTGCCATGTGTCTTGCTGTCGGGCTTCTTTATGAAGTCAATCTTGCTTTGTTTCTTACATCAAACAACCTATGCAGCAGACGGGGTGAAAAAAAGAAGCCAACCGCTTTGTGACATGCTGATCCCCTTTTTCTTCCTGGGTTTGTTTCTTGTTGCCTGGGCTTGTACATGCACAGTTTGGGGGGGAAAGGCCGGTGCTTAGATTGAAATCTGGCCCCAGAGCAAGGAGAGAGTTGGGGGGACCTAGGAGACCTCAGAGCAGTCTCTCACTACCTCTCTTTCCTTACAGGCTGTGGGAAGCAGCGTCCCAGTCGGGTACAGAGCCTGGTATCGAGCCAGGGCAGTATGGATTCCGATCTCCTAGGTGAGTGGATGAGCCGAGCCATCTTTTTGTGTGGAAGAGACGATAAGTCAGTTCTCAGTTGGGTGGAGGCAGGTTTGTGGCAGAGTGACAAGTTGCTCAGCTGGGATTATTTTGCCTTGAGGTCCAGGTGCATCCACTTTGTGGAGATGGGAGTGCAAGGGAACCACCATGAGCCTCTCTCTGCCCTTGGCTTCTTGTCAAAGATGGATTGGCCGAGCCACTCAGCAGAGGCGGTGAATTTTCATTTCTTAGGCTATGATGGCGGGAGCAGTGATTCCGAATGTGAGGAGGCAATAATGAGTGACCTGGAACCCAAGTGCCCTCTCATGCCTGACTTCTGGCTGATTGTCAAAATCCACCAGGACCGGGTGGAAGTCTATTCCCACACACGGTAACATCCCCTTTCCCATGCCCTGCTCACCCGGGGATTCTGGTTCCCAAACTGGCAACTGTGGCTTTTACCCCAAGCTCTGCATGCAGTTTCTCCCAATCCCCCTGATCTTAGCCTTGTGTTGTATAGCTGGCTTCTGAGTTCTCCAGACTTCACGTGTCTTGCTTTTTCCAACATGTAGCTAGCTGGCCTTGTTCCTCTGCCAGTTTTGCGCTAATGCTGGGAAAGGTCAAAGAGCCCAGGCCATGCCAGTCATAGATCCCTCCCCCAGTACTCATGCATTTTTAAGCACTTGCCAATGCTCCACCCAGTTTTTCATTGTTGACTGTGTTCAGTTCATTACTAACTATTGAGCAGGAAAATATATTGTGCATATAGTCTGCTGTTGTGGGAGCTCTCTCAAAAGTTCTTCTGAGCAGTCTCCCTTTTCCTTTCTGTACAGCAGCTTGAGTGCGGTGAAAGCAACGCAGAATGAGGAAGGGGAATGTGTGCATCTTCACCGCACAGTGGTGAAGAAAGTTGGTGAGATCTGCCGCCTTGTTAATCAGGTAACTCTGGCACATTCGGTCTCTCTACACTGACTCCTTGATAGCAGGAATATCACCCTACTAAGTTCCAAAAGTTGAATTTAACACATTAGCCAATGTGTTACAAAATATTTGACAGCTACAGCTTTGGCCACTGGAAAAACCACCCAGATCTTTTCTGCTTGTGGAGCCTTTAAAGAGAAACTTCATACATATATATCTATGCACTTTTAGATATCTTTTCACCTTAAACATGAGGACTGAGATGCTGACATTTTAAATGAGGAAGCTGGGATGTACCAGCTTCATCACATTCTGGTATGATTACAATCGTGCAGACAGAGATTGCACTTGAATTTCAAGGCAGATACTAGTTTCTTCTACAGCCAGGACTCCTGTTGTGAGGAAGCATTAAGTCCATCTCTGCGGCCCTTTTTTGTCCACAGCGGCTGCTGCTACAGGATCTGCACGACAGTCATAATTGCAATTCCCTGCTTGTTGCTGAGAGTGAGGAGGATATCTGGAAAAGTGAAACGCCGTACACCTACCGGCAGCGCACTGGGCCTGATGGTAGGAGTGCAAAGTGGTATCCTTATCCACAATAACATTGTGCTGAGCCTTAGAGCCTAGAGCAGGTGTAGGAAACCTTTGGCCTTACAAAACTTACAACATCCCTTAACTGGGGCTGATGGCAGCTGTAGTTCAGCAACCCCTGCAGGGCCAAGGGTTCCCTACACCTGACTTAGAGACTCTGCTTTCCCACTAGTTTGGCTGTGCCCTAGTTATATTAGAGGCAGGCTTCCTACAGACCACAGGATGAGATTCCTCTCTTACTCTGCCTGTTGTGGCAGGGCAGTACTTGGGGAAGTGACAGCTGATGAATCCTTTTCATTTGCCGTTTTGTCGCCACTTTGGTGGTGATGCACCGTCCTGCTTTTCAGGGCAAGCTCTGTAGGTTCCCTGTTTAAAGGTACTTGAGGTGTGTGTGTTTGCCTTTTAATCTTGTGGCACAACTGTACATGAAGGAGGGAAGTCTGTGTTGTGTAGATGGCTTTCAGAGAACTCTGTGGAGGGCTGCCTTGCTGAATTGCATTTCCCGCTGTGCAGACTACCCCGGAGAGGAGAGCTACCAGCCCCATGACTATCTGGCAGCCACCATGCAGTTCATACCTGGACACTTTGCTTGCGACGCAGTCTGGAGCACCACCATCCATGTGCATTCACGACTCAAGATGGGGCCCAATATGGGTGTTGCACGCGGTGAGTATATGGATGCAGGGAGCTCTGGCTATTGGGGAGGCGTGTGAGGAGCTATCCCCAGACTCCCCGTTCCTAGGCAATGAGTTCTGTCTTGTCATGGTGCCTTTTTGCCCCCAGCTGTGGCACACTGATGATACAAATTAATTGTTAGGATTGGTGTGAGGGTCGGATTAGCCAAATGATGTGGAGGGCGGCTTGAGTTAGGCTACAGACAAGGTAGTTCTGCCACAAGCTCCTTACAGGAAGAGGGAGCCACAAATACAGTGGTGATAAAATGCACAGAAGGGGGAACTTGTGTAACAAGTGGGAGAATTTTTCAAGAAGCGACTTTGTGTTGAGGGGGAAGGGAAGCTTTTAGTATAAAAATCTGAGCAAGTTCATTTATTAGAAGAGATCCTAGCGTTGAGGTAAGGTTTCATCACAGAACCAGCTGTATTAAAAATAGCTCCCTTTTAAACTCTGTTATAAAACCCTAATACAGGCTAGCTACGATCTAAAAGAAACTCAAGTGTTTGAAACAAAGAGACTTTTTTCCCTCCCAAATATGCCCTGATAAGGAACACCTTAGCTTGAAACATACAAGGATTTGATATTTCTCCATTGGATACCCTTAGTACATATTTATTGCAGCCACCAAATTGCAGTGATCTTTTTCAAAAAGTGGGTATGTTGAGAATGGGCAGTAGTTATGAGGATTAGGCTGGATTAATATTTGGGAAATAAAATTGAAGAGGGGCGTGTGCTGTGCTGGTTTTTGAAGATAGCAGTGGGTGGTGCATTTGGGTCAGACTTTGCAACTTGTAAGCCATCTCTCTCCCCCCTGCAGCCATCCAGGCCCTGCGTTCTGTGCTCAATGCTTTCTCAGTTGTGAACAGGAAGAATATGTTTGTTTACCAGGAGCGCTCAACCAAGTCTGTTTTCTATTTACGGTAAGTTCGCCATTCTGTCATACGGCACCCCACAAGCAAGGGGACCGCCTTGACCTGTGGTGTCTTCATCTCCTCTGCTGGTATCTCCTTTTGGAATGTCCTTCAAGTCCATTGCCCTTGGTGGTGTGGTGTAGTGGTTAAGAGCGGTAGACTCGTAATCTGGTGAATCAGGTTCGCGTCTCCGCTCCTCCACATTCACCTGCTGGGTGACCTTGGGCCAGTCACACTTCTTTGAAGTCTCTCAGCCTCACTCACCTCACAGAGTGTTTGTTGTGGGGGAGGAAGGGAAAGGAGAATGTTGGCCGCTTTGAGACTCCTTTGGTTAGTGATAAAGCGGGATATCAAATCCAAACTCTTCTTCTTCTACTTTACCCTCTCCTCTTTGTTACTCTCTCCTCCAGACTCTCTGAGACCACTTCCAGTGGGAAGGGTGGTGAAGCTGAAACCCAGAGCCTTCCATGCCGTTCACTGGCCCTTTCGCGCAGCCAGGAGCCCATATACATGGAGGACCTGAGCGTGAGTCTCTTTTCCTCCCAGGGAACCCCTGCACCCTTGCTGCCGAGAGCACAAGAGCGAGCATGCCGGCTGCACACAGCCTGCTCTCTGCTGTCTTTCCAGGAGTGTTGGGAGGCAGCTCCATCTTCTCAATTTCTTCCGTTCTCCTTTGATAGGGCTCTCGCTCCTCTTTGGAGACAGCCTCTTTCCGCAGTGTGGACTCAGCCCGCCCGGTGAGCCAAGTGGACAGGCATATACAGCTGGTGGTTCATGGAGTTGCACCGGCAGGTAAGTTGCACATTCATTCAATGTAAAGTCAGAGACGGGAGGCTTATTGAGATCTTGCTGCTGCTATCAAGCTACTTGTCCCCCGAGGTGTTTAAAGACCAAACGTTAGATTTAGTAACTCTGTCTCTTTTAAGGTGTGCTTTCCCAACCTGGTGCCTCCCAAATGTTGTGTCGTTGGACTACGATTTCTACCATCTACTTTGCTGGCTGGGGCTGATGGGATTATAGTCAAAAACATCTGGAGGGCACCCGGTTGGGAAAGCCCACCTTAACAGGATTTTAAAAATATATGTTGCATTGTAGCCCTTTCTGCAACAACAAAGGGAAATGCAGCCTTTTGCTCCCTTCCCATTCTTTAGTTCATCAGCTCTCCAGAATCTTGTGTTAATGTTTTGTTTCCTCTGTAATTTAATAACAAGCCATTGACATTCTTTTCCCTTGTGGTTTTGCTGCTTCTGGCTTTTCCTTCAGACAGCCGTCAGTGGGAAAGCCTGGCTGCTCTCTTGTGACATAGTTTACTGTGCAGCACACACAGATCATTGATCTGGAACACAACTAATGTAGCAGTTGCAAAAAGAAATGGCAGGTGGAAACCTGCAAAGGCACATAGGTAGCTTCCTTTTTTTCATATACCGTCCCAGACTTTGGTCCCTCTATTGTCTACACTGACTGGCAGCAGATTTCCAGGGTTTCAGACAGGGGTATTTCCTAGCCCTACCTGGAGATGCCAGGTTTGAACATGGGACCTTCTGCATGCAAAGCCGTTGCTCTGCCACTAAAGCTGCAGTTGTAGGAGGGAGTGGATAGGTGCTAAGGTAACCCTCAGGAACAGTAGCCAGACTGCGTGGGCTGTTGAAAAATGGAGCATGCTGGGTTTGGTGTCGGGTGGCTCAAGCGTAAGAGAGCTCAGCATCTTGTATGAGACAAAGGCTACATCCTGCAACTCTTCTGCTCCTATAGGACCTGAGATCACAGATGAGCTAGTGAAGGTTCTACGCAGGCGCCTAGATGAAGCCACCCTGGACATCATCACAGTCATGCTCGTGCGGAACTGCAAGCTCACCCCTGCTGATGTGGAGGTAAAGGCCGTGCTTCAAATAGGACAAGACCACCTTTTATTTCTTGGCTAAATCTCCAGGCCTCTGGGTTGGATGTGCTCAGGCTGTATCAGACCATTGACAAGTCCTTCTCTGTGCAGTTCATACAGCCTCCAGGAAGCCCTCCTACCGAAGTGCTGCAGTTCACTCTGCCCCCCTCATGCCTGCCCTGGCTCCCGGCCATAGCCTGCTACCTGCGCCAGAACCTGCTGATCTTCCTGCATACACCCAAGTACACAGACAGCAACATTGAGAACCATTTCAAGGTAAAAGGATGGGTGCCTGTGCCTGGCCTGGTGCTGCCTATTCAGGGGGTGACTTCAGTGTTCGTCTCTTGTAGAGGACTACGGGAATATGGGCAAAGGGCAAAGGCGTGACGAGCATCCCAGGGGTAACAAGGCTAGGCATGGAGGTGTAAACAGATCATAGCATGCTGGGTTCTGGAACAGAATGAGAGGCACAAACAAGGATGAGAATTTCCGGCAGCCTCAAACATCTCTACCCCTAGCTTGATCTCAGTCGCTGAGGACCAGTCATACAGGGACTGTTTTTATGGTTATGTGTGATCTACTGCTATGTATCCTTCAATGGACTGGAAAAAACCCCAATGTCTATGACAGTGTTCTATGCTGGGAAATTCTCTGCCATAAGAGTAGTATATCATTTACTGAGATTAAGAGCCTACACGATGTATCCCACACTTTTGGTCCTCAGGACCTCAAAGGCAGCTCTCCATGTTGATGAAAATGCAGCTCCCGGAAATAGTCTGATTTAACTATTCTTGCTTTCCTTTTCAGCACTATTTCCACCAGAGTAGCAGCAGTAGCCATGACCTGGATCTCTATCTGTACAACAAGCCTGGAGGCCAGGGCACTGGTGGCAAAGGTAATAAGTGTCTCTGTCGTACCCCCTAATTCTATAGAAGAAAATGGTCCTATGCACCCTCTCTGAATCTACTGTTGCTTAATCCATGTGAGTCAGCTGACTAAGACCCCCGGCTTCCGTTTTGTCTACTGCTGTGCCAGCCAGTAGTAGGGTAGAGAGGAGTTCATAAATTAGTGAGCTCCACTCCCCAAAGGCCTTATGAGTTGTGCAGTCATGGTGGCTCCTGCTCATTGGAGCTCATTAAACATCTACTGGGGGGCTAAAAATGAACTGACTTTTAGGTGAGAGCACAGTAATGAGCTCTAGGCAGACGTCAAGTGGGGAGTCATATGGTACTGTGGGCGTCAGTTGGCAGCCTATGGACTGTTGGGAGCTCCCAGTGGTGGGATACTGTTAGTTTGTGTGTCTGTGTGTCTGCATTGTGCCATACACTTGCCTCATATCCCACCTGCACTGTGGTCTGGTTGTGTGGGTAACGCATCACCTCAAAGTGTGTCTGAACATTCTTCTGTCATGTAGGTTCCATGCTGGATCTTGTGCAGCACCTGTTTCCACCTTCCCAGTTTCAAGGTAGTTTCTGTAGATTCCAGTGGTCCGCTGTACTTTTTCCAGCGCTGCTCCCATCCTCATTTTGACCTTGTGCCTGCTGTTGTTCTGGCTTCTGCTCTGATGCCTCCTGTATCACCCACTTTCTCCCTTCTGTGTAGCCACCCACATCTTTCCCATTGGGTAGTTTCCTAACCCATATACTTTGGCCACGAGAAGACCCCCCCCCCACTGGAGATGAGACTCAGGTTAAAGAAATCACACTGACTCCAGATAGAAATGGCTAGAAATGGCTGCAAATTTGCTATTTGCTTTCAGACAGAGAGAGAGAGAGAGAGAGAGAATTTCACTTCTGTCATAGCCTCCTTAGTTGTGGGAGTGAAAGGTCTTGCGGGTTTCAGAAAAGATGGATACATTTATGGAGCATTATTTGTTGTGGCGCCTCATTTTGTACCATGGGATTAGTAAAAGATTTTTCTCTTGCATAAACTTGGAGCTGGGAGAAGAGCTTAGTGAGGCTGTGATGTTGCAGCTGGTGACATCAGCTGATGGATAGATTGAGATTACCGACCTGGTGTGCATTTGGGGATGCAAAGTAAACACCCTTATAATTGGTCTGAGTAATCTTCATACAGGGGACCAGGCAGAACATTTTACCTGTGCCATATTTACCCAGGGTACTAGAAGTGGAAGTTGCTTCATTCAGTAGCATGTGAACTGGCTCACTTGGTCCCTTGTGTCTTTGTTAGCAAGCTTTCTAGTTGCAGGCTATGTCTGTTCTGTAGTTATTTAGGTAGCTGAATGTAAGAAACTACCTGGTCTTGGGATTATATGATTGGCAGCGAGACAATTAATGCCGCTCGCCCTTCCTTCTTTCCCTCTGTTCTCATCTGGCTGCCAAGTTCATTGAGAGCAGGGAGAATTACATCTGTGGGGACAATTGCCGTAAGCCTGGAGTAGACTTCCCTTCCCGGCAGGCACTGCTGCAAGCATTCCTTTTCCTTCCATGTGACCCCCTTGCAAAGCTGACAGGAGACAGGGTGCATGCTGGGAGCCTCCTTGAAGATAGGGACCTATGGGTGCTATCTTCTGATTGAAATGATATGGTATACAGTGCCTTTGCCAATGTCATGCCCACCTTCTGCTTAGTGGGAGACTCTCTACTTCTGCCTGTGACTTGTTAGTTTTCCATTTAGAAGCCTACAGTGCTGATGTCCAGGTCCTGAGCCCTTAAATCCTTGCATATCCTTCTGCATGTTGTCATGAAAATGTCAGTAAGACAGTGTGTGATTCCTAGTGCAACCACCTTGCCTTTCCCTTTCTCCTCCCCTGGGCATTAATCAGTGTGGCACATGAGCAGTCAGAAGGAAGGTTAGAAGAGCCCAAACGGTGCCCCCTCATTTTTTCCATGGAACTTCCACCTCCCACTTTTCTGAGGGACTCCTGGCATGATCACACTGCACAGCAGTGCAAGCTGGAGTGCAGTGCAGTGCAGGGGCTGAGCTGTTTGCTGCACCAGGAAATGATGCCCAGAGAGATGTGATCTGTCTCCTGTCCCGTCCTTGGTGCTTTTGCTGGTTGGGCTTTGCTGAACCTGTGATGAATGCATCCTTTCCTTCAGATGACAGCTTGCAACCCACATCCCCAGCAAATGCAGGCCTCTTCCCTATCTCCGTGATTGTGGTGTCTTCCTTGGCTACATGTCTTCCACCCCGACCCCTCCTTCCCACCTGTGACTTGTTTCCACGTTACTTTTTTTTTTAAATCACCCTGAGTTGCATTCCAAAGGATGGCTGTGTGTCTGTAACAAGTTCCCTAAGGCTGTGGTCTCCTAGGAGCTCTATGCTAGTGGAGGGCTGGGCCTCTGGGACTCAAGCGGCCCTTTGACTTTCCCCCTGCAGGCATTGCATGCATTGCCCTATCCTTTGTGGACGACCGTGGAAATCCCATCTCATTGACTCGCTGGGTGAGACCACCCACCGCATTGCTGAGCACATCCTTTCTCCAGGAGGCAGATTTCGAGAGCTTGACAGCTGTCACTAAGCACCAGGCTGAGCCTGGCACATCACAGCCAGGTGAGAAGGCAGGGCTTCTGTCTGCTCTCTAGGAACGGTGGCATCAGATGGGCAAAGTAATTGGGCTTGAGTTGGCTTGCCTAGAAGCCTAGGGAGCCTGGTTGGTAAGAGGCCAGCATTGCCGTTGCCTTTTCCAAGGTACATCCTCTTGACGCTGGCTTTTCCTCCAAAGCACTCTGTCCTCTGGTGCGCCTGGACATTTGGGAGAAGGGCAACATCAGCCTGCTGCAGCTCTCCGAAAGGCTGCGCAGTGCTCTGCGCCATGCCCTCTGCGACGCCCTCATGGAGTTCCGTGTGCTGCCCAACCCACTGTGTGTCAATCCATCTGCTGAGCCAGAGTTTCCAGGGAGTGTTGGAAGCCTGCGGCGGACGATGTCAGAAACAAAAGGGTTGACGCCGCCTGGCAGACGCCGAGGAGCGTGTCCACCTGCCCCACATTTCACTGTGCCCACTGCAGCTGCTGGTGAGCCCGTCACACCCACCAACAAGTTGGGGAGACGAAGCTTCTGGGACATGCGGGTAAGGACTCTGTCCAGGGAAGATGGCGGTGGGATATGTATGCTCTGGGGGTGGTGAGAAAGAGAGAGCCCAGAACCAAGAGCTCTGGATTCAAGAACTGTTACAGCAAAGTGCCAACCTGCACTAACTTACAACCACCAAGTGAAACACAGTTCGCCAGCCATGGATTGTGGTCTGTCAGATGCTTGGCAATATGTCTGTTTTTTGTCGTGCCAGGCGAGCTTGTTAGATCATATATGGCTTTGCTCTGGCATAGTAGCTAAGAATATGATCTGCTCTGCCATGAGGTCCATGAAGGAGCTTCAGGCAAGCCCCTCTGGTCTCACAGTGCAACCCTGTGCCTGTTTAAGCAAATTTCACTGTGTTTGTTGTGACTTACTCCCTAGTAAACATGTTACAGATGATAGCCACAGTCTCCACCCACTGCAATTCATGTATTAGGATGCCTAGCCGTCTTGGGGCTGAGGGCCACTTTGACCCAGAATCAAACCTCAGGGGGGTTATTGCGAAAATAAAGTGCTATATATAAATACTGAGTTGTGCAATACAGCTTGTGCAATACAGATCCTTGCTGGCCTGAAACCGTCTGTGCCAGAGAAATGGGAAATAGGCCCCATGCATTTCTTTCTCTGTCTCTTCACGGCCTTGTTTTTCCCCCCAGAGCAAACCAGAGGCGGTAGAGCAAGGGAGCCCCAAGACCACGGATGACATAGTGCTGGAGCGGCCCGAAGAGAGCCGAACCCGCCGCCGCCACAAGACCGAGAGTGTGAAACAGCCCTCGAGCCACGAACGTGTTGCGGCAGCTTCTGAGCAGGGGCAGGCCCAGAGGCAAGCGTCCTGGCAGTCTTTCCCCACCCTCTTAATCCAGTGGGACCTTGTGGGAGGGGGAAATGCCTCAGTCCAAAACCCAGCCTTTAATCTATGAACTGGATTGTGTGTGCTTCTGCACACACAGAAAAACTCCTTCCCACACCCCCAAGACTGGCCCTCCCTGCATACTGCGAGGACAGCGCTGGTGCGGCTGAGTACGGATTGTGCAGGATTATGGCTGCTGGCTTCTGGGCACTGTAACCTTTCACACACTTCAGGGGCCTGGCCCAGGGTCCTCGTTCTTTCCCTTTGATTTTAACCTTGGCAGTGGATCTCCTCTTTGCAGACGCCGCGCCTGCCAGCTAGAGGAGGGGGATGTCGGAGTCCTGCACCCAATTTTCAGCCAGACCTGCCAGTCCTGGATGGCATTCATGAACCGCCTGGGTATGTACTTAGTCTGTGCCCTAATCCTTCAGTGCCTCAGCTAGTCCTGCCTTCACTCAGCATGGAGAGATTCTACCTTCAATTTTGTTTTCCTGAAGAATATGAGATCCCAAGCTTCTTAGAAAGGAAGCAGAGCCCCATGGGCGATACCCAACTAAGACATACGTAGTGGAGTTAGGCCCATTAGATTGAATGGCGGTACACTAAGTAACTTAAGTCCATTGATTAAATGGATCTATTCTGAGGATGACTAGCATTAGGTATCGACCCATGTCTAACCGCTGTCTTGGGGAGAAAAGCTTGCAAACATGAGGTTAATTGGTTAAGGCTCAGAAACCAGATTAAGAGCAAATAGGTGTGGCTTTGGCTTGTGTACCCTGTTGAGCATATGCACCTTTCTTATTGACCACATGCTTCCCTGTCTCTCTGCTTATACTGTTCCGAGCACGGAATTCGGGGCTTTTTGACCTAGAACATGGAAAGGTTCATGCAAGCTCTGGGTACAGGTCCCTCTTTCCAATAGATGCAGGAATGAATGCAGGTGCAGTGAGTGCTGATTGGTTTGCCTCCATTCCCCTTTGTTGGATATTTTGACTCAGGACAGCAACCACCAGGCTGATGGTGCCACAAAATGGCCCAATTTATTTATTTTTAATGCTTTGGTGCAGCAAAGCCAGTGACCCACTTTGTATTTCCCTCTGCAGGGTGTCCCTCAGTGCAGCAATGTGCCACGGAAAGTGTGTCTCGCTTCCTGCTCCCCTCCATCATGCTTGAGGTAGTGAACCTAGTCACTACTTTGGCAAATGACACCACTGTCAAAGTGTTTGAAAAAGTCAGGTAGGTGCTGAGGCTGTGCTCCCTTGAAGAGTAGCTTGCTAGATCAGTTGAGAGGCAGCCACTGGAAATGGCCTGGGGGGCTTCCTTAGCAGGGTGGGAATGTTACGTGTGGGAGAGGGGACTGGGTCTATAGGACGGGTGTTCTTGTGCCTTGACTTAGCTGCTTGTCCCCTGCTGCAGTGGTCCCCAAGGGGCGTCCTTTGTGCCACATTCCCTGACACCAAGCACCAGCACTCGGCCAGCTGTCATTCGACACTTCGCCCTGCTTGGACGCAGCTTCCACCAGTGGCACTGCAGCACAGAGCAAGGTGAGTTGAGAGTGGGGAGCCAGAAAGGGGCAGCAGGTTTTTTTAATATCTCTGCGTATAGGCAGGAATCTCGCAAACTGAACTCAGCTTTGTGGTGGTGTCTTGTCTCATTCAGCCACCAAGGGATTACAGCGTTTTGAGGCCACCGAGCTTGGGTCTGCAGAGAAAAGTTGTGATGTAGCTCCCCGGCAAAGATTTCTTTTCATGGAGATCATTGACAAAAAGGTGGGTATCGGCTGAGTTAGTGATGCAGCCACTGCAAAACCTCTGGGCTCAGTTAGAACTTGGGAGTCATCCAAAAATGGAAAGAAGCAGAAGTCCCAGCAAAGGAAGAATACTTTTGGAATATGCAAAAATGGCAAAACTTACTGGAAGGATAAGAAATCAAGATAACAAACTTTTTATAAGAGAATGGAAATGGTTTATTGAATATTTACAGATAAATTGTAAACAGATAAGAACATTGGCAGGATTATTGTAATAACCTGCAGTTTCGTAAGAGTATATATTTAAAGTAGATGAATAAATGAGCAAATTAAGTTAATTTGGATATGCAGAAGATATTAAAAATACATTTAAGGAATCGCAGGAAGAGGAGAAAGGAAATCAAGTTTTGAAATGTCAAAATGATTGTAAAATCAGTCAAATGTATAAACTTGAAAAGTGTAGTAATAATAATAATAATAATAGAGCTTGAGAGCCGTCCCAGTCTGGATCAGCAGCCTGAGTCTGGTCTTGCATTGCTTCCCTTTCCCCCTCCAGCTGGTGCTGCATACCTACAACTGGTCGGTGGACCAGGGCAGTGCCCTGAGTAGCTCCCTCACCCGCTTGCTGCAGTGGCAGAATGCCCGCGCCCATGTGGTACACTGCCTGATCAGCCAGAAGCTTGGGCTCTTCCATCACTACTGCTACATGGACACCCCGTGGCATGAGGACAGCAAACAGGTACGCCCTGCTTTGTGCATTCCTGTGTGCAGGGCGCTCTGTCCACGACTGGCTCTCATTGATTATCTCTATCCAGGAGCAAAATCCCTTCCTGAACTCAACACTGGATGTGGATCTCCTGATCCGGAGCCCTAGCGTCCCCGCAGGCAGGGAGCCCGGTCGCCTCGGCAGCTCTGCCCGCATCCTGCAGCCTCTGCACTTCCCTCCGGATATGGTGCCCTTCGACGAGGCCCTCCGAGACGTCTCGGTCAACCAGCCTACCCTTCATAGCCCAGAGATGGCCACGCTTGATCGTGTGGCCCAGCACGGAGCTCAGTTTCTGGAGATCAAGAGCATGGAGCGGAAAGGTAAGTGGGAGGACAGGGACAAAGGACTGCACTCCCTGCAGCTGTATCCTAAAGGGCTGTTACAGCTCTTAGGACCTTTGCACAAGTCTTTGCCCATGAGGGGTTTACCAGGGCAGCCAAAAGCAAGGCAGTGGCAAGCTGTAAGAGCGAACGGGGTGGAAAGGAATGGCTTAGAGTAGAGTCATTCTCTGTCTGCCTGCTGTGCATATGTGAGCTGATGTGAAACAGTGAGGTGGCTTGAGTTGTCTACAGGGAAAGCTTGCCAGAAAACGAGGTCTTGTTTGAGGAAGGGCCCTGGGGCTCTGGTCCTGCTCTCCTCAGCCTTTGCTCCTGTTCCACAGAGCTGGAGAAACAGATGAAAATTGAGAATCTCTTTGTGACGTGGCAACAGCGGTCTGCACAGTCCAACATGCCCATCACTGTGAGTTGTGGTTTTTCAAGGGGGTGGGAAAGCGGCTGGGATGTGGGCAGCACTTAGGTGCCAGGGCCTTGACGCTGCTTCCCAAATATTGGGGTGGGGTGGGGCTTGTTCTTGGGAAACAGTGAGGGGGAAGGTGGCATGGGATGGGGTGTTCTTCCCCAGGAAAAGGCAACATCATATGAAGCTACAGGACCTAGAAGGTATTGTGCCTCAACACCCGCCTTTCAAGAAAGCAGAACCCAAGACACTGTTAATGCTTCGCACATGGAAGCCATCTGCACAATTCCTCCTCCCACCTTCAGCAGCTGATCCGAGGTTATGGGATGTTGGGTGGGGTTGCATGTTGGGGAGGACACAGCAGGAGCACACAAGTGCCACTGCTTCCAGTGGAAATTGTACCTGCCCTGAGAAAGTCTGTTTGTGCACTGCGCTACTTCGTTCTTGGCTATGTTCAGGGAAGGTCAGGTGGAATGACATGAAGGCCATTCCCCTCTATGATCGCTCTGGTCTTTCATTATTGCCGACAGATGAGAATATGTACCATGTAAGCAGCTGTTTTGTAGTGTAAATTGAGAAGGTGACGTAAGGTGCCTCAGACGCTATCCTTACCATCATGCTCATGGGATGTTGTGATCTAGACTGAGGTAGGTAAGAGATGTCATCTTGCATAATAAGCTGACGTGAGCATGTGAGTGTCGAATCTCACAAGGATAGAGAAATGAAACTGGGCTGTGCGTGCTTCTCTTAGCAGCCTCTCTTAATGGGGATGAGGTGGGTCTTTGTTTTAATAAGTGAATGCATTGCTTCATATGGAACTTCAAAGGAAACATTAGGCTTAGGGCATGTCTGCAAGCGGGATTAGAGCACAAGAGCCTTCTCTTGTGGCTTCTAGCAACTGGCATTCGGAAGCATCGCTGCCTCCAGCTGTGAAGGAAGAGCAGAGCCATCATGGCTCTTAGTCATTGACAGCCCCCCACCCCACCCCCCAATGCTTTCAGAAATGAAGAAATGGGCACATCATCTAAATACCACAAGATCGGAGCTGTGTTGTCAAGCTGCCAATGCCATGCTTGCATATGTTTTCTATGGGCAGGAGCAAAATCCTTGGGAACTGAGCTCATGATCACTGTGTAACTCTACCAGCTCCACTTTTTAATCTCCCAAAGTTTTTACGTGGCCAGGGTTGACACTTTGGGGCCATATGGAATGGGCCTGGAGACCTGTCGTAGTAGTTAACCTCCTGTGTCTGTGTCTGTGTCTGTGCAGCTTGCAGATCTGGAAACGCTGAAGCAGTCCTCCCGCCTGGTCCATTATTGTGCCACGCCGCTGCTCTTTGATCCCACCTTCCGGCAACAGATTCAGGCTGACCAGCAGAACAAGCCGGAGGGGAAGGTGAAGTGGGGGGTGGGGAGAGGGGAGAGAGTCCTTCATAATGCTGTCATTCCTCCCTCCTATATTTCTTTTATCCCCGGCTATACCAGGAAGAGGCAGCTGAGGAGACACTTACAGGAGGCCTTTCCCATGGCTTAGAAGGAGGTTGGCAGAACCTAGGTGATGGAGTTGAGAGTCTCCTAGCCTTTGGGGGCTAGAAGTGGGGCAGGACCCTACTCTCTATGTATCCCCAAGTTTTATCAAAGCTGATTTCTGGGGATGGGTTTGATTATTTATTATTAAATTTGTACACCGCCCTGTACAAATGCTCTGCGGCAGTTCCCAACATGAAACCACAATATTGAAAAACACAAAATCCATAATAAAAATAAGAACAGAAGCAAACCAATAATCTCCCCCTTCCACAGCTCCTTTTTAAAGGCATTGGATGAAAACTGCAAGCGCAAATATGACTCTAAGGCAGGAGTGGCTAATCTTTTTTTTCACCTGAGCTACATGCACTCTGCCCAACCCTCCTGAGACCTCAAAGGTTCCCCACACACATGCGCATCATCTGAGAAGTGGGGTATAGGCCCTCCCTGCCCATTATTGATCTGATGACTGGATTTGGGAGAGGGGGGAGGACTTTTGCCTCGCTGCAAAATTCAGTGGGGTCTTGGGGATAGGATAGAAAAATGTGCTTGGAAGGCCATGCCACCTCCTGAATAGGCAGTTAGCCACCCTTCCTCTAAGGCACTTTTTCTCTTGCCTACTCAGAGGAAAAATGCCAATTCTCCCATTACTCCTTTGCCATTCAGAAGCGACACCGCTCAAATGACTCCACGGCATCTGGTAGGGACCGCAGCCACAGCTGTGACTCCGCAGAGGGGCTGCCATGTCGGACCAAGGATGAGGCCTGGCTGCTGGAGCTGTGCCACACTTTCCTGCAGCAGTACATCCAGTACCTGCAGAGCATGGGCTTCATTGTGGTGCAGGTGCGCCCGCCGTCCCCCACCCGCAGGTCAGTGGGGATTGTTGGAAGGGCACAAGTGGTAGTAGTAAATATATGGATCCACCTATTGTGGCAACTGTAATTCATCCTAAACAGTTTTTGTTATTGTACCTTCAGGTGACTGTAACTCCGACACTTTACGGCAGGGGTCGGCAAAGTTTTTGTGGCTTGGGCTGGTTCCCGGTCCTGTAGACGCTGCAGTGGGCCGGAGTGCGCACGCATGTGCGAACACTATTTCCGGCGCGGAGGAGGCGTGCGCAGCTTCCCATTGGCTGCAGGAGCTTCCTGCAGCCAATGGGAAGCCAGCCAACGTCGTGGAAGGCGGTCCCCACTCTGCTCCACACCGGTTTAGCGCTGCGTACAGGAGCTGACCGAGTGGGCGGCAGGTGTCCCCGAGCGGGTGGTGGTGATCCATGGGCCGCAGGTTGCTGACCCCTGCCTTATGTTGAAGGGTGGGTAAGACATCAGGTTAAGAATAATGATGGCAATGCTGCTTTGGGCAGCAACAAGTTTATGGAAGACATGCTTGCGTAGAGGGAGGGAGAATCAGCAGGAGCTCCATGGGAAGTGTGTCGTAGAAGAAATGTGTTCACTCGCAGATCCCAGTCTGTTTCTAACCCCCAGCACACCCTTGTAGATCTTTAATCTTCCCCCTCCCTGTCTCTCTTCTGCTCTTCAGCAGCACCAGCAGGATCCGAGCTCTGGCAGCAATGGGCATTGAGGGCCGGGCCTCTTTCTCATACACCAGGCCAAAGGCGGAGGGGAGCCCAAAGGTGAGCAGCCTGGCTTTTTGAGTTGGGGGGACTGGGGGGACCTTCTGGCAGGGAGAGAGGGCTTGGCCATTGGAGAGAGGGGTGGAGCATGTTCCCTAGGCATCAACAAAGGGTCCCGGAGCTTGTTCCAGCGCAAATGCTTCTTTTCCAGAGCGCCAGCCCTCCTGTCACCACGTACCACTTGCAGAGAGCTCTGCCTGGGGGAATCGTGCTCATGGAGCTAGCTTTCCAGGTGAGTGGAAACAGGTTTTCCTTCCGTGCTAAGCACAACAGGCCAGACCAGTTTGTTTAAGGGGAAGGGGCCATCGCAAGTGCTCATAGGCCAGTTGGGTGAGGTGGGTCTAAGTTGAAGGTATGGCTAACCACTCAACTGACACACACACTCAATGGGCATTGGGGGAGGGATACAGGTTGAGACAGCCTATACTGAATGAAAGCAGGAATACCACCTCTAAACAGTTTTTAAAGCAGTAGTTAACATTGTAGATGCCGGTGTGTAGTTGTTAGGGGCAGATAAAAGCCAATATCTCATCCGGTGCCGTTCTCCTTAGGGCTGCTATTTCTGTGTGAAGCAGTACGCACTGGAGTGCTCACGAATCCCCATGGGGCAGACTGTCAACTCACAGGTAATATTGCTATGTTCACTCTCTTGCCCTGGAGGTCAGAACTGGATGGCTATAGAAAATAATGAAATACACATGCATGGAATCCCTTGAGAAGGAGGTGTAGGAGTTGAGCTTGAGGACTCAATAAGGCCACATTTTCCCTTGGCTGTGGCTTGGTAATCTTCCCCATTGTGTTCGCTTGCTTATGCTGTGCCTCAGCAGAGACAAACAATGATTGCCACTATCCTTTTGTGCTGCACTGAGCTTTAAGCTTCCTTCAGGACTTGGGCGTTGCCCCCAGGATCTCTGAGTAACAGAAGGCATGCCTTCTCCTGAAGATCTAGACATGCTTGACCCAGGCAAGAGAGGCTTCCCCTACTCTTGAATATATGTGAGGATTAGAAGTGCCAGCCTGTACCCTTCCTGCAAGGTAGGACTGGCAACCTTTTGAGCAGTGGTTCTGCAGCAGGCATAGCTTTGGTTTCTGAAATGGAGAGCATCTTGGTTCCTGCTTGCATGCTGCTCAACAACCCTTCTCAGGTTCGTAGCTACAAACAGCCTCTGTTATCTCACTAGGTGGAGCTGACGCCAGAATATGAGAGGATACGCTCCCATTTTGTCTGGGTTTGTTTTGTGTTTGGTCATGCCTATTCCTGGTTTAGCTGGGTCTCTTACTGTATTATGGGGTGTCAGTCCATGGCACTGGGCACTGTGAGAGGTTGGGGGAAGAAAGCTGGTCCTACAGAGTTCCATTCCTTCCTTCAAATGCAGAAAATATCTTGCCATCTCCTCACTCTGTCTGGGGTTTGGAGACACCCACTGACACCCTGAATTCCAGTGACACCGGACACATTCTAGAAGCAGCAGCGAGTTGCCTGAGCAGCTCTATAATCTAGCCTGAGCAGATTATAGTATATGAACTGCCTGCACTAATGTTAGCAACAATTGTGTACTGTAACATTTAAAGAGATCTTGACACATGCAGCCACTACCTGAGCTGTGGAAGTCTGGCATGTAGATGCTGTAAGTGTAGATGCCAGCACAGAGGCTAAGGATATCTGCTACATGGGGTACAGTCAATAATAATAATAATAATAATAATAATAATTTATTATTTATACCCCGCCCATTTGGCTGAGTTTCCCCAGCCACTCTGGGCGGCTCCCAATCAAGTGTTAAAAACAATACAGCATTAAATATTAAAAACTTCCCTAACCAGGGCTGCCTTCAGATGTCTTTAAAAGATAGGATAGCTGCTTATTTCCTTCACATCTGAAGGGAGGGTGTTCCACAGGGTGGGCGCCACTACCAAGAAGGCCCTCTGTCTGGTTCCCTGTAACCTCACTTCTCACAATGAGGGAACCGCCAGAAGGCCCTCAGCGCTGGATCTCAGTGTCCAGGTTGAACGATGGGGGTGGAGACGCTCCTTCAGGTATACAGGACTGAGGCCGTTTAGGGCTTTAAAGGTCAGCACCAACACTTTGAATTGTGCTCGGAAACGTACTGGGAGCCAATGCAGATCTCTCAGGACCGGTGTTATGTGGTCCCGGCGGCCGCTCCCAGTCACCAGTCTAGCTGCCGCATTCTGGATTAGTTGTAGTTTCCGGGTCACCTTCAAAGGTAGCCCCACGTAGAGCGCATTGCAGTAGTCCAAGTAGTCAAACCTTGGTTGTCGAACATAATCCATTCCGGAAGCCCGTTCAGCTTCCGAACTGTTCGACAACCGAGGTACGGCTTCTGATTGGTTGCAGGAAGCTGCGTTGGACGTTCGGCTTCTGAAAAATATTCAAGACCCGGAACATTTACTTCTGGGTTTTTGGCGTTCGGGAGCCGAAACATTCCAAAACCAGAGGCGTTTGGGAGCCAAGGTTTGACTGTACCAATGTGGGAAAATGCTTTCTTCAGTGGCTTCCACATAGAAGCTGCTGTCTTTAAATCTGCTTTTAGTCAACTGTGAAACAGAATCCCACAACTTAAACAGCTTAAATTTGCTACAGCTTCACAGAAGTCTCAACAAATTATGTGAACGTTGGATTACTTGATTACCTAATTTTCATACACCAGGCCAGCCTATCAGCAGAACTTAACTGCTTAGAGAAACGTGTCAGGTTGCCCTATGCTGTCTTAACTGCACTGCTAGAGGAGGAGGAGGAGGAATGGGGCTCGTAGGATACTGACACATGGGAGAGGGGAAAGGGTGAACTTTTTGAAGAATATTTAAAAGTCACTTTAGCACTGGACATTTTTTGGTCTAAGCATTTAGGAGATGCTGCCTTAGTCTTTACAAACTCATTCTTCCAGTCTTTGGAAATGAGCACCTGCTTCTCTTTTTTTTATATAAAAAAGAGAAGCTGGAATTCTGACAAATCAGATAGAAATATTAGAATGAAATGTAAACAAAAATGCTTGCAATTGGCAATCGAATTGGAACTGTGTAAAATGCACATGCCTTGTTTGTAATTATGGGAACGTCTCTTGTGCAAACTTCTTAAACAGCTTTTTAAAAAGCAGATCCTTCAAAATTTTTCTTCTTGTGCCTCCTTAGGCATCTGCTCCCATTTATATGTTTTCCTCCTGAATTAAACCAAGCCAGCACCTCCTAAGTTGCCTCGAATCCTCACTCACCCACAGAGCACCCTGGGTGTGCACAATGGGGTGAGCTCCCGAAGCTCTGTCCCACCTCCTGCCAACCTAGCAGTTCGAAAGCACACCAGTGCAAGTAGATAAATAGGGACCGCTGCAGTGGGAGGGTAAACAGCGTTTCCATGCGCTCTGGCACTCATCACGGTGTCCTGTTCCGCCAGAAGCACTTTAGTCACGCTGGCCACATGACCCGGAAAGCTGTCTGTGGACAAACACTGGCTCCCTTGGCCTGAAAGCGAGATGAGCACCAGAGCCCAAAGTCGCCTTTGACTGGACTTAACTGTCCAAGGGTCCTTTACCTTTACCCGTCTAAGCCTTAAATATACTACTTTAAAGAAGGGCCAGACAACTTATTTATTTGATGGCAAGATCCACTGTGATGGCTTAAAGTTATCCTAATTGTATCTCAGACGCATGATTCTGTACTCAGAAACCTCCAATGGCGGAGATGGGTGTTTTATTTTCCACTCTTCTGTGGAAATTGTGGTACGGCCTTTGCCTCCACCTCCCACAGCCACAAAATTCCTCCACTTCCACATATGTTGAGTAGAACTTCAGGGGTGGTAGCACCTCACACATGGCCCTGCATGGCCCTCCTGAGACAGGAACTACAGGAGCCAGTCCTACTACATGCTGCTGCACCCCAATTTTCCTGTAGTGGGGGAGGGTTGATTCTCCTGCTCACTGCAATAGGGAAGGCTGTGCAAATCAGACTTGCCACTGCTATCCTCTATGGTAGAGAACCTCCTTGCAGTTCCAGACCTCCCTAACTCCAAGAGGTAAAGGACCTTGGCAGAGCTCTGCCAGACTTTTTAGTTTGCCTATTTCTATCCTTTCTCTACTTTTTTTGCCCTTTAGGAGTGTTAAGAGTAGAAAGTTTTTTGTTTCTTTTTTTTTGTAAGAAAAAGGTTGCTGAGACAATTTAAACTGATCACAGAGACACTGCAGCTTTGATGTTTCTCATCCGGGCAGGGGAGATCACCCTTGTGTTACTGATGGAATCTTTGGTGGATCCCTTTGAAAGGACCTTCAGCAGAAGCAAATGGAGGACCCACATGGAAACCACAGTCCCCATGAGCCACTGCTGTATTATTGTGCCCATTTTACCTGCATCTGAGATTGGCACAGTAGGCAATTTAGTAACCAGGCAAGGTCCTCCTCCAGCTAGCTCTCCTGCAGGTTGAAGCGAAAGGGCAAAAGGGCTAGCGTAGGTAAAAGGGCACCCAGGGTTCAGTGGCTAGCGACAGGGGCACTCTGGTGTTTTCTGTAAGGTATGACCTAGCTGCCTAGATTGGATAACATCAGGCTACTTCCCTCACTGCTTCCTTTTCTCTGTACTTTTCTGAACCCCCTCTATACAGCACCATACAAAATAGTACTTCATCTTCCTTAGGCAACTGACTTCAGGTCTGATTTCTCTCTCTCTTCACCTTAGCTTTCTATGCTCTTCACGGAGGAGTGCGACAAGGTGCGTGATCTCATGCATGTGCACTCGTTCAGTTATGATTTCCACCTGCGCATCGTGCACCAGTACCTACTTGGATCCCATATGGCACTGCGGCAAGGCTATCACCTCACCAGCTTTCTGGAAGACTTCATTGCCCAGCACCCTGACATCCCCAAGTTTGGGCGCAATCACATCTTCCAAGGTGAGAACTTCTGGGGGCATTTGAGGAGATTTTAGACAGCTATAGCTCCGCACAGCCAACTGCACCTGTTCTGTGGACCCAGTAGGTGGCTGTCTTCTGAGAAGTCACAAAGGTCCTGTCATCATCTTCATTTCTGTCTTGGGACCTCTTGCTTTGCTTATAAGCTGTAAACCAGTCAGGTCCTACCAGCAATGAGCTTTCCAATCTGACATAGACAAGTGGGAAGGAGGTTTTACTCTAGTAGAATAAAAACTCAGTGTTGCTGGCCCTCCTTTAGCACACTTGGCTCCACATCGCTAAAGTACCTGGTTACATGAGCACAGAAGTATGCCAAAAATTTAAAGGACCTATAAAACCCTTCCTGTTTTTAACAACAGAAGGGCCTTTTGAACTCTGGAACCCAGTAGCTAAGAACCAGGGAGAAGCCGACTGTGTGGGCTTAAAGAGCCATTTTAATAAAACACTGTAAAGCAAGTGGCACTCAAACAAGAAGTTGAAGGGAAACATTTTAGAAGATCATTTTAGAAGATCAGCAGAAAGGAAAATAAACCCAAAACAGCGTGCTGACATAAGTAGCCAACAACTAAAAGTGATTTAAAGGAACAAAGCAGGCATTTCCCTTGACTAGCAGAGGCTAAGGTTTGCTGGCAAACATCTGGAAGATGTTTGCACTATCTCTGACAACAGCATCCAGAAGGAATGTAATAACACAAACAGGGACTCATTTCAGGTTTGTCTTGTGGAGCAGATAGACCTCTGTCCCCCACACAGACTCCCAGAACCAAGCGATCCTATGGCCGTAAGCAAACATATGGTAATCCTTCCGCTTCTCCTACAGGTGCGCTGACCTTGCCTACCAGCTCCATTACAGCACACCAGCTGTACAACTATATAACTGACCACGCCAGCACCTATCATATGAAACCACTGCGCATGGCCAAACCAGGAACTAGCGCTGAGGGCAAGAAGGGCACTCCCAGCCCTGAGCAAAATGAGTATGCTCTAGTCTCCATCTGGAACAGGCAAGTGATTTCCAGGCTGCTCTGATAAGCTCTTGTCTCAGTGCCACTTACGAGCATTTGTCTGTCAGCCCCACTCCCTAAACTTCATGTGCCATGCATCTTCTTCCACCTTTCGTCATTCAAAAGGCTGCCAGGTATCTCACCTTTTACGTCTTTCTGCAGTGATGATGATTATGAGGATGCACCTAACATAGCTAGGCACTCCACAAAGAGTAAATAATTCAGGTTCTGCCTAAGGCTTTATACTGTGTTACCTAGGACTTAACCCACTAGGTCCAGGACTGGTAAAAATGCACTTTGAATGATTGCAAATGAATAATTTGTTTTACGTGATTTAGGGAAAAAGATATTTTTATTTGCAGAAGTCCAATAAGGTACTATCAGTATTTGATTTACAAAGGAAGTATTTAATTTAAGGTGCCACAAGAAGGCATTTCATTTTGTACTCAACTCTTTAGTCCTCCACAACTAACATCCTTTATTGTAGAATAAGCTTTTGTAGGCTAGAGTCTATTTTTTCAGATGCATGGTGGCCTGGAAATGCAGACCACACTTCTCTGACGCTGTTTAACTCTCTAAATTTTTTTGGTAAATTGTACTCTATTCATTATTATTATTCCTAGTCACTTACCTAAATTTTGCTTATTGCGGAGTCTCGCATTCATTCTCAACCAGTCAAAAGCAACCAAGGACAATCCCGCCAACCAATTTTTACTGCTGCTGACAGTTGAGGAGAGGATATGGATAAAACGTTTGCCTCTAGAGACAGTGTTTGTGTTTTGCTAACATAGAATTTCTGATTCTTTTTGAGAAACCTCATGTGAGCAACTTGGCATTCAAATTACCGACTATTGTTTTCCTTCCTTGGATTGAACCGACTCTTGTCTCTTTGGTGCCACATTTTTTAACGCCTGCTACCAGAATCCCATTCCCACAGGGTGCTTTATCCTCTTCAAAAGAAATCCAATTTTGTCAACTTCTTTTGGAATACAACACAGCCACACTGGCTCCAGGTATGGCACAAGCAAGCCTAGCTTTTGCCTACCTGCGTATTAGGTTCTTGATTCAAACACCAAACAGTCTCTTCCAGGTGGCGTTAGCTTTTTGATCTCACACAGGTGGGACAAGGTCCTTGCATACCCCACAACTTTCCCCAGCTGCCTAGTCCTTGATATGGGATGCCCATGGATTTCCTAGATTTGCTTTTCAGGATAGAACCTTCTTACCAGCTTAGCTGTGACATGCTGGTGTTTTATGCCAGTTGCTCTGAAACTAGACACAGCAGTCCATTAAAAGGCTTGAGCATTCAGAGATGGGGGAAATGTCAAATGTGGGGCATTTTTCACAAAATACTTGTGTGTACAAACCTTTTCTAGCACTGGGGAGGCTTCAAACACTAGCTTTCTGCATTACCAGGCTGCTGCAGTTACCAATATCTGTTTGCAAAACAGACATGATTCTAATAAAAAAAAAGAAGACACAAAGTTTTTTATGCTGCTTGGATGGTAGTATAAGGTGCAGATGTCTGTTCTGGGGCATATATTCCTGGACTGAGAAACTTGACACAGAATGGTCCTTGTATCAGGCTCATCTCTTGGCTTTCTGATGTGTAATATATCCTACAACTCCAAACTCTTTGATGTATTCCTAGCGACTGATTTTTCTCTCCTAAATTGCTTTGATTTTATTTTTGCCTAAACTGTACTATGTGGCAATGGGGCTATGAACCCAAAAGCTGACACGTATGTCCGACTCTCACTCACATCATTCTACAGTGGTGAGTCAAGTCACGGGTGTAACACTGCTGTTCTCCACCCCCACCTCCCTCACTTGTAGGAAACAATAGGGTCTATTTTTGGTTCAATTGAACTACCCGCTGCAGTGCAAGTCCATTTGGCTGCAGTCCACACTGTGGCCCAAAAGGACTGCAGCTGCTTTCTTGACCGCGTAGAAAACCCCTTGCATTCTTCCCTTACAGCTCTGGCTCCTATAAGGATTCGGAGGGGTTGCGTCACCACGACGACTTCGATGTCTCCATGCTTGTGTTCCACAATGCGGCTCCCTTTGAGGAGCAAAGTGAGTCAGAGCGACATATGCTAAGGTAAGAGATGAACTGGGAAATTGCAAGTCAGGGGGAAAGCCACTTGTCTGAGCAATTACAAGGTCGAACAGCCTTGACTGTTCAGACTGTCCACCTTAAAAGGGAGCAGGCTTTGTGAGTCAGAGTCTGCGCATGTCCTGTTCACAGGATGTTTATGTTTTCTGTTGCTTTTGTTTCTCTGTGTCGGAGACACTGACGCAGGCAGTCATGTCTTTTTTTGTTCTGATCAACGCTGAATAAAACTTGTAAATAATGCTCTCCTGAGTGCGACTTTTGCTGTGACTATCTGCTGATAGAGTGTGCATGAGCTCTGGAATGTGGCAAGATATTTTCTAGAAACTCATGTCGCTAATTGCTGATACTGCGTGCCTACGGGAGATCGATGGATTGTCCGGCAGATGGCTTGGGGCCATGATGGACTTTGTCTCCCTGGCAGTATCCCAACACAGACATGCAGTGTGCCAAAAAAGAAGAATTGAGCAGCTTATTGGCAGCTGGGTGATGTTTAATAATAATAATAATAATAATGATAATAATAATAATAAATTTTATTTATACCCCGCCCTTCCCAGCCAGAGCCAGGCCCAGGGCGGCTAACACCAATAAAATCACAGTAAAAACATAATAGGGGGCGGGGAACCGATTTAAAACACAGGTTAAAATGCAATTTAAAACGCAGCCTCATTTTAAAAGTAGCCGATAAATCAAGATCATAAGGGGAGGGAAACATAAGGGTCAGACTGAGTCCAAACCAAAGGCCAGGCGGAACAGCTCTGTCTTGCAGGCCCTGCGGAAAGATGTCAAGTCCCGCAGGGCCCTAGTCTCTTGTGGCAGAGCGTTCCACCAAGTCGGGGCCAGTACTGAAAAGGCCCTGGCCCTAGTTGAGACCAATCTAACCACCTTGCGACCTGGGACCTCCAAAATGTTGTCATTTGTGGACCTTAAGGACCTTAAGTTTGGGCTGCAGGGACCCAGTCTAGGCCATGGGTTGACCAGGTACTTAATGGACACGTGAAGTGGAGAGCAGCACAATTGCTGTTTATCTGCAAGAGGCCACACTGTGGGGCTGTTGGTGAGCGAGATAGGCAATAAGCAGCAATGGCAACTGTTCCCTTCCTCCCAGGTTGCACTTCTACGTGATCATGACAAGCCAACGGGAGCTGTTTCCACGACTAACGGCTGACATGCGCCGTTTCAAAAAGCTGCCACGCCTGCAACGGGACACGCTGGAGCCAGTTCTGGGACGTGCCGCCTGGGAGACGGCAGAGGGGGGCTGGCAGCGGAAGGAAGTGCCAGAGCCCTGGGAGGAGGTGGAGGACAGTGGGGAGTTCTATGCAGGAGGTCCCCAGGTCAAGGTGGGCCCCGGGCTCTTCTACACATCCCCGCTCTTCCCGCTTCTTGCCTCCGAGGTGGCTGCTGCCCAGAAGCAGCTCAGCAGCATGGTCCAGCTTGCCAAGTGCCACTGCCGCCGAGACAACCTCTGGAAGAGGCTCTTCCTGCTTGAGCCGCTTGCCTCCGACAAGCTCAAGCTGGGCAAGCTCTCCCTCGGCGAGTTGGAGGAGCTGCTGGACGCCGTGCACAGGAAATCGATTGCTGACATTGATCCCCAGCTGGTGAGTTGAGCTGGTTGAGTCAGTGGGGGTGCATGTTGTATGGGTGTATGCACACTTGTGACATACTGTGGTGGGCAGAAAACACTCAGAGGACCCCAGCATGGTCCAAGCTACGGGATGCTAAAGAGCCCTGCTGGAGCAGACCAGAGCCCAACTAATCTAGCAGTCTGTTCTCTCAGTGGCTTACGTTCATTTTTCTCTCTCTTTGTGGCAGAGTTGCTTCCTCACCATGACAGTCTCCTGGTACCAGAGTCTTATCAAGGTGCTGCTGAGCCGTTTCCCCCAGAGCTGCCGCCATTTCCAGAACGCAGATGCTGGCACCCAGTACCTGGTAAGTCCCTTCCAGGGTCATTTTCTCCAGCTGTGGGCCTCTCCTTGCTAACCAGCTTTCCTGTCAGTTAAATCAAGAGCGAACTTTGATCATTTTGCTTGGTCAGGTTTGGCATTTTCACTCATCCGTGCCAGCTCCCCTTGGCTCGACAATGGAAAGAAATTCTGAAATGCAGTCCTTCAGGTTTCTTTCCTTATTAGAAGCTGCCCTCTAGTTACTGGAAGGTTGTTTCAGTCCAGGATTTGGAGGTGGGTGAGTGAGATCAAGAGGCTTTATGGACTTCTGTTTCCCTTGCCCACTGGTTTTTTCCTACCCATCTGCCCTACCCCCCAGAAAAAAGTTCTGACCCTCCCAGTGGGAACAATGCAATTATTGCCTTGCTTCCTTTAATGTGAGGGATGATTCTCTCTTGATGCAGCGCTCTTGCCCCCAACTCTGCAGGTCGTGCTGAACCAGAAATTCACAGACTGTTTTGTGCTCGTATTCCTTGATTCCCATTCAGGAAAAACGGTAAGACCCTTCTTCATAGCTCAGCAGTTCAAGGGGTACTGGTGACATAAAACTTCTGAGCCCTGGGGCTGCTGTTTTGGCTTTGAACGTCTAACTAGCTCTGCCCGCTCTGTGTTGCACCAGGCACTGCTAACTCAAATGTCCTGGAGTTATCCTCTCTGAACAGCCTTCCCAAGAGGAGTCTTTGGCCTAAGGAAAGGCTATCGGGGAGCTTTGTTGCTTAACTATGGGCAGATGGCTAGATCCCTGTGCCTTGCTAGTGCCATTTGTTAACCCAGCTGTCTTTTTTTGCAGAGCCTGACCGTGGTGTTTCGAGAACCATTCCCAGTACAGCCCCAGAACAGCGAGAGCCCCTTGCCGCAGCTGGTGTCCACGTACCACCATCTGGAATCGGTCATAAACACAGCTTGCTTCAATCTCTGGACAGGGCTGCTCTAGTGTTGGTTGGCTCCTTCCACCTGGGGCACACTGCACAGGCCCAGCTGGGGCGAAGAGGGCACCGCAAGTGGCAGAAGCACACATGGGGGACCGTAGTGGGCGATGTGAGGCTACAGCTGGCTGGGTAAGAGCTTGGTTAGGACACTTTGAAGCCTGACTGAGCCGAACAGAATCAAGGGAGGGGGACCGCTCTGGAGACCAGAGCACAGCCTTAAGCGGGGGGGGGGGGGGCGGTAAGCACCTTCCCTAAAAAACTATAGGCTGAGGCATATATGGACAGATGTGCCACCTTCCCTTGGGCACTTTGGCGCCAGGGCTCAAAGGCAAGTGGAGCTGGTGACTTGGCCTGGTGCTTTTAAGAGTGACTCATTGGATGAGTTTTAGCGAGAGGGAACTGCACAATGATGGGAATTTTTATATATATATGAAGTGAATGTACAGTAAATTAAATAAAATGGATCATTAATTATAACAATAAAAATCTTTTGTCATAGCTTTTCCCCTACAAGCTGCTGAGTTTATCCCTGGCGCAAAGCGAAGTAGGTTCCCACCAGCCTGCCAGAATGGCGTATCTGCCAGGATGCACTAGACCAGTGCCAGGGTCTTACTCCAGGCTTGCATGATGGTGCCAGTTTCTTTTCTAAGGAAGTTGGTTCTGGCTCAGATTGAATTGTGCCACTCATGTCTTCCCATGGTTATACGCTGCAGTGTAAGATCTGGAATGCGAGTAATTTAAGTGGCAGCATGCAGATAGAACCTAGAGGCTAAGATGCCCCTTTAAATCTAGGAAATCTCATCCGGGGCCACTAAGTGGTACTAAAGAGCTAGATCTGGAGAGGCAGGGACTTCCCTTCCTTTGTGCCACACTAGTCCCCATTCTTGTGAAAGGCATGCCAGCATCATTGCTTAGTGTGATTCCAGGAAGGTGAACTTTCCTTTTTAGTGGGTCAACCCTTATAACTGCAATGAGTAATTAAAATAAAATAGAAGGATTTATTTCTTACTGGAAAGACCGGGCAGGAATGTAATCTGTTCAGGAACACAAAGTGACACAAGAGTGAAGCCTTTAGCCATTCCAGGACTTGAGTTGGAGTAAGACCCTAGGAATGCTATTTTGTTTTATTAGGAGGCAAAATGCATCCAGAACAAGAGACAAACAAAAGAACATTGCCTTTCCAAGTTGGCATGTAGTGATTGCACTCCACCTCTGATGCTCTTTCGTCCAGTTTTTCAGCTGCTGAACTTAACCCCTCAGCTTCCACTATCCAGTACACCGCGACTCTTCCAGTACGAGTGCAGCCAGCCCAGCCCTTGCAATGTACCTTCTGGAAGGGAAGCCACAAGCATCAGCAACAGCAATTTTGCACTTTTTCAGCACCACCACCATGCCCAGTTTTGGTAGTTGTGAAGCAGAAACAGTGGGTTACATCAGCAGCCTAAAAATTTCCCAGCTATAACGCAAAATCTCCCCCCATTCCCTTGGGATAATTTAAGCAGACTTGCCTTTGGGCTTGTACTCGCATCCTACAAAGCCACTGTAACTCATTGACTCCAGCAGCTGGAAGAGGTAAGGGAAGTTTAATTCACCAGGGCTGTCGGGCTCATGCCGTCCTGGTACCTGGGCAAACTGAACGTGTCCTGTAGAGAAAGGAGGAAACCATCAGGGGCAAATGAAGGACTAGGCATAGGGGTCTGACGAACTGTTTTGACACCACAGCAGCATCTGTCCCTTTGCTTAGGAACAACCCCTGCAAGGGATCCCAGTTTTGAAGCCATACTAGGGAACCACTGCACCTTTCCTGTCTTACCAATAATTGGGAAATACTTTTCCAAGTTCTGAGTCAGGTTACCATCCATGATCTGGCAGTGGAAAATGTCCTGTGGAGTAAACATAAGAAGGCACAGTCTACCTGCCTTCCAGAGGCTGGACTAGGCCTCCCATCAGCCCCAGCCAAAATGGCCAATGGGCAGGGGGTGGTGGGATCTGGAAGGCACTAGGTTGGGGATGCTCAGCCCCTCTCATCCCTCTGGTGGGCCTCTTGTTGCACCAACCAGTGTAATAGGTCCTCTAAGCCCAACACCTACTTCTATGGCTGAGGCCAAGTTTTCCTTAGTGACACTCACCAGCTGCAGCTTCAGGCTGGGGCTTCCCACCTTCTTCAAAATGGCAGCAGCTGAAGAAAAATGGAGATTCACAATATCACAACTGATTCTGGGGGTGGGGGGTGAGGAGCAATTTGCTCCATTTTCTGTCATTGTGCAGTCCCAAAGCCCATTCTCCAGCAACTTCTAGAACATGAGTGGGGAAATTGTGGCCCTTCAGATGTTGCTGTATTCAATCTCCTATTGAATAGGAGCGGTGGCCAGCGGTGAGGGATGAAGAGTTGTAGTTCAGCAACATATAGGGCGTCACAGGTTTCCCACCCTTGCTTTAGAATTGTGTATCCAAAACTTGGGGCTCTTGCTGCTTTTGAACTGCAGTTCCCATCGTCCCTGACCACTGGTCCTGCTAGCTAGGGATGGTGGAGTTATAGTCCCAAAACAGCTGGAGACCGAAGTTTGGGAAACACTCCTTTAGAAGGACAATTCCCTATCTGTGGAGAAGGGAGGAGTCATAGGCCATGGCCTACCTTGCTCTGGAGTAGTCAAGAAGTAACGGGGATCAGTAATCCGGCTATTAATGGGCTCCAATAATCCAGTGATCTTTTCCTGTAATACCAGAGCAAGGAAATGGAAGAATAGCCACTCAGTGCCTTAGGCTAGCAAGCGAAGGAAAGATGCTGCTGGGCAGCTCACCTCTTTTATATTATTTCTTGTCACTGGCCAGTTTCCTAGCCACTGCCACTAGTGCCCAATCACTCCTTTGTGCCCTCCTAATAACTGGGGTGGAGCTTCTTTAAGCAGGTCTTGCTAACACTTTGCCTCTTGGGTTCTCTGGAGCTGGAGCTCAGGAAAGTGTCTCACCACCAAATGGAATCAGTGTTGAATAGGCACCTCACCCGTCTGATGAAGCAGTGCAGGTATGCTGCTTAACAGCCCCTACCTGAGCCAGGACGTCAGCAGCATATCTGAGGTTCTCAATGAAGGTGGCTTCCATCTCTGCTGACACTTCCTCCCTCTCAGCACCCAAAGGAATTCGCCCGGCCATAATGTGGATCCTGTAAGCAAAAGGCTGGATCAGGATGGAAGAGGGACAGAAGCAGCGGTGCTGACGGCTTTCTGCCCTCAAGGCATCCACGATGCTGATATGATGCTACTGAAGTGAAAGCTGTCTCATGCCCGCTTTAATTTTCCCCTGAGGAGATGCACTGACCCACGAAGCCACCTCCAGCACTCAGCAATCAACACACATCACTACACCAGGGTTTCAGCTGGGATAAGCTAACACCTGCAACATGTAGAAGGAATGACAAGAACGTCTGTATCAAAATCATACAAACTATATTCTGTTATTTACCATGAGCTCAACTAGCTTGGCATAGATTATGAGCTCACAAACAGCACCCACAGGCCAGATACGCAAAATCACTATAGGCAGACTGACAAAACCTTAGTAGTATTTGATCACCATGCTGGACACACACACAATCAGTTGGGTAGGAATGATGATGTGCTTTCACCATTTCCATGCATGTGTTGCTTGAGGATGAATGGGATTTCTAACTAATTGGTGGTATCTAAAATAGTTAGTAGTCATGCTTAGTCAGCGGCTTAGTCATGCTGGCCACATGACCCGGAAGCTGTACGCCGGCTTCCTCAGCCAATAAAACGAGATGAGCGCCGCAACCCCAGAGTCTACCACGACTGGACCTAATGGTCAGGGGTCCCTTTACCTTTACCTACTAAAATCATACTTGGAGTGAACCCACTAAAATTGAACTTGCATTAGTTATGACAAATTTATGTCTGCTTGGTTTCAGTGTGTCTGTTTTACAGTTTAGCAAAATACCAAACAGTGTTGCCGAGTATGACTGCAAAAACAGACTGGTGTTAATTTTCCAAGTTAAAAGGGCATGGTCTTACACAAAAATAGCCAGCTGCACCACTTTGTTCTGCTTTCTTCGTGTAACGCAAAGTGCCATGCAAAATTGGTATTGCCGGTGAGCTTTTGGAAATATCCTAACATCTGTCACTCATTACTAGCCTGTGTCTTACTGCCTATGTTTTCTCTCCCTCCGCACTCAGAGGTGAGGTGTCTCATTCTGTTGGACAGCAGAGACTGCAAGCAACACTTCCATACTCAGTAATGCACCTAAATGGGGCTGCATGGGTTGGTTCATCCCTTTGATGTGGCTACTCATTTGAATCTCTGTTGACTACACTGCTAAACATCCCATCCAGAAGTTCATGTCCGCTTGAGATGAACATGGGAAATTACTTTATATTGGTAGGTTACAGGTCTGTCTAGCTTAGCAATGTCTACACCAGCCTTCCCCAACCTTGGGTCCCCTGAAGTCATTAAACTACAATTCCCATTGTCCTTGACCACTGGCCATTGCTAGCTAGGAATGATAGGAGTTGTAGTACAACAAGTTCTAGGGACCCAAGGCTGAGAAAGGCTGATCTACAGTGATTTGCAGTGGCTCTCCAGGGTTTCAGGCGGGTGTCTCTCAACACTACCTGTAGATGCCAGGGATGGAACATTAAACCTTCTGCATGCAAAGCAAAGAATTGTAGTGTTGGAAGAGACCCTGAGGATCATCTAGTCCAACCCCTTGCAATGCAAGAATATGCATTTGCTCTTATCACTGAACTATGGCTCCTCCCACAATGAGAGTGATAGACCGGCTGCGTCATGTCTAAAGATGCCACTGTGTTCAGAAAATAAAAGCTGTCAGGGGTTCAGGAGCAGAGGCACAGGAAAGGGAGGAAATAGAGAGCGAGGGGGAGGAGTCCGAAGGAAATGTTAGCGATGACAGCGGTCCGAGGTCTCTGAGTCTTTCCAGCGAATCGGAAGATTCACAGAAAGGGGCTCCCTTGGTCAGAGCAAGGGGGTGCCGAGGGGACACCCCAGGAAGAAGGGGCCAGAGGGGACTCAGAGAGCAGCAGTTGGAAATCAGGACCAGCGTCCACACCAGAGTGCAGTAGGGGAGGAGTCCCAGGCATCGGGATCAGGCGGCGCACTGCCAGTGGGAGGAGATGAGTCTGGATTGGCCTCGCCTCCATCGGGGAGCGTGGAAGCGGTCGAGAGGACGGTTGTAGGCTGGGCGCGCGCGCCAGGGGCAAGTGTCCGGGAGGGCGGCGCAGTTGGCCGCCCGGATAGGGAGCCAGGTCCCACCGCCCGCCGCCAAGAGCGGGCCGCGTCACGGGGGTCAGCGTCAGAAGAATCCAGGAAGGAAGGGACCCCGGGGGGTAGCAGGACCCAGAGGAGAAAGGAGAGACGTAAGAGGTGGAGTAAGGCTAGAATCTTAAACTGGTGTACAGGGGGCGGAGACTCAGATGGAGCTTCGCCGATCTAACCCCTAGCCGTAGAGCTGGGGCGCTCCGGCTTGAAAATGGAAACTGTACTTCAATAAAGACTTTTGTACATTACTGCCGGCTAGCGTTGGTCCTCTGTGAGCTGGGACCTGGAGCCAGCTCTGACAGTAAGCTCCATCTCCAAAAGTTTTGCACCAAAAACCTCGTAACGTGAGTGGACGCAGCGAGGGGAGAAGATTGGTGCTTCGCGAGCTCACAAAAGTCAGGCAAGATGACTACAGAACAGCAACTAGCAGCCCTGCAAAATGCAGTGACACAACTCAACGCGGAGGTACTCGCATCCAGGAAAAGGGAAGAGGAAGCGGCTGCCGCCTGCAGGGATCTCAAGCCAGGTTGGAAGTGCTTGCTAAGCAGGGGCAACCGGGACCCAAATCAGAGGATTGGGCTGGGGAAAGAGGAGGCAGCCTGGTATCTCATTTCGATGGGAATTTGCAGCAGTACCCTAACTTCCGAGCAGACGTGCTGTTTGCGCTGGAACTGCTGGATAAAGACTTTAGAGATGAGCAAGAGAAGGTGGGGTTTATCTTGTCCCATTTGCATGGGGAAGCTAAAGCGTGGCTGCGCAATCTGTGGAGAGATAAGGATCCGGCGCTCCAAAATGCGGATGCATTCATTAAAGCGATGGATTCGTGTTTGTTATCAAAGCTAGACATGGATATCGCCAGAACAGACCTACATGGGCTCAAACACGGCAGAGCCAGTGTAAGGCAGTACCATTCCCGCTTTTTGCATTAGTCCATGCGCTGGGATGGGAGAAGGATTCTGCCCCAGCCAGAGACCTTTTTTGGGAAGGCTTGAATGCAAATGTGAAAGATGAGATTGCAAGGGGGGGGAGACCAAAGAGCACTCAGGAGGTTGTCCGGCGGGCGCTGCAAATTGGGGTGCGTCTGGAAGAACGTCCATGGAACAGAGAAGAAGGACGTTGGGGACGTACGCCAGTGAGAGCACCTCCCTCTTTCCCAAGGATGCAGCGCGTGTGCAATCCCCACCTCCGCAAGGAGGGAGAGCAACCGATGGAGATTGGAGCGCCAGGGCTCAGTCAGCAGCCAGAGCCTTAACACCGGGAGCAGTCAAGCGAAGCCTCCTAGAGGAACAGGAAGTGCTACATCTGCGACAGTGCTCAGCACATGGCGAAAGAGTGTCCCCAGAGGCTCCACAAGCACACTGCAGCCTCAGCAACAGTAACAGAAGCAACTCAGCAGAGAGAACCACAGCAGGGAAACGACAGAGTCTGGTTGGAGGAAGAGGCACTGGGGCCCAGCCAGACAAGTCAATGAAGCCGTCCCCAGAGATTTTGCAGCCCACAGACCCCCTCCCGCCCAAACCAGTGGTGCAGCTCACAGCATCGCTCCAACTACCCAATGGACTCACTATGGAAGTGCCGATTACCATTGACTCTGGTAGTAACGCAGACTTCATAGGACTGGATTTCCTTCAAGAGCACAACATAGCACTCCTGCCAGCCACGCTGCCTCTGAAAGTTGTCACGGTGGATGGCAGGGACTTGCTGGGGGGGCAGGTGGTGCAGCAAACGCCTCCGATGGTGATGCAAATTGGGAATCACCGAGAAGTCATCAGCTTCAATGTCACCCAACTGTCGGACACGCCTATAGTATTAGGCATGAGTTGGCTGCACAGGCACAGCCCAGCATTGGCGTGGTACCAGCGACAACTGACCTTCGGCTCCTCATACTGTGCGGAACATTGCATTCTGCCTAGCCCGGAAGGGGAAGAGGATGACCCGCAGCTACAATTAGGCACGCTGCAAGCAGTGCCACTCAAATACGCAGCGTTTTTGGAGGTTTTCTGCGAGAAGGAAGCGGACAAGCTACCTCCCCACAGGTCTTATGACTGCAAGATTGACCTCCTGCCAGAGCGCGCTGCCAACCGGGAAACTGTATTCCATGTCTGAAGGCGAGGCTGCAGGAACTCAGGGAGTTCATAGACCTCAACTTGAGCGCGGTTTCATCCAGGAGTCGAAGGCAGTGGGGGCAGTCCTGTATTCTTTGTGAAGAAGAAGGACACGCCCCAAAAAGGCTTGTGGTGGACTATAGAATTTTGAACTCGAAAACCAAGCCCACAGCCTTTCCCATGCCCAAGATAGATGACCTGCTCGCAACGGTGAGGAAAGGACGCGTTTTCACAAAGTTGGATCTGCGAGGGCGTACAACCTGATTCGCATACGGGAGGGCGACGAATGGAAGACTGCCATGTTCACGCCCCTGGGCACCTATGAATACAGAGTTATGCCCTTTGGATTACAAAATGGCTCCCACTGTTTTCAAGCCTTCATGCATCACGTATTGGCGGGTCTCCTCTACAAGAAATGCGTCTGCTTCCTGGACGACATCCTGATATTTTCAGAATCAGAGGAGACCCACGAGGGAGACGTCAAGGAAGTTCTGCAGAGACTGCAGGAGCACAGGCTGTACGCCAAGCTGGAGAAGTGCCAGTTCGACATGAAGGAGGTAGATTTCCTGGGCTACAAGTTGTCGGACAAGGGGCTCGCCATGGACAGCGCCAAGGTTCGCTCAGTGTTGGACTGGAAGAGCCCGCGCAATCGGAAGGAGGTCCAGCGGTTTGTCGGTTTCGCCAACTTTTACCGCAAGTTCATCAAGGGGTTCGCGATGCAGACGGCGGCCATTACCGACACGCTCAGCTCCAAGAAGAAGAAGTTCATCTGGACGGAGCAAGCGGAGCAGTCCTTTCCAGAAACTCAAGCGTCTCTTCTCGTCCGAAGAGCAGCTACTGCATGTGAATCCCAGCAGACCGATGAGGGTTGAAACGGACGCCTCAGACAGAGCCGTGGGAGCAGTACTGTTGCAGCAAGACCCGCATGGGGACTGGAGACCGTGTGCCTTCTACTCCAGGAAGCTCAGCAAGTCAGAGCAGAACTACACCATCTGGGACAGGGAGTTGCTGGCCATTCATGCAGCATTCAAGGCGTGGCGGCACTTCCTCATTGGAGCCAAACACACAGTGCAGGTCCGCACGGACCATAAAAACCTGGAGTACTGGCGCACGGCAAGGTTCCTGAACCAGAGGCACATACGATGGGCGGAGTTCTTTGCGGATTTCGACTTCAGGATAGAGTACATCCCAGGCGACAACAACATCATGGCGGATGCACTGTCCAGAAAGCCGCAATACCTCGAGGAGCGGCACCAGCAGCGGCCAAGCACATTTCGCACCGAAGCGTGGGCGTGCGCTTCAGCAACCGTGGACCTGGATGCTGTACGTCGAGCACTGCAGGAGGACCCCTTCGCGCAAGCAAAGATGGCAGAGGTGCAAAGGGGCACGGCGGAGGACGACGAGTTCCAGATACGCGACGGATTGCTCATCCGCAGAGGGGCCCTCTACGTACCGGGAGACGACCTCCGCGCGAAAGTACTGCAGCAGTTGCACGACGCACCCACCGCCGGGCACTTTGGCAAGAGAAGACGGTAGAATTAGTAGCCAGAGATTTTTGGTGGCCCAAGATGCGGGGGGAAGTCGCGGATTACGTCTCGAGGTGCGACACCTGCCAAAGGGCCAAGTCAGTGCACAAACCGCCGGCGGGACTGCTCGAACCGCTGCAGACACCGCTCGAACCGTGGGAGAGGGTGGCCCTGGACTTTGTCACGGATCTACCCAGCTCGAGGGGCAAGACGGCAGTGCTAGTGGTGGTGGACATGTTCACCAAAATGGCCCACTTCATTCCGTGCGCGAAGGTGGCCACGGCGGAACAGACCGCCAAACTGTTCATAGACCACGTGTTCAGGGTTCACGGTCTGCCACGGTCTATCCTGTCCGACCGGGGCGACAGTTCATCTCGAACTTCTGGCAGAAGCTAATGGGTTTCCTGAACGTCAAGATCAACCTAGCGTCGGCGAGACACCCGCAGACGAGACGGACAAGCGGAGCGAGTCAAGCGCCATCATGCAGCAGTACCTGCGATGCTACGCAAATCAGCAGCCGGCAACATGGGTGGACTACCTGCCGCTCGCTGAGTTCGCCTACAACAACACGAAGCACGTGTCCACGGGGGTGACACCGTTCTTCGCCAACAACGGGAGGCATCCCAGAACCTTCCCGGGATTAGCGAGAGCGGGGAGGGAGCCACAGGCAGCGGAAGCCTTAGCATCAGAGTTGCAGGAGGTTCACGAACAGCCGGAGGCAGTTAGAACTAGCAAAGCACGCATACAAACTGCAGGCTGACAAGCACAGAAGGGTTGGGGAAGACATACAGGTGGGAGACTGGGTTTGGTTAGCAGCCCAGGCAGTGCCGGCCAGATCGTTAGCGAAGAAGAAGCTAGGGCATAAGCAGCTAGGACCCTACCAGGTCGAGGCACAGGTCAATCCAGTGGCCTTCCGGTTGACACTGCCGGAGGGATCCAGAATGCACCCAGTTTTCCATAGATCAGTGCTCACGCCCTACAAAGCACCTCATAGATTTCAGGAGCCAGGAACGGCACCAGACCCGTTCAGGAAACGCCCACAAGGGGGTCGCCAAGGCGGGAACCCGTCAACGAAGTCACAGAGATTTTAGACTCGAGATGGGGGAGGAGGGAGTGGAATACCTCCTCGCCAAGGAAGGTACCCGGCTAGCGCCAACAGTTGGGTGCCAGATTATGCTCTGGAGGAATCTTGGCTTAGGGACCGAGTTCCATGCACTTTTCCCACACAGGCCCATGCCAGCCGAGTATTTCGACGACTGGCTTTTCACACCCACATTTTCAGCTAGCACATTCCAGGGGTTCACCTCGGACGAGGAACCGGCACTAGAAACACGTTCCCCGGAGGGATCACCCTCGGGGTCTGCCTCAGACCGTTCCTATTGGTGGGACAATCAACCAGAGGAGCAGTGGCGCAGGAAGTGGTTGGGGGGTCCTTGGCAGGCAACGTCCCCGGAGGAGACCGGGGAGAGACGGACATGGACGTGTTGGGGAGGACCTTCGGTTCGAGCACGGCGGCAAAGAGATGGAAGCAGAGGAAATTGAGGTCGGCGAGAGCACGGAGGACGAGCCGGACTTATCCCGGCTGGATGCACGCCACGGGGACGAACTGTATCCGGCACTCACCCCAAAACGACGGAGCACCCAGTACCCACACCGGAAGGAGGGGAGGGGGGAAGAGGGGGCTTCGAGGGGGGAGGGATGTCAGGGGTTCAGGAGCAGAGGCACAGGAAAGGGAGGAAATAGAGAGCGAGGGGGGGAGTCCGAAGGAAATGTTAGCGATGACAGCGGTCCGAGGTCTCTGAGTCTTTCCAGCGAATCGGAAGATTCACAGAAAGGGGCTCCCTTGGTCAGAGCAAGGGGGTGCCGAGGGGACACCCCAGGAAGAAGGGGCCAGAGGGGACTCAGAGAGCAGCAGTTGGAAATCAGGACCAGCGTCCACACCAGAGTGCAGTAGGGGGGGAGGAGTCCCAGGCATCGGGATCAGGCGGCGCACTGCCAGTGGGAGGACATGAGTCAGGATTGGCCACGCCTCCATCGGGGAGCGAGGAACCGGTCGAGAGGAAGGTTGAAGGCTGGGCGCGCGCGCCAAGTTCAAATGTACAGGAGGGCGGCGCAGTTGGCAGCCCGGATAGGGAGCCAGGTCCCAAAGCCCGCCGAAAGAGGGGAGGAGTCAGGGGGTCAGCGTCAGAAGAATCCAGGAAGGAAGGGACCCGGGGGTAGCAGGACCCAGAGGAGAAAGGAGAGGCGTAAGAGGTGGAGTAAGGCTAGAATCTTAAACTGGTGTACAGGGCGGAGACTCAGATGGAGCTTCGCCGATCTAACCCCTAGACGTAGAGCTGGGGCGCTCCGGCTTGAAAATGGAAACTGTACTTCAATAAAGACTTTTGTACATTACTGCCGGCTAGCGTTGGTCCTCTGTGAGCTGGGACCTGGAGCCAGCTCTGACAAAAGCCTTTAAAATGGAAAAGCTGTTCTTATTACACTTGTCTTTTAACTAGTGAATGAATAAACAAGATTTTAAAACAAAACCACTCCAGGCAGGAAAGTAGCTAGTTTTACCAAAGGTGCCAATCTCAGCGCCAGGGCTGGGGACGCCCTAAATGGGAGAGAATGTGTGTATTCACTAATAGAAGGATCTTAATCTCCACTGTTCTCACCAGCAACACTTGACCTCTCTCCTCCCTTGCATCCCCTTATTCCACCTTGCTGCTAACTGTGTGCTTTTGCTGTTCCTTAGGTTTTGTTCCTCCTCCCTATCTTTGGAGTCAAATTTCCACTTTCTGTCCATCACACCACCCTGCTTCAATCCTCCTTAAAACCAGTCCCTCCCTTGAAATAATACATGACTGTGCAAAAATTATCTTCCTGTAAGACTCTTCCCTTTTGCTCATATTTGGCCTTTAATTGCCCTTCTCCTTTTTAAAATATTTATGTACTACAAGACTGTCCTAATAAAGGCTGCATGCTGCATATTTTAACGCAGGAAGACACTACCCTGAGCAAGGGAAGATTTGCAGCAGCAGCAGGGGCAGTAGCTATGGTAAAATAAATTTATGGTTTCCTTGCATAAGGCAAGAAACAGACTATGGAACTATGGACACGGAGCTATGGAAAGGGGCTAGATCCTGTGCCTCCTTCCTTAGCACATTTCCCACCTTTAGCAAAGAAGACCCCAGAGTGGAGTGGGGGCAGGGGGAAGATGAGGAAAGATGCTTCATTTCAATAAAGGATAGCAATTGATTCTTTCTAGCATGGCTAGCAGGTATGCTGACAAACAAGTAAAAAAACAGGCAAACACATAACTTGCCCTTTGCTTTCTTTCCAGGTTTGAGGGGCTGCTTTTGCATGGGTCTGTGATGAAAAAGGCACTTAAATTATACCACTTCACTTTCAAAGTGCAATAGTGAGGAGACGTGTAACTCAATTAACACAACAACCACTGCAGCAATTCTGATCATTCCTGTATCATGGCACAAGGAAGACACTGGTGTTCAATATACATATATCTTAACTACTTAAAATACTACCTTGGACATTTCAGGACCTTGCAGTACTTCACAGCCAAAGCCAGGGCCTCCTGGAATTCATGCTGGCGGCCAGGCACTGCCCCTAAGCCCCTGTCACCGTCTTGGTTTCCTGGGGAAAGAGCAGTAAAATTTACCCAATATATATAGTGGTACCTTGGGTTACATACACTTCAGGTTACATACGCTTCAGGTTACAGACTCCGCTAACCCAGAAATAGTACCTCGGGTTAAGAACTTTGCTTCAGGATGAGAACAGAAATCGTGCAGGGGTGGCGCAGCAGCAGCAGCAGCAGGCGGCCCCCATTAGCTAAAGTGGTGCTTCAGGTTAAGAACAGTTTCTGGTTAAGAAGAGACCTCCAGAACGAATTAAGTTCTTAACCCGAGGTACCACTGTACACACACACACACACACACACACACACACCAGTTGCAGGGAACAATAGTAGGAAATAGATGTCTACCATAAATGATACCTGCTGTCCTATATGTCAGCTAAGTGCTCCTATGTTTGGGGTCAGGAACAGGTGAGAGGTACAGAACAAACAGCTTTATTTGCTTGGTCTTTGGCAAGCAGAAGGGCAGTCTATAACCTCTACTAGGAATATCTTCAATTGAAACAACCACTGTTTTGAGTGTAAGGGAAAAGGCCATTCTAGGAGGCAGCAGGGCTTGGGGGGCAAGAAAATGGACCCATTTCTTCTCTCCAAGCCTGTGAAAGAGACATCCAGTGTACAGTGAAGTGAGAGGGAGGCGTTGGGCACTATCTTGGGTGCCAAGGTCGATACAGAGAATGAGGAAAAGAGGTGGTGGACTTTGCACCTGCAGGAACCGGTAGCAAGTTTCAACTGGTAACAGGTGAGGTCTACAACTTTGTTTTGTTTTTTTAAAAAAAGGTAAAAGCTGTACAGCAGCAGGCAGAAAAGAGATTTAGTGTTTCCAGAAAGACGCAGAGACTATTAAGCTCTACCTGCTGACTTCTGCCTGCTTGCCTTTTCACCCTTTCCGTGAAAAGCCGACCCCGTTGTAGTAGTGCCTATGGAGGTCACGGGAGAAGGCTGGGTCCGGGTGGAGAGACCGTATTATGTCTGCGAGGGAAGGGCTCTAGCCACGGGCAACTCGGTCGGGTACCTGGCGGGGCGTTGAGCAGGACCAGCTCCAGCTTGGCCTTGTCTGCCGCCTCCCGCAGCTCCTCGGCGCTGCAAGCGTAAGGGACGCCCAACTCCGCCGCTCGGAAGCCGGCCTGCGCAGCCGCCTCTATGCGCTGCGGCAGCGTCGGCTTCTCCTGGAAGAGCCACGCCAGGTTGGCAGCGAAGCGAAGCGGAGGCATGGCGGACAGCGCAGCGCCTGAGACACCCAGCAAAGGCCGCGAGAGGAGGGGCGGAGGCGGCGCCCACGCCCCTGGCCGGCAGGGGAGGTGTCCGGGCAACAAGCCCTTGGCGCCCGCTGCGCGCTGCTGCTCCGCCTCCGAGGAAAGAGGCGCCGCAGCAGGAAGAGAGCTGGAGCGCGGACGCTCGCGCCGCGTGGGAAAGAGGCGCAAGGGCCTGCGGGTCGCAGTCTTGCCGCGAGAGGGCGTTCGTGGGCTCTGCGCCGGCTCTCTTGCCCCTCCACCCACCCCGTTTGTATTCTGGTGTATCCGGAGAACACGTGTCGCATCGCTCGGCTTCTCTCGACCAGACCGGGGGACACACACATTTTTTCATATTGTATAAAAACATCTCCTTTGGCACTTCATTTCCTCTGTCCATACACCAATTTGCACCACCTTTACTGGAGGCCTACCCTAGATTGCATTGCCCCTAGATTCTCACCCTGCTGCTGCCCTAGGAATATATGTTCATCATTCCCAGTTTCTAAAAACTTCCCACATGGATGATACTATTTCCCAAGAATACCTGTTCTTAGATTCCACCTGCTCTGTCCTGAAGGATGTCACAAAAGCCTATCCAGCCCAGCATCTTGCTTTTCCACAATGGTCCACCAAATGCATTATGACAAGTCCATAAGAACAACATGAGCACAACAGTCCCCTCCTGCTGTCCCTCCCTGGCAACTGTTATTTAGAGGCATGGTGCCTCTGATCCTGATGCATATAACCATTGCAACTCCTAATCATTAATGGCTTTGTTCTCCGTTAATTTGCTTAATCCCCTTTTAAATCCATCTAATACCTGTATAGTTCTTCTCCTTGCTCAGAAGGTAGACCAATACATGCTTCCCAGCCACAGCTTGTGCAGGAAGGAAACACAGGTGGAGCCACGTAGCTCAAGCAATCAAGCCAAGCCAGGCACAACAAAGGAAGGGAAAAGACAGATCCTTGCCAGAAACTGCTACCCCACAACCCTGCCCCTGACTCCCTTAGGTCTTTTTCCAAATAATTATTCAAAGTCAAGGACATCTCAGAGACATGGATCCAGAGACTGAACTTAAGTGGGGGTTTTTTGCTCAATACCCTGCAAGAAGATTATACACACCCTCCTAACCATGCACTTTGCAATTCTTAGCTGCTCTGCGGCACTGCTGTGCCCAGCCTCTGCTTTGCATTTTGCACACGGCTCCTCTGTGGCCCGATGCATGCTGTTTGTTTGCTTTGAAGTGATGTATAATCTGCGCTGATAATTAAAGAACGTCATTCCAGGGTTAGTATTTATTGATACCAATTTAACTCGCCTCATACATCAAACACCAACCATCCATTGAAATCCCTGGTGAATTTCTGCATCCCAGAGACCTTGTTTTCATTACCCAGAACTGACAGGAATGACTTTTGGGGCACTGGTTCTTCTGCTTTGCCTGAGGCTTTGTATAGGCCACCTTTTTCGTCCTTCAGCACAGACAGAAGCAATTGCTGCTGTTCTGGATTAAATGGGGTCTGCAGTAGGGCAGTGTGATGCTTTTTTATATTATTATTGCTACATATTGTATGTGAGCAAGTCTCTTGGGGTACAGGTTCAGGGCTCTGGAAATTTGGGATGCATTGTATTAGGGAACAAGTTCAGTTTTTCTAGACTGAATATTTAGTGTAACTAATGTTTGCTGAATCAAGCTCCTGATAGACATAGAGGAGACAGGGACTGTTTCAGTCTCATGATGGTCCAAATCACAGCCCAGGGGATTTGTGGCGCCAGCATAAAATGGCCGTCTAAGCATGGAATTGCCCAAAGACCACACAAATCCTACACACACCTTTGCACCTCTTTCTCCTCCCCTCTTTCTTGTTCATCTTCTGCTTCTGATTTAACACTTATTCAGGCAACTAGCAGAACAGGAACCCATCAAAAGAACATAAGGAGAGCCTGCTGGTTCTAGTCCAACATCCTGTTTTCACAGTGGCCAACCAGATGCCTGTGGGGAAACCTGCAAGCAGGATCCAAACGCAAGAGCCCTCTCAATAGCTACAGCTGCCTGGGGCTGATGGGAGCTGTAATCCCAAACATCTGGATGGCACTATGTCATCAAAAGCTGGTCTATAAGGCAAGGCTGTCCATCAGTTGGCTCTCTTTACATAAACCAAATCCCCCTCCTTTCTCTAGAATCAGAAGAATATTTTAACACATGAAAAAGCTCTGCTAGATCAAAGCAAAGGTCCATCTGGTCCAGCATCCTGTTTCTCACAGTGTCCAGCTAAACGTCTTCAGAAACCTCACAGGTGGAGCATAAAGAGCCCCCCTTGTTGTCATCCTCCCCCCTCAGCATCTGATATTCAGAAGCAGGCAGATTCTGAATGAAACACCTAATAAAAAATAGCTTTGCTTACCGCATTTTTTGCACCATAACACTTACTTTTTTTCCTCCTAAAAAGTAAGGGGAAATGTCTGTGCGTGTTACGGAGGGAATGCCTACGGGTGGCATGCCTACGGATTTTCCTCCTCTAAAAACTATGTGCGTGTTATGGTCGGGTGCGTGTTATAGAGCGAAAAATACGGTAATTCCTGCCCCTCCCAATACATATTTGAGATCATACACGTCTTTTGTACCATGCTGTAAACATTTTGGCCTCTTTCACGTCACCTTGCACAGTGTGCCCTCTGGAACGTGTTTCTGAGCATTTGCCCAAGCCACCTCAGTTTAAGCAACCTCTCTTTATACGGTTGACAACTTTGTCAGATACTAGTTCTACGCACCAATTCACTGGCTTTCCTCTTAACTTTTATATATATATATATATATATATGTATTATTAATCTCCACCTGCCTTATGTTTTTTGGGGTTCACTGAGTGAAGTTGACGGTGTGAGACATGTAATTATTAAGTGATTTTCCATTTCAGAGACATCATTTCACAGTTTTGCACATTCATTTCATACATCAGATCATATAAAGCATCACATGTTCTCGAAACTCCATATGCACAACAGTTGCTTTCTATAACCTGAGGCAGGGAATAACCCAAGGTGTTGCTTCAAGCAGCTATTTTGAATTTTTGTGTGAATATCTACAACATTATTATGGGACTGTCACTAAAAAGGGATATAAATAAGGAGGATGCAGTTTATCTAGGCTTCAGCACATAAATCACAGAGAAGGCTACAGAAGTAACTGGTTTACTGGTGAAGATTCTCCAGCTGTTCAGAATAAGCTGCAAACAACACATATGCATACACAGTGTTGTGTGTTTGTGTTTGTGTGTGTTTGCTTTCCTTTGTTTCATTAATTAACCATACAGGAAGCCTTTATGGCTGAGGTCAGCAACTGGCAGCACCCAAGCTCAGTTCAACTCCTGGACAATTGCCAGTTGGCCCATAGACCCATTTCCTCCCTGTTGTTATTCCTTCCCTCTCACTTGGCAGTCTGCTTGCTTGCCTGCTGCTGCTGCTGCTGCTGCTACAGCAGCCAGGTTGGACTTAAAAGCCCGCTCCCAGCATGTGGCAAACAAAAGGAAGGAGAAAAGCAGAACACAGCAACCATCCATGAATTTGTCCATTAATTCTGCATTATCCAGAGACAACTCGTGTGTGTGTGTGTGTGTGTGTGTGTGTGTGTGTGTGTCCCCATGTGGTTAATGGTTAACAGTGACTCAAGCAGTTTCCATATCTTCACCTTCTAGCCTTTTGGAGTAAGCTTTCTGCTATCATGGAGGATGTAAGCTAGCAGTCCATCCAACCACAAGGGAGAAGGAAAGGCAGAATAAAAGGTGGGCATAGTTTCTACCCAAGGAAAGCATGCCCTGTCTGCAAGTAAAGGCTTCCTTAGCTAACAGGATTGAGGCCCAGAACTTGCCCCCAGCCATTCCTATCTGCTAATTAAGGCACTGACTTCTGCCATATGGCTAGTCTATGTTTTCTGTGCACTTTTTGTTTCTCCAATGCCCTTGGGGAATAAGGACTTTAAATTACACCCTGGGCTTGCCCTCCTTTTCATTGGACATTGTTTTCTCTTAGCCTGAGCTGAGTAAGCATTGGCAAACAAGCAATCAGCCGTTCTGCTGTTTGTGTTACCCTCAGAGAGGTTAAAGCAATTTCCTTCTTGACTTAGGGAGGTTCATTACAACATTGTATGAGGACCCCTGCAGTGATGGGATAACTGCTGTATAATTATGTAACTACCGTAAAAGCTTTGCTGAGATTAGAATATATTGTTTGAACTGATTTAGTGCACCGGCTATGTTGCTTTCAGCACCACAAAAGGTTGTCCTATTGTTCTCTGATATTAGGCGAAAGCTTGCAAGCTTGTCAATTTACTGCCAATGAAATAACTCAGAAGCTGTAACAGGAAAGTGTTCCTTAAAATACACTCCAAGGAGGAATGCAACAGCCAGAGAGAAAACCAGATGAAATGCTGGGCCACTAAATGAGATAATACTGTTTAAAAGAAGCAAAAGGCCAAGTGGAGGCCACGGGGTGAAGGACTGCAATTTAGAGGAAATGCACAGTAAAAATATACAGAAATCCAGAGAGGCTAAAGAACTATGAAAAACAATATCTAAATGCACCTGGAGTTAATAAGGAGCTTTTTTTTGCAACAAGAGAAGGAGGCTTGTTTTCTCCGGATGTCATTGTCGACTAACTCCTTGGCTGCTTTCCCTCAAGCTGGTAGATGGAAAGGCATAGCACAGCCTCCCCAAAGACCCACTGGTGCCAGTGAGAACTCCCCCTCTCCACACCAAGGCTCACAGCAGTATAGGGAGAGAGCTGAGGAAAGGGTTAAACCTCACCTCCACCTGTGGTGTGGCCCCAGCAAAATGACTAAATTTAAAAATCAACCTGGCAGGCTTTCCAATGGCGCACTTGACATCCTGTCTAGTTGACCGTAAGCTTTTGGTCCTGCTACAAGTGGACACCCCAGGCTATCTGCTGCCATTGTCTTGGCCACACTCACTGCTGATGTGCAGTCCCACCTCCCAGGAATGGCCAAGAGGCAGGGTAGCCCTCAAGCCCATCCTCAT